TATTTCCATATTTGAGCGCCGGCCTAAACTCGGAAGCGGAGGTAAGACTTCAAATGGGTCTTGTCTCAATTTATGAAAGGCTTTCAGCAAGGGGTGCCATCACTAACAAATTATTGAGCTTGGTTCAGAATTTGTTAAAGCACCTCCAACAGTATCTAATATATTATACATACTACTATTAATTAAAAGAAATTGAACTTATTACATAATCATATATACATTTTTTAAAGTCTCTTAAATAAGAAATATTTCTCGTATCTCCCCTTTATTTTGTTTTTAATCAATAAAATACAATCGATAGAAATATGACCGATATAATCTTAACTAATAGAATTGTAAGAATAATTTGGTAAATAAAATGGTCATTTGACAATTTATTATATATTGGCGACCACATTGCATGCAATGATTCGGTTCCCTAGGATAACCGAGATATCATATACTAAAGTTTTCCCAAAAAATATATTCTATTTTGTTTTTAAAATACAGAAAGGATTTAGCATTCATTGTATGTAAAACAGATTAAAAAAATATCTACCGAAATAGAGATATGACCCATAGAGATATCAAGTATTTAGTAAATACCAAGCTGGATAAAATACAGCCGATAGAGATACGACCAACAAAGATAATCTTAAGTGATAAAATTGTAAAAGTAATTTGGTAAATATCAAGCTGGAGATCAAAATAGTCATTTGACAATCTATTATATATTGGCGACCACGCGGCATGCAATGATTCGATTCTCTAGAATAACTGAGATATCATCATATAATATACCAAAGTTTTCTACACAAAAAAAAATCATTCTTCTCTTTTGAATACAGAAGGGATTTAGTTTCTAGTGTATGTAAAACAGTTTTAGAAAAGTATCTCAACATTTAGCAAATATCAAACTGGGAATAGAGATATGACTGACAGAAATACCAAGCTGGATAAAATATTATTGATAGATATACGGCCGATAAAGATAATTTTAAGTGATAGAATTATAAGAGTAATTTGGTAAATATCAAGCTGTAGATCAAAATGGTCATTTGGCAATCTATTATATGTTGCCGACCACATGGCATGCAATGATTCGGTTCTCTAGAATAACTGAGATGTCACCTTACAATATACTAAAGTTTTCCCCAAAAATATATTTTATTCTTCTCTTTCCCAAAAATATATTTTATTCTTCTCTTTTAAATACAGAAGGGATTTAGCTTTCATTGTATGTAAAACAGTTTTAGAAAAACATCTCAGCATTTAGTAAATATCAAGCTAGAAATAGAGATATAACCGATAGAGATACCAAGTATTTAGTAAATACCAAGCTGGATAAAATACAGCCGATAGAGATACAACCGATAGAAATAATCTTAAGTGATAAAATTGAGAAAGTAATTTGGTAAATATCAAGCTGGAGATCAAAATGGTCATTTGGCGACCACGCGGCATGCAATGATTCGATTCTCTAAAATAACTGAGATATTATCTTACAATATACCAAAGTTTTCTGAAAAAAAAAAATAATTCTTTTCTTTTAAATACAGAAGAAATTTAGTTTTTAGTGTATATAAAACAGTTTTAGAAAAGTATCTTAGCATTTAGCATATATCAAACTGAAAATAGAGATATGACCGATAGAAATATCAAGCTGGACAAAATACTATAGATATAGATACGCCGGATAGAGGTTATATTAAGTGATAGAATTGTAAAAGTAATTTGGTATATACCAAGCTGGAGATTAAAATAATCATTTGGCAATTTATTATTTGAATGATTATTTGTTGGCGACCACGCGGCATACAATGATTCGGTTTTCTACGATAATCAAGATATCACCTAGATATCACCATACCAAAATTTTCTATAAAAAAAAAAATTCATTCTTTATCTTTAAATACATAAAGGATTTAGTTTTCAGTCTATGTAAAACAGTTTTAGAAAAGTATCTCAGCATTTAAAACAATAGTTATGAAATACATTGGATTCTTTTGAATGAAACTTATTAGACATTTTCCATATATAGAAAAATTAATTAAGACTGACTAACCGTCATATTTGTACTTTTGTTATAATTGTATAGTAAATGAATAAAAAAAAAGATATGTGTGTGAAATTACAGTAAATTTTGGTGAAACGTGTATATTTTCTTTTTTAATTGATTTTGGCCATAAATATATTTTTTTCCTACCTTTGCTCTCTAAAACCAAATATATTTTAAAGATCTCATTGGAATTTGTCTATATATATTTTATTCTACCATTTCTCTTGCCAATCATTTTCCCATATTTTATCTAATTCTACCATTTCTCTTGCCCATCTTTGTATTTCACCTTTGAAATTGCAGTGTGTTTCTTCTTGATATGTGAGAGATGTCTACCGAAGGTTCGGCTGATGAAAAGAATCAGCCATCACTGGCGACACTTCCCGAAGAAATCGTCACGGACTGCGTAGCACGTATACCGAGATCCTACTATCCCATCCTCTCCGTCGCCACTAACCACTTCCGGTCTCTTGTTACATCGCCTCGGTTATACGAGAGACGACAATCTCTTGTAGGCTGCAACGACTACTGTATCTATGTCGCCATCTCCAAAAACCAAACCACTGGTATCCATTGGTACACTCTTAGCCGGAAATCCAACAACCGCTTCTGGTTAGTCCCTATCCCTTCACTTCCTCCTATGCCTTTACATGGAAGCCATGTGGTCCTAGGTTCGAGTATATTTGGGATGGGTGGGTTTTTCCATTGGGGCTTAATCACACCGAGTGTGTCACGCATCGATTGTTGGGCTCACACGGTGCAACCTATCACTAGAATGCCAAAGGCGGTCGCTGGTTCTGTCTCCGAACTCGTGGATGGGAAGATATATGTTGTTGGTGGGTCTAATACTCGTTCCCGGGAGCTGAAATCATCATCTCACGACATCATGGTGTTTGATGTTGAGACAGATACGTGGGAGGTTAGGAGAAGTCCGGACTGGGATGTAGGACAGAGGTGGTTTGCTAGTGTGGAGATGTTGGGTAATATTTACATGAGGGGTTATAAGAATAGCTATGTTTATGAACCAACGGAGGGTAGATGGGAGGCGGACAGCATCCTGAATTCTCAGGAGTGGTCCAATGCATGTGCCATAGACGGTGTTTTGTACTACTATGATGTTGATAAGAATAGTATCAGAACGTATAATCCAGTAGAGAGGGCTTGGGGAGTGGTGAAAGGTGTTGACCTAGAGAAATTCAAGGACGGTTCGTGGTCTTACACAGCGAATTATGGTGGAAATTTGGTTGTGTTTTTCCATAAAGAAGTAGCAATGACAGAGACAACAGAGATCTGGTGCGCAGAGATTGCGGTGGAAAGGCGTGAAGGCGGAGAGATTTGGGGGAAAGTTGAGTGGTGTGATCTTGTGCTTGATGGAAACGCTCACATTATGAAATGTCTTGTTGTTAAAGTTTGATTTTGTTTTTTTTTGTTTTAACATTTACACCCAAAAAAAAAAAAAAATTGATTTTGTACCTCAACCATGTAATGGTAATTTAAAAATGTTCATTGGTCAATATAGTCTTGTGGTTATATGTTAATAGATGATTCTGCTACACATTTTATCCTTTTTTTTTTGCTACTTTGGAATTTAACATAGCGAAAACGAATGCATTATCTGGAGAGTAATTTGTTTGGGTCTCGACTTAAAAGTGTTTTTTTTTTATTAAAACAAAAACATTAATGCTGAGTTATTAGCTAGTGTTCCAAACTTATATAGGTTTTAAGAAATATGACAATATTGGATTTGGTTTGTTTCTACTCTTAACGATCTTGTACTTGAATTAAAAGCTGATTTGGGTGAATTTGTGTTTGATGGATATTAGCTTACCAAGGACTTCTGTGTTTCATTGGTATAAGATGTTGATATCTTTATGAACACATATTGGAATTTTCCTTCTTCTCTAGTTATCAATTGTGATTCAAAATTCTTTGATCCAGTTATCAAAAAGAAAAGAAAAAGTGCTATTGTCACGCATTTGCATAAATGTCACGTAGACACGAGAACTGAGAGAGTAGGCCATGTGAATCAAACACGGCTCTGGTAGTCCACAACATCAAGAAAAAATAACAATGTTTTGAGTATCAAAGATACCTTTGAACAAAGAAAGGCCAGTTCAATTTGTTAAAGGCTTAAAGCCCAAAGGGATGATTCGGCCTTGTATAATGACACATCTCTATCTAGACCGAATCACTTTGTATCTATACTTATGGGAAGACTCTAATTATATCTATATTGTTAATTTGTAATCCACACATTAAGATGCACTTATCTTAAGTTGTGAAAAACAAAGATTTTGTGTACCTACTGCGTTGGCTAACAATTCCAGTTAGATAATTCTTAATATCATCATATTCATATAGCACAAATTTTTCTTGAAGGGAAAATGATTTTTGGGAGATTTTGTACAGTTGTGAAAACTAGTAGCACTTATTTTCAAGTCACGAGAATGGAAAGTTTTATTCAAAAGTCAGCAGGTTCACCCTACACCAATTCACCCAATCAACGTTGCCACTTCCATCTTTTGACGGCACCGCATGCACGTCACCCTTACTTTACGGCGTGTGACAGCAGACAAATACTCTATAAAAGGAAAGTCTTTTCTACCGAAGAAGGATCAACGGGTCCCACCTGAACATTTCTCACCGAACACACAAAAAACGAATCTTCTTTTTGCGCCAAAACAAAACTACTCGTATCATCTTCTAACTGTTGTGTAATTTATCAATCATTTAAATACAAAATCTATTAACTTCAAATTTTATACTATTAATTTACAGCTTGTTAGATACATATCTATGTATACATATCCATTTAAGAAAATGCTAAATAAACATATCTTGAAAAATAAAGTCAATAAAGCATCCCGTTAATTTATTAATATATAACCTATTGTTTTAAAACTATAAATAGATCCCTTCAAGGCTTCACTTCAACTGGTAGAAACAAGAAACGTCTTTCTCAATGCGAGCTTCAATGGAGAAGTCGCCGAGAAACAGAGACGACAAACACAAATTGGTTCCTTCACCAAGCAGCATCACCACTCCGACCCGAACCGTTGCCACCAGATCCAAATCCACACACCCGTCTCAGACCACTTACGTCTACACCGATACTTCCTCCTTCAAACAAGTCGTCCAGATGCTCACCGGATGCCACAATAACCCGACTCACCAACCCGACCCGAGATCTTCTTCCTCTCACTCAATCCCTCCAATCAAAGCCGTCACCAACAAGAAGCAATCTTTCCGGCTCAACGAACGCCGCAATTCGATGAAGCATCTGAAGATCAAACCGGTTTTTAACCCGATCCATTCCGGGTTACCCGAGAAACTCTCCCCCAGCACCCTGGACTTTCCGTCTCTGGTCCTAAGCCCTGACACTCCTCTCATTCCTGACCCGTTTTCTCGAACCGGGTCATCGAGTCGGAGCCCGAGCGATCCCGGGTTCGGATATTGCGATCCGGTACTGAGCTCCGACGCCGAAGAGAGAGCAATTAAAGAGAAAGGGTTTTATTTTTATCCGTCGCCGTCGACAACTCCGAGGGGAACGGAGCCCCGGCTTCTTTCTCTCTTTCCGGTGACTTCTCCTCGGGTTTCTGATTCTCTTGCTGTACCTCATGAACCCTAAATTTTTTTTCCTTTTTGAGTTTGTAGCAAAAAAAATATTTTGTAAGTTTATCTTTATTCTTGGTGACAGTAGAGATATAAGGATTAGAAAACTTGTAATGTGCTTCGACTTTTGCGAGTGAATGCACTCGCTAATCATCGCACCATTTTCAATATTTTATAACTTATGTATGTTGTTTCTTAATCTCTCCATTCGATGTTTTATTGGGTTTACATGTTTATTCATTCTTGATTGGTTTTTGTTCTACGTAAGTACGTAGTCTTATTGCGAACGCTCTGATATTGGCTACAAAGGCTGACTAAATAGTAAATACCTAGTAATATTGAATTCAAGGAAAATGAAGAGTGTGGCTTAATATTGACTACAATATTAGTAGTATTTACTCAAAAATGAAGAGTAGCTAGGAATTAAATAGGTAAGAAATCTTTGACTACAATATTTTTTTTTTGGTTTTTTTTTTTCATTCCATGCATGACCATCGGTCCATTGCATGCATACACGTTTAGTACTTTTGGTAAATAATTATTTTGACTAAGAAACAAAATCAAGTACATATATAAGTCTTTACATCGGTATAGTATAAACCGCGATTTTGTTTCTGGTTTAAGGCTATTGAGTATTTGTAAGGTTATTGGTCTGCCTCGGTCGTCCGTATAACTCGTCCCAGTTCACTAAAAAAAACACTACAAAAAAACAGGTATATTGCATCATTTATTTTAAATATTTGTATTAGTTATAATTAATACAAACATGTTTTACATCACTTATAAAACTAATTTTGAATGTAGTAATACAAATAATTAATATCAGTTAGTTATCAATTGATGCAAATCAATACTATTAATTAAGGATCACTTCAATGTTTAAACATATTTCATATGTTATATTACATGAAATGCCATTGCATTTTAACATATTCCTTAGAATTTCATTAATGGCAGTTTAGTCATTTGTTAATTCAACCAATTAATATTTATTTTTTTTCTTTATTTAATTCTTATATTCCTATTACCAAACACATTAATTTTCAAATATTCTTTAGATTAGTTTAACTCCAATTACCAAATACATTTAATTAATTTCGAACTTCTCATAAATAGTTATTTCGACAATTTTAATTAATCATAGAATTAAATACAACCAACTTTATATAAAAATGACAATTATAATTACTCTATATATGAGATTAAATTGTAAATATTTATACAATTTAAAACATTTTGTGAAAATAACAAATAATATTTTTCAAATCTTTAGCATTATATAACAATATAAGAAAATAACAATTATAATTAATATAAATAAATATAATTAAATTCTACATTTACATAATATAAAACATATTGCAAAATAATTATTACAAAAAAAAATTATATTCTTATTATTATGCAATAATATAACCAAACACATATGTTTGTAGGAAAATAAACTAAAACCTAATTTTTATGACTAATTATATATTATTTGTTATATGTTTAGTGCAATCTAATATTAAATTAAATTTTGATTAGATTAATTTCAAATTTAAAAGCAACCTGTTCAAATTTTAAAAAAAACCATGGTTAATTAACAGTAAAAGATAATAACCATATAATTTTATTTAAATTATATTTAGTTCTATAAAATATCTAATGAATCGATTTTGTAATATTTTATTAATATTCAATTACTAAAATTATGGAGCAAGCTTTTCAAAGAAAATTAAAATATTTTTGAATTAAGAAACAATAACTGCATAAATTTAAAGCATAATCTAAAAAATATGTATTCTAGCATATTTTCAAAAATATTACAAAAATATTGATAAATTTTTATTGTAGATGTAAAAACATATTAATAATAAGTTAGTAAATCAAGAAAAGATTTTCATAATTTACAATTAACAAAATAAAAGTATTTATTATAATATTATTTCAATAAACTATAAGGGAAATAAAAACAGTATCTCACATTATCTCATTTTCTCTAATTTATTTTGGCTAATTGTTTTCTCTATTTAGATTTTCAAAAAAAAATATTTTTGCAAACATCAATATTTTTTGTCGAAATTAATTTTTTATATGTTAAATATTTTGTTTCAGTTTGTTTACTATGTATATGGTGGTTATTTTTATTTTTTTTTAGTTTTTAATTTATCATTTTTTGTTTGACAAAGAAGAAGAAGAATAAATAAGAAGGAGAAGAAGAAGGAGGAGAATAAAGAGAAGTGATGGATGAGAAGAAGAGTAGATGAAAAAGAAGAAGAAAAGAGAAAAAAAAAAGAGAAGAACATGAGAAGAAGGAGAATAAGTGATAAAGAAGAAGAAAGAAAAGAAAGGATAATAAGAAGGGATGAAAAAGAAGAAAAATGAATAAGAAGGAGAAATGATGACGAATAAGACCAATAGAGAAGATGAAAAAACAGAAAAGGAGAACATAGAAGAAAGAGAATGGATGAAGAGGAAGAAGACATGAAGGAGGAAGAGAAGAAGAAGACGAAGGATAATAAGGAGAAGAATGGATGAAGAAGAATATTGATACATAGAAGAAGAAAAAGAAGGAGAGAGAGGAAGAACAACAAAGGAGAAAATGAGAAGAAAAGATGAAAAAGAAGAAGAAGAAGGGATGAAGGAGAAGACGAAGGAGTAAGCAAGAGTCGTTAGCTCGACTGGTAAAGGATCTAGGCAAAGTTTATAAATCACATGATCGAGTGACTCTTGGTATTAAACTAATATTATATGATGTGGTTTCGGGCCTGCAGAGATTGCAGGCTTCGGCCCAGAACTTCATGGTAATCTAAAAAAAGAAAGAAGGAGAAAAACAGAGAAAAAAAAAGGAAAAAAAGAAAAATAAAGGATAAAAAGAAGAAGGAGAAGAACAAAAACAAATGAAGGAAGAGAAGAAGAAAATATGAAGAAGAAGAAGTAGGAGAAACAGAAAAAGAAGAAAGAATTGTTGGGGTCGGTCTCCACTATGACGAAATCAACAAAGAAAAGGTTAGTAATGGAAATGAGTCTAGCCAAATCGAAGAGGTGATAAGCCAGACTGACAAGGTGAGCTGGCAAACCACCGAGCTGAACTGGCGAACCGCCGAGCAGAAACAACAAGTTGGATCGATAAAGACGAATTAAACCATTCATGTCCTAGATAGGTGGACCAAACTAACAAGATATACCAAACCGATGATTCGAGATCAATATTTTTAAATAAAAATAATAGTGTGATTAACAAAATTACAACTAGATATTCAAACCTGTAAAAAACCGACTACAACATAAGAACACAAGTTATATATGAAATCAGTATTATATTATATCTTTAAATATAAAAGTTGGGTTTGGAAAACAACAATATGCGGAGACCGACCCCAACAATTCTTTCTTCTCTTTCTGTTTAAAAAGAAACAGATAATATAAATGAAGAAGAAAGAATAGGAAGGGAGAAGGAGAAGAAAAAAAACTAAAGACAATATTAAAAAATATAAATTTTATGTAAAACCAATAACATATTATCATAGTTTACAATAACAACTTGTGTGTCTACTATATTGATTTAGTTGCACGTAACTTATATTATCTTATTTTCAAATTTATATTTTTATATTTACAAAATTTAATTTTAATCCTCATAACACATAAATAAATAATTTTAATTTAATATAACTATAGTTTTTTTTGTAGAAGGGGGGTGGAGGAGACATATCGTAACTGAAAATTGAAACTAAAGTAGGTGAAACCGAATCTAAAAACTGGACACCTAGAAGAAGGGAAAAAGCAGAGTTAGCTAATCGATCAACAAGACAATTAGCTTTTCTGTTAGCAAGAAAAAAAGACAAATGAAAAACAGACTATTCATTCTCTCGAAATAAAATCATGATATATATGTACCAGGAAACAGATTATCTTATAATATAATATATAATAAATCTTCTTATACTACATAATTTAAACATTTATAAAATTTACTTCAAGAATCATATACCTGCGCGGGCGTGCAGGTCCAACATCTAGTTTATTTTATTTTTGCATCAATTGTTAAAATCGATGTTAATATGTGTCAATTACAAAAAAACTGATGTTATCATTTGCATCAATTTTTTTATTAATGATATTAGTATTTGTGACAATTATAATAAATGATGTTAAAATTTATTTAGTTTAATATTATGATTATTTCATAAATATTAATAATAATATTATTATTGTAATCTAAAAATTTATGCATCAATAATTTCAAAATTAATTTTATTGGCTAGTAAATATAAATATTAGGTACTTAAGTTTCGATATATATAGACATGTTTTCTCTTTCATTTTTTATCAACTAGCGATGTGGGACAAAGTACAAAACGTTAGTTACATCAATTTTAACTGATATAAAATTTATATCATTATTTTAAATGATGTTAAATAAAATTATTGATTACATCGATTATTTAACTGATTTGAATACATAATTTTATATCAATTTTATTTAAGTGATATAAACTAATATAAATTTGTATCAATTTTATTGAACTGAAGTTAAATAATCAATAAAAACATCAATTATGATAAATGATGTTAAATCATATATTTTGAATCATTTAATAATAAGTAATTTAATATCTATACTATTTAGTTTTGTGATACAATCTAAGTGATGTAATCAATCCTTTTTTGTAGTGGTTATACATTTTTACTAATTAATGCGAGATTATTTATCATATGGTATCAGAGCGATTGAATACATATATGATATATATCTCTAACAAACATCCACTTCATCAACTTCAGACGTTCATGACCATGCTGATTTTCACCGATCTGTTAACTGACGTCATTCTTTGATTTTCACCGGATCCTCATGGTACTTGATTGTTGCAGATTCTTAGGGAGAGACTATTTCATGGTAACTATTCAGTGGTGAAATCTCATGAACCTTTACTAGATTTGGGCCCAACGAAAGCATATGCACAAGAACCGAATTACTCCATAGATAATTATATTGGTAATATTAAACCATAATGGATATTTATACAAATTATGGTTCAGGTCTCGACTTTTAGATACAATTTATGAAATATGATATTAGTTTTGACCTCAATTCTTGACGGCACAAGTATAAACAAGCTGTCTCGTCGGATTATGGTATTAATATAATGTCATAAGGTCGAATAATACAATTTTGACGTATATGTTTGAAGATACGTAAAATGCAAACGTCGTAAAAAATTCCACATTTTACGTCAATTTCCTCCCGCATTTATACATACAAGTTTAATATTTAGCGTACATATATCACAAGGTATAGAAACATCACTTATTTATAGACATGATTAAACAAAACACAACAATTTGTCAAGAAATATAAAAGAACAACAGATGAAAATGAACGTATATGCATCGTGATAATAAATAAAAGGTAAAAGGAAAATCAAAGATAATTAAGAGAAAAAGAGGGCTATATCAAATATTAAAAATGGTCAAGAATCGTACGTAAAAGAAACTGGTGATCTCTTTGTTGTTGTTGCATTCTTTGCCCTCTCGCTTCTTTAATCATATTGTTTGTGTATATGCTTCTTGAAATTAAGAAGCCTGCCTGTAGCAATGCGTGATGACGCTGCAGCCGCGTCTGTAAGGGTTAGCCCTTTTCCTCTTCTTGCAATCGTAGTAAGACCGGCCACGTCGGTTGCACGGCACATTGTTCTTCTTGAGCGCACCGTAACTGATGTAGCTGCGCCTTGCGGCTAGTTGGCGCCGGTTGGTCTCAGAATCCATCAAGGACTCAAACACATCATCATCTCCAATGCAACCTTGGCCATTGACACAAGATTTGGTCAGGGTCCAGGTGGCATTGGCTGATTCGGCGACTACGGCCAGGGTCAAGAGGCCAAGGATCAACAAGAACTTGATACCCATTTGGTTTTCTTTGTGTATTGTTTGGTGATGAGATTTAAAGGTTTTCTTTTATGGTTGTAGAACTAAAATGGTGGATTCTTCTACGCCCTTCCTTGTGAAAGGAGGGAGAAATAGAAGTGATATTGCAGAAGAACAAATGAGGGATGCTTTTGTTGAGGATAAAAAAAGGGGAAGACAGAGTGTAAAGTTTTGTTTTTAAATTCATGTGGTTGTTAATTTCGTTTTCTTAAGTGTTGGCCCTTTTTTAGGATTTTATTTATTTATTATTGATTGGCATCGTTAATTTCTTGGTTTAAATTTGTTAATTATATATGTGGCGTTCCTCTTTGATCGGGTATCCTGTTATGTATGGAGAAATATAATTAATTAAAATGTTCGATTTAGCTTGCGATCCCAAAGGCTAATTGAGGAGTTACTTCCAGCATCATGTGTCTTTTTTGCACATTTATGTTCGTACAATCAGCTCCAAATAGGTGAATCAATACATGTAGTCCAAACGATTTGTATTATAATGTTTATTATCTGAGTTCAAGTTCGAGATATAATGCATTTTTTTGTCAAAAAGTAAATCAGTTCCAGTTCCAGATATAGATGGCTCAAACACAATATTTTTTCTAATGTTTGTTTTTAAGATTTTCAAGTTTTTCGTTTTGTTAAAGCAAAAAAAGTAAAAACTAAATTAAATTTACATGAATTCTCCCATCTAATTGAGAACATGAAAGTTTATATTATTCGTAAACTTGAGAGTTATCTATCAAGAATACAAACTCTGAATATACCCATCAAGAAATGTCGTATATACAAACTCTGAATATAGTGAAAGACAAGAATTCGGGTATTTTGTTGCATTTATATATGTAGCTAAAATAAATACATATAAAGTCGGTTAACATTTCTTGGCTATATAACTACGGATTAGGAAAGTTAATTTAACCAGCCACATGCATGGATAGAATGGTTGATCCGTGTAAATTTAGCAACAACCATTCGTTGGTATTTGCTACGGACGATCCGATGCTATCCATAGGCCATAGCTCAATGATGCGATCATACGAATGGCTACATGCTGTCACGTCTAAACTATTACCATTGTTTAGGTTAAGCACGTATAATCCGTCGTCAAGTTTAACTTCAACAAAACACAGAAACAATTATTAATTTATCCCATTGAAACAAACAATCATTTATACATTTATTGTAATATTCTGACTCTGCACCAGATAAGTGGTGTGAGGCAGAGGCATCTTCTTATCTAGGGGCAATCAACTTGGTTAGAAAAGTATTCAAAAAAGCAAAAACGAATAAAGGAAACCCAAAAAGAAACTGAAATTGTAATTGGAAAAGAATAATATCATTTTTGGGGTTAAAAGAATCTCATCTATTATAAAAGGCAGACATAGATGTACTGTTGGTCCAAGCTAAATCAAGATGAAGTTTTTGTTTCAGCTGCCTTGCTGTTCATGCTTCTGTTTCGTCAAGCCAAAGAAGGGAAAACACAAGGAGGGGGAGACAAAGAAAGAATAATGAGAAAGCATCTTCAAAGAGAGAATGAATCGTCCGTACTAATCTTGTTGGTGTAAATTTTCTGTTACTTCATTGATGAATCACTTTGGTTCGGTTCCCTCAATATGACTTATACAAAAATCTTTCTTTTTGATTCTTCTTAAACGTGTTCTACAATATATTTCTTCATATATATGAATACTTATATATACATAACTGATAAAGCAAGTGCAAGAACACATACATACACACACACACACACATATATTCATATTAACATATCCACACAAACTAAGTTTTCTTTTGTCTAATCAAGTTTTCTCAGCCTTACATGTCCATTGATGCCCTTGAAAATATTCATGTATTATGATGCTTAATGCACAAGTTTATTGGGCTTTGGTTTGGGACCGGACCTGCGAGAGGAGGACATATTAAAATATTGAAAGCAGTAGTGGGTTGATGGGTTGCAGATATCTCTTAGATAAATGCAATAATTTGAGTTTGAAAGTAAATTCAATTAATGACTTAGAAAAATGATCACATCTTATGGCTTATTTTACTATAGTGTATGAAAGCCATCTAGATTTTTACTCTTCGAATCCAAGTCCGGAAGCCAAGCCGAAATGATTTCATAGGAATACAGGTTGTAAAAGCTTTCTGCAAATATCTATTCACATTTTTGTATCTTTACCAAAATGTCTCCCTAAATAGGTATTTTGCCAATTTTGGATGAACATATGAAAAGAAGAAAATGCTAATTGAAGTGGAAACGATGGAAAGAAAAAGAAACAAACAAACGTAGAAGATAAGGTTTTTGCCTCGTATTTAGTGGGTGTCCGTTTGTGTGGTTGGTTAGAAACTTAGAATCAATGAATGTGATCTAGAAATATAGAAGAGCACCAATAAATTGAAGTCAATATATGCATACAAAAACATGAGAAAATGTATGTTTTGGTTTGTTTATATTAGCCTTTAATTAAAACAAAAGTAGAACTTGAAATAAAGTATACATCGGCGATTATAATATACACTAATCACTTAATGCCTAACAAAATCTAAAAGTTTGGCTGTTATATATATACTCCCGGTACATATCTTTTTTCTATAAATTACTTGCACATTTTACTCTTACAATTTACAAACTAGACAAATCGCTAAAGCCGCTGAGTGATCGGGACATTATGTAACGTAGCCAAAACACGAATGTTGCAAAAATGTACGTAAAATGCAACAACTAAGTCGATATAAGAAACAAAATAATTATAAATTGATGTGATATATAATGCCACGGTGGTGGTAAATGCTAAACGCCTAATGGAGATTATTAGTAAAGAATTGCAACCCAAAAGAAGAAACAAAATATAAAGTGCGTTAAAATCAAATTTAAACTTGGACTGTGATGTATAACATTATAAGTAACCGGTTCAACTCCAATACAAAACATTTAAAATTTGATATAAGTAATTCATGTACCAATATCTAGTTACGGATGTTTTTATTAAAATATATATATATATATATATAAGTAGGGTTCTTAATCCCACTTTAAGAGAGAATGAGACTATATATTAAAAAAGTTATATAAGAATTTCATAATTAAATGTGGTTGAGTTGGAGCAATTTAAAGATGAATGATATATTGAAAAAAATGATACTTATAATTCTGTAGTACCGTATATATTGTAAAAATTTCCACCTCCCAGTCTTTTCAACGAAAAAAACAAATTTCCACGTCCCACCAGACAAGAACTGCAGTCTTTAGACTTGGAGTTTCCCTCTAAGGAATTTAATTTTTCTTTAAATCGTTAGTTGAGTGAAGAAGAAACTGATTAGTTATCTTGCTTCAATTGAATATATATCGTATTTAAATAATTTCTGGTAAAAAAAGAGTCCATTGATTTCGAAATTCTTGAGCAATAAAAATACGCTATATATCTGCCAATCAAAAATCCTAGAAATAATTGTAAATTCAGAAATTGCATTATAGTTATATAGCTTATGCTATTTTGATCTGAATTGAGGAGGGAACGGTGTCCATTTGGAAAAGATGGGATTCAATAATCTCGTTTTGCCTATCCAGACGATCACAACAACACGCACGAAGCTATCTAAGATAAACAAGGACAAGGAAGATATCGTACGTTGGATCTTGAAATTCGCAGGACGTCGTAAGAAGATTCTCTTCTTAATCTCCACTCTTGTCTTCATTCGCCTCCTTTATCTCTGGAAAGGTACTATACTTTTGTTTGATTGCTGTTTATTAATTTGAGGTTTTATAATTCATAGCTCATGTTTTTAGTTTCAGCTCACAACTTGGAGAAAACTCTTTTTTCTTTTTCTTTTCCAATTCATATTATGCTTTTTGCTCACGAGTTTCAGAATTGAGAAATATATCGATGTTTCTTTAGTTTAGTATTGTGAGTATACTTTTGCATAGAAGTTTGATAAGCATAATTATAAAATCTTAAGAAGGATTGAAACCGATTTTAGTGTAGCTAAGCCAAAAATTTACCTAAGTGTTTTTTTTATATATAAAAATCTAACGTATATATAAATAATAAATGTAAGCATACCTCAGGTGCTATATAAATCTGCTTGTGGCTTCTATTTTGGTTGCAATCAGGTGAAGATGGTCAGAAAGTTGAAGTTCCTCCGAGTGTGCCTTACAATGGCATTACAAATAAAGAGCAAATAAGCAATATCCACAACAATTTATCTTACGTGAGGAAATCCGTTAAAGCGTATCGGCCTCGTCCTCCTCCATATTTTCGTGGCTATAAACTTCCTCAAGACCATCCATGTAACAGATTCACTCTACCTCCTCCACCAGCTGACAAGAAGAGAACCGGACCACGCCGTAAGATTAAAACACTAATGATAGCTTAGAGACTTACTTTTGTCTTGCATGCATGGCGTTTTGTGTAAGCATTAAACTGTTCTTGCCTGTTTTTGGTTTTTTTTCAGCATGTCCGGTTTGTTACCTTCCATTAGAAGAAGCAATCGGTTTGATGCCAAGCTCACCGTCGTTTTCCCCTGTTCTCAAGAATCTAACATATATACATGAGGAACCACTAAACCGGAAAACAGAGTTTGGAGGGTCAGATTTTGGCGGTTATCCGACTTTGAAACAGAGGAAAAGATCTTTTAATATCAAATCATCGATGAGCGTTCATTGCGGGTAAGTGTATGTATCTATGAGTTCTTGTCTCATTTTTCTCTGTGGACTATGAACCACAAATGCTTTTTCTTTACCAGATTTGTTAAAGGACGTGAACCAGGAAGAGGAACAGGATTTGATATCGATGAGACTGATCTTCGTGAAATGAAACGATGTCGAGGGATAGTTGTTGCTTCAACAGTATTTGGTCATTACTTAATGCTTCTCCGGTCATTTTAAATAATTTTCTTTTCTTATGGTTTTCTAATGAATAAGAAGTTTCTCTTACTCATTTTCAGATGCTTTCGATGATGTGAAGAGCCCGAGCAATATTAGTAAATATTCAGAGCAAACTGTTTGCTTCCTCATGTTTGTTGATGAAAAAACCGAATCAAGCTTGAAGAAAGATAAAGGCTTTAATAGAACCACCAAGAAAGTAGGATTATGGAGAGTTGTCGTTGTTCATAATCTTCCTTATACAGATGGAAGGCGAAACGGAAAGGTAAATACTAAATATATATAACATTTTTTTTTTCTATCTTTTGAATATGAAAATATTATCATCTTTATTTTCTTGTAGGTGCCAAAGCTTCTTGTCCATAGGCTGTTTCCGAATTCTCGTTATTCGTTATGGATTGATGGAAAGTTGGACCTTGTGGTCGATCCACATCAAATTCTCGAGAGGTTATTAAATTATATTAGTCTTGGAGACTCTGTGTTCTACGCAGCCATACTCTGACATTCACATTATTTATTTGGTTTTAGGTTCTTGTGGAGGGAAAATGTCACGTTTGCAATCTCTAGACATTACAAACGGTTTGATGTATTTGTTGAAGCCGAAGCAAATAAAGCTGCTGGTAAATATGCTAATTCGTCTATCGATTTTCAAGTGAATTTCTACAAGAAAGAGGGTTTAACACCTTATTCTTCTGCCAAGCTCCCAATCACAAGCGGTATAGATATATGTTTTCTTTAGCATTAATTATAATATAATCTTAAACTTTGGTATCAATGACACTTGTATGGGTGGAATTTTGCAGATGTACCAGAAGGATGTGTCATTTTAAGAGAGCATGTACCAATTAGTAATCTGTTTACTTGCCTTTGGTTTAATGAAGTTGATCGCTTCACTTCTAGAGACCAAATCAGCTTCTCAACAGTAAGAGACAATATAGCCGCAAGAACAAAATGGAATGTGAACATGTTTATGGACTGCGAAAGACGCAACTTTGTGGTTCAGGTGATTCTTCTTCTTGCTAATGATTTTTCATTTATAAAAATAGTGTAGTACCAAAATAGTCTAACTTTTGTGTCAATTTCTATTACAAGACTCAAAACTAGCAATATCATATCATATTTTTCATTTTTGTGTAGCAAAAAAGACTAGGGTTTTAATTAAGCTAAAAGGCCCAAGACCTAAGCTATTCACAAGAATATAATTTGGGGTAAAAGGCCCATTTTAACTTTTGAGAAAATACATTTTATATATAACGGAAAAAAAAAAGAGCGAGACTGTTTATAGCATGATAGTAATACACACATTCAGGCTTGGTGTTTTTATTTTTATTCATTTTAAACTGTGAATAATGCAGAGATATCATCGAGTAGATCAAGAGAAACTGAAGAAGAAACAATCTCCAATGGCCATTATTTCTCCACCGGCGTTGATCAGCAGCGATTTGCCTAGAAAGTTGTCGAAGGTGAGTCCAGTGGTGAGCATAACGCCGCCCAGAATGCGAGGAAGAGACAAACAATAGAGTTCAAGGAGTCACTCTCACATATAAGCTACTTTGCCTGCAAGATCACCAGAAACAGCTCAAGGAGAATTGGTTGGTTACTTAACTCATATGATTCAAAATCAATCTTCTAATGTATATATATATGCACTACAAAACGAGCATTATAAGTGGACATTAGATTATAAAGAAAGTTTCTTATAAGATGCATCATTCCTATCTCAAAGGGTCTTTATAAATTCACATTAGCAATTTAGCATGTGTAGGAAATTTTGTGTATAGCAAGGCTCTGCCATCGATTTCACATGCATGAAGTGCTTACTATGTATTTGTCTCCAATAATCTATAAAAGAAAAACCAATGTACTTATGGAATTTCTCATTCATAATCTCATATTTATCAAGTCAACTAACTAGCAAGTGCCTATAAAACTATGCAGTCGAGGCGACGTTATTAGATTTGAGTATTTGTTTGAAGTAGTATAGAGAAAGTGCAGACCATTAGTTACAAATGTTTGACTCATGAAAAAAATAATATTTAAGAGATAATGGAGCAATTTAGAATAACTTACGTTAATGAAGCAATATCGACGGTCCACAAAGACCAAGTGGTGGGTAAACTATAAAGGCTTTCCCACCAAAGTAAATAAATAAATAAACATAGTTTGTGTCCATTCAAAATAAGGAAAAAAGTGGTAATATAAAAATGTGAAAAAAAAATAAAGGGTTCCACTTTGTATAAATCAAAATCATTGTGCTAATGGAATCTGTTGTCACAATAGTTTCTCCACTTTCTTTACAATCTGCCGCACTCTTATTATTATATGCACTTAGATCTATAGATGTACTCACACTCGTATATGCAATGTATAAAGCAAAAGCATGGCTGCTGCTGAATTATTATTGCTCCATTTCAAGTAGAAACTGTTCCTTGCATTTTGGAAATATTGAGAAGAATGTATTTTAATCATTTTATTCTGATGCGAGTTAGCTGAAACCAAATCTCATAAAAAAAAAAATTTATCGTTATATATCCAGGTTTTAGTTTTTACCACATTAGTACAGTATGACCAAATAATCTCATTTTTTATTCCAAATGATTTCGTATTGAAATAATCAGGATCTGAATAAAATATAATTATATAAGTTCTCTTATGTAACTTCATCATTTGTATTTATTCTCTTGATTAAAGACATGACCGGCCATGATAATTCTTTTCTTTTATACACACGCACATTTATAAACCAGAACCAGATCGCGTCACATGTGTTTGATGTACAAGGTTATCTTAACAAATAATCAAATTGACATCACCACCATATCGGATATATAAAGTTAGATTTTTGTTTTCTCTATTGTAAGAGGACTTGTTTTTCTTTCATATAGATATTTGTTTACCTATAAACATCATTATCGGAGGGCGCGTCCTTTATTAAACAACATAAACAATTTCGTATGAGTTTTTCATACTGCGTAATATGCTTCGAACCGATCAGATGGAGTATAGTTCGTCTTAAAATATAAATTACTAAACATCTAGAGTTTTTAGCTGATTTTACAGCAAAACGCCATATTTTAATTAAGTTGCTGAAAATAAACTAGCCTTAAAGGTTGGTCAATGGCTCTATGCGATAAGATATATTACGTTTACGTAGAGTGGTAAAATATATAATCACCACATTGTGCATGAAGAGGAGAAGACATCAGAGAGATCTAATACTGACTTGTCGAATACAATGTCCTTCATGCAGAATCGTATTGTAACGTTGCATGAACCGTATTTGAGCTTTTACTATTCGGACGTGATAGTTGGAGTTATCAATTAATGTATATGTTCAATAACCTCGAGATTCCTTGTAACCAAATTGCTCCTAATGAAAATGTGTTGAAAAAGGAAACACTTACTCATTCCACGACACGTATGATTATCTTAATCAGATAATACTCTTTCGGATGAGCACAAGGGCACCAATTAAGATGAAGAGGACATAAGAGTCAAGTGCGTAAACAAATATGGCACACTACTCAAAAGCAAAAAGAAAGCAAATCAATTTGTAAAGAGAAGTTAGGAAGAAGTCATTTTCCAAAGTCCCTTCTTTTCCCTAAATTGTTTTTTTTTTCTTTTTACTAAAAAGTCACTTTACAACTAGGATAAACATGTTCATCAATCTTCCCCACTTTTCCCAATTAATATATATTTTTTTTTCTACAAACTTCGCATTATTTGACTTTACACTTTGCTAAGACTTTCAACCACTTGCTTCGGTGTTAACAACACACTACAATCACTAATTCAACCATCCCATAATTTTAAGTAACAAATTATATTGGGACAAAATTAATAATAAGAGTGATGCATTAACCAACAAAATTAAAACCTATCAAAAAAACCTAGGAGGATGCACACACGTTTGCATGTATAGGGTGATGCGATGACTTACATGTAACTAGGGGTGGGCATATTATCTGTTATATTTGATTCAATTCGTTATTTGCTTTGATTCGATCCGAAAAATCGAGATATCCGTAATAATTCAAAGCAAAGCAAATATTAAAATATAGTATCCGTCTAAAACAAATCAAATCGCAAATACTAATTTTTAAAAGTTTAGATATCCGTTCCGATCCGCAGATTACATATATACATATTAATATTATAAATTTTTAATATTTTTATATAATTTAATTATCTTATTAACAAATAAAAAAAGAATATATGATAAAAAATACATATAATAATTCTAAAGTAAGTAATAAACATCTACAATAGTTATCAAATATTTAAAAATAAATTAGAAAAGTTTAGATTAGACTTTTAATTAATTATTATTCTTTTCAGAATATAAAACATGGTTTTTCTTTTTCTATCATTATAATTTATTATTTATATCCATTTTTTTTAAATAAAAATAGTTATTTCACTTATTTTTAATTAGTAGTTCATATTTAAAAAGAACCGCATGTATTTTTACTTTTTACTTGTATTGAATAGAACAAATTTAATATCCATAAGTATCCGTAAATATCCGCAAATATTTGTAAATTTTTTGGATATCCGTATTTTTTCGAAGCAAAGTAAATCACAAAATCAGATATTCGATAAAAATAAAACAAACCATAAATACTCAAAATTTTCTGGATATCCGCTCCGCGCCCATGCCTACATGTAACGCACGTTTAAAGGTTATCCACATTACTCTCAAGTCTGAAGAAACAAAAATAAGTCCAGATTTTACACGTGCCACATTTATCAATTGCTGTAACATAAATAATCACAAATCACTAACTAATCCAAAAGAAAAAAGCCGCATGTTGTCATAAATCAATCCAAGTTTTCGATCAGCCACTCAATTATCTTCTTTGACCTCAGAGTGTTTGTTTGGAATATTCGGGTCTTGCCCTCACAAATTGTCAATGTGGCACAACTATAACAAAAAATGATTGTTTTTCGTTGACTTAATGGCTCGAGAGAAAATTCGAAAGTGTACACCTTCCGTTATAATCAAATGAAACGTGACAAACTCTGAGTAGTTAGAATATCAAACACAATTTTATAAAATTAACTTTCCCAATTATTCAACCAAAATCAAGGATTTTTCGCGGGAAACCACTGTGTCAGAGCCTAATGTAGTTTTTTTGTGTGTGGAAATAATGATTTATGTTTAATGAATATAACTCATACGCATAATTATGACAAATGGTTTCAAACTGAAAGAAGAAGTCCATGGACAAAAAAAGATTCAAATATAATTACTAACTTCTTAAAAACGGAAACATATTATTGTGTTAAGAAGTAGCAATAACTTTTCTAAAGATATTCATATGCATCACATGAATCGTTTGTTGTTGTCTCATGTAAAGAACCGTTTATCGTAAATATTTGTGGTTTATATAAAATCGTTCTTAAAAATTGTTTTGGATTTTTGAGACCAAAATAAAAAAAAAACTGTGTTTTTACGTTTTATGTTTAACAAATTTGGACGTTTATTACTCTAAAAATTGAAATTACTGTTAGCATGATAAATCAAAAAACTATAGTATTTTGTATTTTTTTTTTCTTGTTTCCAGATTTAATGTATATTTAATTTCGGTTGGAAAAGGAAAGGAGGGAGAAAAAGGGGGAGAAGAAAAGGAGTGATGTATAGTTGTGTGTGGAATACTGTTGGTATATTCTCTTCTCCTTCTCCACCGAATATATCTCTTTGCCTTCTTCTTTCCATGTCAAACCTAACCACTTCTCCCACACGAACCACCAGAGAGAAAAGCAGAGAGAGAAGCAGAGAGAAGCAGAGAGCTGAGACGTTTTCATTTGCCATGGTTTGGAGGTTTGTCAATGGCGTCATAGACTCGTGGGACTAAGGGAGAAGTAACTACTCTTGCGTCTTCTGTATTCCTCACTTTTTCCTCCCGCCAGAGGAATTGGCGAGAAATTGACAGAGATTTCGGAAACAAGTGATAAATATATATCCCAAAGCTTCTCATGGTATGTTCCTCCTTCTCCGATTTGCTTTGATCGACCTCTTGTTGAATTACCTTGCGAATTAAGAGAAGGGTCTTGTTAAATTCTTCGCCTTTTGCTGTTTTTAAGGAAATTCATGGCTTCTAAGTTATTTAGAAAGTAAAAAGCTAAGACCTTTTGAGATTCTCCCTGTATTTTGGAGAAAACCCTTCACCTCTCAAACTCGTTTCACGCTCTCTTTGTTGTGTATGTTTCATCGATCCCTGACCGCAAAATACAGGGAGACTTCTGATGGTTTTCTGAGCTGTAAAGTGCAATCATTTTCTCTGTTCTGTGCTCTTTTCTTAGTTCAAATTGCCAAATTTGTATTTAGCGTGCATCTACACAACTCGTATGCTTCGTTCTTTATTTGTTTTGAAGCTCCTGCTGCTCTAACGTCCTGTGATAAGTAAGATACAAATGACACTTTTTTTTTTGCAGGTTCGATGGAAATTCTTAGCTGATGGACGATAATCTGGTTCACTTCGCCTAAGAAATTAACGAGCTTTCATCATGATGGTCTCATTCTCACACTGGTGGGAATATGCGTGAATGATTGTCAAGAGACCGATCTTGTTTCTCACTTCGTTATATCTGTTTGATCTCTATCCTGTTTCCTATATATATATACTTTGGATTCTAGCTCCTTTAGGGCAAATCTCCTTTGGCATAGTAACACTTAAGCAGCACAAGTGAAGTTTTTTCCCGTTAGGTGGCTTTGATACAAAGCCATTTCTCTGTGGAGACTTCATCTTTCTGCCTTCAAATTTCTTACCCTTATCCTAGGGCGTATCTCCTTTGGCATTTGAAACTCCAGTTACATCTTGGGTTCCCCTTTGAAGTTTAATCCAACTTGGATACTTCAGTCCATTCGTTGGGCAAATCTCCTTTGGCAATTCAGAGTCATCAGTTGGCTCACTTTATCTCTAGTCGAGCAAATCTCCTTTGGCATTATCCGAGTCCGTGTTGGCTCACCTTTATCATCAGTTGAGCAAATCTCCTTTGGCATTATCCGAGTCTTACACTTGACTCCTACTATCTTAGTCGACCAGATCTCATCCCGGTCCTCAGTTTCAAGATTTTCAAGTACACCTTTGCTGTTTGTGCGTATCAGTTATCTTACGTCAGAGTACACACACCTATTTGCTAAGAAATACTGCAGGGAAGGTACACCGTTTCTGATCAGAGTTTCTCTTAAGGTAATAACATATCATATCTTCTTGGCTGTCAGAAATTCTTATATCATTTGCTTCTGTTTGGTTTTTGAGCACTTCACGAAAATCTAGTTTCATGGCAGGCATCTAAACAATGGATATGACCCTTACTGATTCGGATTGGGAAAGCTCCAGTGACAGTGGTAGCAGTGAACACGAAGAAGTCGAGTTTTCTTATGGCGGACGGGCTCGGGACATTTTCTCAAACCTTGAAGAGACCATTGGCAAGATCGATGAGTTCTTGTCGTTCGAGAGGGGATTTATGTACGGTGACATTGTGCGGTCCACGACTGAACCATCCGGACAGAGTGGCAGGGTTATCAATGTAGACATGTCTGTCAATCTCGAGAGTATTCATGGGAAGATTGTGAAGGACGTTGACACCAAGAGGCTTCAAAAGTTGCGTTCTATCTCGCTCTGTGATTATGTGATCAATGGGCCTTGGCTTGGAAGAGTTGACAAAATAGTTGAGCGTGTCTCTGTCACCCTTGACGATGGGTCCAACTATGAGGTCCTTGTAAGCGATCAAGATAAGCTTGTGGCCATTCCCCCAAATTTGCTTGAAGATTCTCAGTATTCTTATTACCCGGGGCAGAGAGTTCAGGTAAAGCTGGCCCATGCTCCAAGATCAACTACATGGTTATGCGGGAACTGGAGGGAGAACCAAGTTGTGGGAACTGTTTGCGCTGTAGAAGCAGGACTTGTCTACGTCGATTGGGTTGCCTCCATCATCATGGGGGGTAATCGGAATTTAACTGCACCTCAAGCGTTGCAGAATCCTGAGAATTTAACTTTGTTACCTTCTGTTTCTCATGCAAGTTGGCAGCTTGGTGACTGGTGCATCCTCCCTGGCTCTCCCCACTGTGATATAGCAGAACTGCAAACTACAAATGTGGTTGCATACAATCAAGGGTTTAACAGAAATATTCAGAGCTCAATTTCGGATGAGCTTTTTGCTATTACGAAGACAAAGATGAAGGTTGATGTTATGTGGCAAGATGGTAGCTGCAGTGTGGGAGTTGATTCCCAGCAGTTGCTTCCTGTTGGTGCTGTTAATGCTCATGATTTTTGGCCCGAACAGTTTGTCGTGGAAAAGGAAACCTGCAACACCGAAAGATGGGGAGTTGTGAAGGCTGTCAATGCGAAGGAACAAACTGTGAAGGTACAATGGAGAACACAGGCTGAGAAAGAAGCAACAGGTTGTGTTGGTGAGCAGATGGAGGAGATTGTCAGTGCATATGAACTGCTTGAGCACCCTGATTTTGGATTCTGTTTCAGCGATGTGGTGTTCAGGTTACCTCCAGAAGGAAAAATTGATCCAAATGCAGACATAATCGTTTCCACAGGGACGAAACACCTACATACAGAGAGTGACTACAGTGGCGCATACTGTTTGTCTAGTATTGGCGTTGTTGCAGGTTTCAAAAGTGGTGTCCTGGAGGTGAAATGGGCCAATGGTTCTACTAGTAAGGTATGTATTATGCTACTTATATTTTCTTAAAAACACTATATTATATGTGAAAATGCTAATGTGGTTGAAAAATGTGTAACTTAGTTGGGTTCTTTTGGTTTTGTCCTGAACCAAGCCTGGAATGTTTACTTCACTAAGTCTTGTTCTGTGACCAGTTAATCGCTTAAAGAAGTCTCAGTTTTATTATTGGTGTTTATGTGCTGAAAAGTGTACTATATTGAAGCAGCAGTAAGGTTTATATGCTGTTAAACAATTTCTCTTAAAATATTTGTTTATTCAGGTTGCACCATATGAAATTTGGAGGATGGAAAGGTCTGAATTTTCCAACTCTGGCACTATAAGTTCGGAAGGCAGTGTTCAAGATCTAAGTCAGAAGATAGGTCAATCAGATGAATCTTCTTCAAACCTTCAGGAAACGGTACTTCAATACATTCACCATCTGGCTAACTCCATTTTTTTTTCCTGATGTTTCATTGGTATTTGGATGTCCTAGAGTCTTTGGACCGTGATGAATATATCAGTGTATTCACATAGCAGCGAATTTCCTATTTCCTGGTGACTTAGATTATATCTGTATGTTCAGGGTCTGGTGAAGCTCTACAGTGGTGGTGAAAGCTGCAACAAGAACATTCCGGAATGTCGTTCATTTTTCCTTCCGAAAGCTGCAATTGGATTTATCACAAACCTTGCATCAAGCCTTTTCGGTTCTCAGGGTTCCACGTCGGTTATAAGTTCACATGAATGTTGCAATGGTTCTGAAGATCAAAGCGACTCTGAGGATCTTTTCCAAGAAGCATCAGAATCACATGACATCTCTGAATCAACTTTAGGTGAAGTGGGCATGGCCACGATGGTCAACTTACCTATAGAAGGAAATGGTCTCAACAAGATAATAGATTCAACTCTTCTGGAGAACAACAGGAAACTAGCGAGTTTCAGACAGTTTGATATGGTTACTGACTGCTCAGACCATCATTTCCTTTCTTCAGGCAAAGAGTTGGCACAATCTCAGGTATGCCTCTTTAGACCAACGTTTAAAATTCAAAGAACAGTTTAAATTACACTTTTTTCATTTTCATCTCTTATACACGTTCTGCATTTTCAATCTCTTATCATAGGTCACAAAGAGTTGGGTGAAGAAAGTCCAGCAAGAATGGAGCAATTTGGAGGCAGATCTTCCCAGTAAGTTCTTACTCTTTCTCATTATTTTTTCTCTGTTTGATTATTGCATGTTCTGAAGTAGTGTTTAAATAAAAATTTTACTGAACTCGACTCTTTTCTTGCGATGAACAGACACAATATACGTGCGTGTGTATGAGGAAAGGATGGACCTTCTGCGTGCAGCCCTAGTTGGTGCCCCTGGAACACCATACCACGACGGGCTTTTCTTTTTCGACATAATACTTCCACCTCAATATCCTCATGAGCCACCAGTAAGTTTCACGTACTTTAACTTCTCTATCTACATAATACTTTTTCTATTGTTTAAAAGTGTTTTGGTTCTCTATGATTTACAGATGGTACATTATCATTCAGGTGGGATGCGACTGAATCCTAACCTGTACGAGTCAGGAAGAGTCTGCCTGAGTCTGCTGAATACATGGAATGGCTCTGGCACTGAAGTATGGAACCCAGGGAGCTCCTCTATCCTTCAGGTTCTTCTTTCGTTTCAGGCTCTTGTTCTGAATGAGAAGCCGTACTTCAACGAAGCTGGCTACGATAAGCAGTTGGGCCGAGCCGAGGGAGAGAAAAACTCAGTGAGTTACAATGAGAATGCGTTCCTCATCACCTGCAAATCCATGATCTCGTTACTCCGCAAGCCTCCAAAGGTATGTTTCCGTTGCAACAGTTCAACAAAAAAAAGTGAAAATGACCAAAAGAAACCTTTTTGATCAAGCTCTGTATTGGTGCATTGTAGCATTTTGAGGTGCTTGTGAAGGACCACTTCACGAACCGGGCTGAACATGTTCTGGCTGCGTGCAAGGCTTACATGGAAGGCGTCCCTGTAGGATCATCAGTGAACCTGCACGAGAGCTCAACCACAAACTCCACCGGTTTCAAGATCATGCTGTCTAAACTCTACCCAAAACTTGTCGAAGCATTCTCAGATATTGGAGTTGATTGCGGTCAAGCGATTGCACCGGAATCATGAAGGCTGGCAATGTTTCGATGTCATAACAACAATTCCCTAACATCCAATCATCACTGTATAATATTGGTTTGCGAGGTTGGTAATTCCATACCCAATGTAGAATATGTTCTTTGTACTTAAAATGTGTGTGAATAAAGAAGGCTGTAACATAGGCTCATCTTGTATGTTCCCAAAGGGTTGTTGTTTTGAAGAATCATGTACCATATTTTGTAATAAAAATGAAACACTTGTATTTGTATCTTTGTCCTTACCAATAGTCCAAACATGAACAAGAACCATTTTGAAAATGGTGGAACCGAAGCTTATCTCGCACTATGATCTGCCTGTTGGATACAACAGATATGTACTTGAATGCAGAATGACAATCCTCACAGATGCGCAGATTCTTTACAACTGTAATCGCTACATCGACAGTTTTCAACAACCCGAATGCTACAGCGAGCTTCTCGCTGTGGTATCGAAGTGCGTACTCCTTTTCCTCTTCCTCTACTTGGTGCATCACCGCTTCAGAAACCGGTGTATACCCAATTTCCTTGCATCGGCTCATCAAAGTTTCTAGATACCGATAGATTTCTCCAGTCTCTTGATGAGACTCATCACCCATACTGAACAGATACGTCTTGTTTTCGACTTCAATTACGCTGTAGCCGACTTGTTTTCTAAGGTTGTTCCTCATCATTCCATCTCTTACGTCTGAGACTTCATCTGTTTTGCCACTCAAGGCATAGATATTTGAGAGCATGACATGATGACCAGGATTTTCTGGCTCGAGGGCAATGAGACGCTTGGCGATTTCAACACCGAGATCATAGTTCCTGTGCATCTTGCAAGCTCCAAGCATCGCTGTCCACAACGCTGGAGCAGTTGCTTTCCCTGCAGCATCGAGTTTATGAATGAATCTATAAGCTTCATCCAAAAGCCCAGCCCGTCCAAACATATCTACCATACAAACATGATGTTCCACTCTTGGGATCAATCCATAGCTCTTGGTCATTCTCTTGTAGACCGAACGTCCTTCCTCAACGAGTCCAGCATGAGCGCAAGCCGATAAAACAGCCACAAATGTCACGTCATTAGGGAGTGGACCATGATCGTCCTCCATTTTATCAAACAGGTCTACTGCTTGTTTGCCACATCCATGAGTACCATAAGCAGAGATCATTGCCGTCCAAGCAGCCACATTAGTTTCCTTCATCTTGTCAAAAACTTGCCGAGCTTTTCCAACATCACCGCATCTGGAATACAAGTTGATCAACGCAGTACCGAGTTTAACATTCAGGTCAAGACCCTCAAGAACAATGTACTGATGCACCCAAGATCCTAAACTAATCGCACCGGTTTGTGCACAGGCCGAGAGAAGGCTCACAAACGTCGCTGAATCTGGTTCGAACCCTGATTCTCGCATCTGATAAAACACCCGAATTGCTTCCTCCGCTAGCCCATTTTGCTCCAGACCAGAAACCAACGAATTCCACGCCACAATGGACTTCTCAGGCATTCTATCGAACACTTGGCGTGCAGCTTTCATATCGCCACACTTTGAATAGAACGTAACAAAAGCAGCCTGAACATAAGTATCAAATCCAAACCCAGAAACCACTGCGTGGCAATGAACTCCTTTTCCGATCTTCAAGGCAGAGAGATCGGCGCAGGACTTGATAACGGAGGTGAAAGTGTAGTTACTCGAAGAGACGTTAGATGATAACATACGGCGGTAGTAAGCAACGCAATCCAGAGAAAGACGCAACTTGGAAGTCGATTTGATGATCGAATTGAAGAGAAAGTCATCGGGAAGAGGTACGGAGAGGAAGAGAAGGTGAGTGTAGGCGATGGCTCGAGCGGAACAAGCCAAAGTAACGAGCTTTGTCAAGAGACTCCGGCTACGACCATAGCCCGTGACGATGAGGTGAGCATGAACTTGTTGAAGCTGGTTTAGACGAGGACCTGCTCGAACGATCGCGTCGTAGGCAGCAGAGTTCGCTGCAGCTTTCGTTTCCATTGAAAGTTAGCCATGAGGAATAATAATTCAAAACTCAAAGTCCTAAAACAAGTGTACCGGTTTATCAAAACGCCAAAACTCAGCGTTTCATCTCGCAAACGCGCCGCGATAGGTCAACTCTACTAATAATCCACCTGAAAGTCAACTCTTTTTCATGCGATGTCTAATAAGAGCTGGGCAAATTATCGGTTAGATTTGATTCGGTCTGCTATTTTACCCAAACTTTTCTGGTTTACCCCAACATTTTCCACTTGTCCGACTGTTGTTGAGCTATTTGCTTCGATTCGATTCGAAAAATCCGGATATCCGTAGCTTTACGGAGCAAACCAAATACTAAATTTTGATATCTGTTAAAAACGGAGCAAATCACAAATATTTCAATCCGCTCCGATATACATATATATGTATATATATAAATAATTATATATATAAAATGTATAATTAATATAATTATATGTAAATTTTTATGAATTTATATTTATTTTATTAGTTATTTTAATACAACATTTTAATAAATTTAAAAAGAACAATTTAAAATTTAACATATAAGTTAATTTTTGAATTTTTAATTATTTTCATAAATAATTTTAATTATTTTATAAATATTTTAATTATTTTATAATTAATTTAATATTTTTAAAACGGATTGGATATCCGGTAAAAAATTCAGATTTTAATGGATATCCAAATACCGAATATCCGATTAGTAATGAAGCAAATACGGATTAAAAAGTTATTGATCCGGATGGAGGTAAAACAGATCACATATATCACTAAAATTCTAGATATCTGCTCCGTGCCTAGCATTGTCTATCAAATCAAATACTACAAGAAGAACTTGAAATGTCAAGTTAAGAAAGTAATTGCCTAGAAAGCTGGTGCCTATATGTACTTCTAAGTAAAGAAACTTTAGATTCTCATAGGGAGTTTCAACATATTAATTTTCTTTTATCTTCATTAATAAGATTTTCAATAAAAATTGTTTACAGTTTTGTTTATGAAGTCGTGTTTTTAACTATAGTGATGACAAGACTTTAAACAAACCGTTGACAAAAACACAAAAATATCTAAGCAGGCCCATGTTCTATGGTTATGGTATAAACATTTTATAAAACGTATGATAGATTTCAATCAAAATTTTAAAAAGGAAACAGAAAAACAATAATTAATCGTTCCATGCAGGACCTCACATCGTAGAATAATAAACATTTTATAAAACGTATGATAGATTTCAATCAAATTTTTAAAAAGGAAACAAAAAAAAACAAGAATCGTTTCCATGCAGGACCTCACATCGTAGAAATTGCAACTATTTTCGCCAAACAGCATCCGAAACTTATCTCCTAAAGTAAAGTAAAATGTAAGAACTATGTGACAAATATTCCGAATATGTTTGTATATATGTATTTACATAAGACATCTGCCTAAGACTAATTCTTCGTCTTTTCTCTACTACAACTTGACCACTTTGGTCGTTAAAAGCGACGATTGTTAATTTGTTATTTTTTTTTATATAGAAATCATTCGCATATACGATGAGCCAAACCTCGAACTATTGTGAATTTGTGATTCGTAAAGTTATATATTTTACATTTCTCACACATGTTAGAATTTTCTTGCAACACATATTTGGTTCTTATTTCTGCCACACACTAAAACAATGTTACACGAATGTTGCGAAAAAGTCAAAACGTTGTTTTTGTAAAACCCACTTTAAATTTGTTTTAAACTCGTCAAATCATCACCTTAAGACACGTTTAGTTTATAGTCTTGTGTCCAAATTTAAATTAGCTCTAACCGCAAGAAAATTTTCTTTCTGATGCAATATTTTAGATGCTTTGATTGCATCCAAATATGTCTTCTTTCACAGATAAATATCTCGAAAAAACATGAAAGAAATTACGCTACATCCAAAGAAAAAAAGAGAGGCATCATTATGGTATAAACATTTATAAAAACGTGTATGACAGATCCACCCCAAAATTATTATCAGAAGCAATATACCATCATCCAAGACATCAATCAAATATCTTGATCAGTGAACGGTGAGATGCTTTCATTTATTTGTAGCACACATATACATACGTATGCATTTTTGGTTGATGTCTTGGATGATTGTTTTGGACGATTAGAGAAATTAGCAAATATAAAATAATCTTATTTGCAGAAGACGTAACTGCGAAGAAAGTAAATTTGGGTGGCTATAGACGAACCCTAAAAAGCATCTTTTTAACATTCTTTCAATTTTTTTCAACGAGCTTTAGCATTTTGGAGGATTAAGGTATGGTTTTAGATATGGATTCGCTAGATTGGTGGATTAATAAAAAATTTAAACTGATAACACTTTTATTCTCAAGCTCGTTGTTCTCAATTTGAGCTGAAGCAGCTTTTATTTAAATGAATTAAAAAAACTGAGAGAATGCCACATGTATTTCAGTATTTGTCGTACTATATAGTTGAAGTTGACATTGGAATGAACTCGAGATACGTGAAACAAACTTCCAAGGCATGACGCCACAACCAGCTAGCCACGTGTAAATATAACATATAGACACGCATGATCTTAGCTCTTTAGGGCAAGCCACCCAAAGGTGGGTGACTTTGACTTTATCGATCTTTATCATACAAGAGTTTCTAGATTGGTTTTGGAAGTGTCCACTCCTAAAGTCAAGTACTGCGGTTGGTTTACCAAAACGGGAAAACTCGGCGTTTAATCTCGCAAACGCGCCGCGATAAACATCTCACTCCACTTTAACTTTTTATATATATATATATCATGCGATGTCAAATCAAAGACTACAAGAAGAACCACCTGAAACACAAACACATGTTGTGAGAAAGAAGACGATGAAGATGAAGACCGCTTTTGTAATCATAAACTGTATAATCCTGGCGATTGGAAACTGTGGAGGCCCTCTAATGACGCGTCTCTACTTCAGAAACGGTGGCAAACGAACATGGTTCTCAAGCTTCCTCCAAACCGCAGGTTTTCCCACCATCCTTTTCCCTCTTCTCTTCTCCTTCCTCCGCCGTCGTCGTCGCCGCCGTAGTGAAGAAGAAAAGACTACGTTTTTTCTCATAAAACCTCCTCTGTTCTTGGCTTCTATTGTGATTGGTTTCCTCATTGGCTTTGACAATTACCTCTACGCTTACGGATTAGCTTACCTCCCTGTTTCCACTTCGTCTCTGATCATCTCCTCTCAGCTAGCCTTCACTGCTCTCTTCGCCTTTTTCATGGTGAAGCAAAGGTTCACACATTTCACTGTAAACGCCATCGTTTTGATCACTCTTGGTGCCGGAATCCTTGCACTACACACCGACGCTGACAAGCTTGCCAAAGAGACACACAAGGAGTATATTGTTGGGTTCCTCATGACCGTTGGTGCAGCTGTTCTCTACGCTTTTATATTGCCGCTTGTGGAGCTCACTTACAAGAAGGCTCGTCAACAAATCAGCTACACGCTCGTGCTCGAGATCCAGATGGTCTTGTCCTCTGTCGCCACTTGCGTCTGCCTCGTTGGGATGGTGGCTACTGGCGAGTTCAAGGTCGAGTTCTTCTATGAACTATCCTTTTTCGCATATATCATATGGATTGATCTGAAGGGGGTAGAATTTGAGAATCAAGAATTAGGTTTTTTTGTGTTTCTTGACGTAAAAGGAAGGATCCTTGAATGCTTTTCTACCAAAAGGGTGTCTGTGAATTGATACGGAGATATTAGGATTTGAGAATTAAGAATTGGAATGTTCAAAATTTTGTTACTTTGCAGGAGATAGCGAAAGAAGCAAGAGACTTTAAGCTTGGAGGGTCTACGTATTACTATGTGGTGGTTGCGTTCACGCCGATAATCTGGCAAGGGTTTTTCTTGGGATCTATTGGGATCATCTTCTGTGCATCGTCCCTCGTCTCTGGAATTCTGATCAGTACTCTGCTTCCGTTGACGGAGGTCTTGGCCGTTCTTTGCTTCCGGGAGAATTTTCAGGCGGAGAAAGGTATCTCTCTCTTTCTCACCCTCTGGGGATTCCTCTCTTACTTCTACGGACAGATTAAATACGAGAAGAAGAAGAAGAAGACTCAGGCTCAAACTCAGGCTCATGAGACACAACTGCCTCAGCTTCCAGTTGCTGATTCTGCAGCTTAAAAGCAACTAACTTGTCTCACTTTAGTGTTTAAACTATTACGATGTGTTCTCCATTTTAATGAGATATTGTGTAAAAGCTGTAACATCTACGGTTTTCATAATTTCCCTCCATAATGTGGTGACTGGACTTGACTTCTCTGCTCGGTTTATTCAAACCGGCATGTAACTGTCATGGCTCGTTTGTTCATATATGACTTAAAATTCTTATTCCATTAAGTAAACTTGAAAGGTATAAGAAACCATTACTCCAAACGCCATTGATGCTGGACAGCTACGAGATCTCAGTTCCTTGTACTGTTTTTCAACCACTCTAGATACTTGTCGCTCCCACCAGTTATGGGCAATGCAATTACTTCTGGCACACTAAAGAAACAAGTAAACGAGGCTCAATAACACTTAGCTTTTCTTCATTGTTAGGAAAAAGACAAGGCACTGTCGGGCTAGTAAACTAGTGTTTTTTGGATGTGTCATGTGTGAAACGTGTCATAGAACAAAGCTTACTCGTATTCGTGGTTTGCATTGACGTGCTCGGTCAGAGACTCTAGAAGGGACTGCCTTGTTTTGATTATCAGAAGCTCCTCGGAATCACTCTGAACCTGAAGCCAAAAGGATTGAGATCAAAGGGAGAAAGTAAGTAAACTTTTTTCATGGTGGTAGTACTCGAGATAGGATTGAGATCAACGAATAATGAAGAAAGATTTGCTACTATGTTCTCTACTTACTTTTCCCTCCCACTCGTACACCGATTCGATACCTGCATCGAAGCAATCAAATATAAAGATCTTCAACTTACATAACAATGAAGTTACTGAAGGAAACAAAAGGCGAAAGAGACGAACACGAGAAGGGAAAGTACCTGGCACAATGTTCACACACGCTGCAAGCTTTTCTTGGACTATGCTGTTAGCCAACTTCTTTCCTGCAGATAGAAAGAGAAAAAAAGTAGCAACTCGGTGACTCAGAGATCAATGTGATAAGGAAAAATCCCACATCTTGTTAGTCAATGACATTAGCAAACACTGTAGAAAGCATTTGACTTAAGATTCCATTAGTTTCTTCAGCTTAAGCATACAACTTAACAAAGAGTTTTCTTAGGCTACTCATTTGGCTACAAGGGTCTCTCTCAAGCTTCCAATATAATTTTGGAAACTTGCAAAAAAGAATTTGATACGGAAACAGGAAAACCAGTACCAATTACAACATCATAGACTCATTCGAAAGAGAATGCTAAGTTAATGGTACGCTAATTGAGAGTATAGCTCTTTCATATTCAAACTCATAAAAGATCAAATAAAGCTCCATAGTCATACTATCAAAACACAATGCTCCCTTCAAATCCTATAACTAGATTCTAGAACTCGCAAGAATATTCTCCAATCTGAATTGAGAAACTGAATAAACAAAAAAACCTGCTTCTCTGTTAGGAACAGTGACATAGACAACAATGCTGGGCACAGTTTTGCTGCTCTCCTCCATTCTGATCGATGAAGAAGCCTTACTGCTAAACTTAGACCTATAATCATTTCCAGTGTTCATAAGGTAAACAAGAAACAAACAAACAAAAAAAATCTGACATTTATTCGAATGCTAACCTTAAGAGAGGGACAAACGAAAACGACTGAGCACAACCTGGTCTGAAGGAAGACGAAGAGAAGGAGAGAGTTGAGAAACCCAAGCTTAGCACGCAGAACGCACCGACGAACGGTAAACGCCGTCGTATTGAGACGGAGGATCCGATGATTCTACTGCTCAGAGACAAAGCCATCACCGTTTATCTCAGCCGTTTCCTATTTATCGGAGCTGGTTTTCTGGAATCAGCTAAATGTCCTTAATTATAATAACACGAACTTTTGGGGTCCAAATGTAATTTTTAAAAAACCTTTTTTGTGTGTGTGTTTTTGCTTTATCTGAAAATCACAAGTGACGAGAGAGGAGAATGTCGTGAACTGAGGAAGCTCGAAATCGTTGGCTCACACCGAATGTGGTGTTCCGATTGGGGAAACGGCCATGGCTACTTTCTCGATTACGATTTCGAGAATCACAAGGTAAAAAAAAGAAGATTTACAAAATTCCACAATTGTTTGGTTTTAATTTGGTTCAAGGTTCGAATTTGTAAAAGTGAGGTTTTTTTTTTTGGTGAATTGGGTATTGCAGGATCACTACAAAGTCCTTGAACTGACCTGCGACGCCTCTGATGATGAAATACGCTCCAACTTTATCCGTCTTGCTCTGGTTTCCTTCTCTTTTTGATTCCCGATTTTCGCCAATTTTGTGTCTTTTCGGACAAACTCTTGGTCAAAGTTGTTCAGTGATTGTGTTTGGTTGTTTTTGCAGAAGTGGCATCCGGATAAACTCAAAGAAGGAGATTCTGCTACATCCAAGTTTCAAGAAATCAACGAGGCTTATCAAGGTTTTGGTTCTCTTTTGCCTCTCAACATGTAGATGTAGTTTGTGTAGTACTACTCTATGTATGACAACGGTTTCTTGTTGAGTTAGGCTTTGAAGTAGTAAGCTTAGCAATGCAGAGTTTGAATCGCTGAATGAAAACATTTTCCTTTCATTTTGCGATTGGCTTCTGTGATTGGTTTCTTATGAACTTTGAATTTTGATAATTGATTCGACAGTATTGAGCGACCCATTTACAAGGCGGGAGTATGACAGTGAAAGGATGCTTCGTATGTATGAGCACAACATGGTATAATAGAGAATTATAATTTCATTTCGAGAGCAATAGTACTTTCAAGGCTTTAAGTTTTGATAAATCCCCCCATTGTTTGTTGCAGGAAATATTCGACCGGTACAAGGAGCTCATATTTACTTGCAATGGCCTTGGGATGAAGAATTTTCTTTGGTAGATGCAAAAGTTAAGGTTAGGTGATATGTTATAGTTTGTATGATGAAGTTAGCCGAGGGTATGCCTATTGATTATAATCAGAGAGTAAGACAAAATCAATTAGCACTAATTCAGGTTTTAGTTTCTCTGCTTCTACAGGTTTTCTCATTTGCATTTTGTTCTTTGTTTTAGGAAAAGGCAAAACCCTTTTGATGAAATCGCTTTCGTCTTCTTCGATAGAGTTCCATTGTTTCTAATTGTATCTGATGATTTTTTTTTTTATGTTGAAGATAATCTGTTTAGCTTGCAGCATTACTAGAAACCCTCATTAAAGACAGTTATAAAGACAGAATTAGTGTACACTGTGGTTGGTTTAAGTCCTGATCATAGTTACTACAGTATTTCTCAGTTGAAGCGAGTTTCTTTTACCCTTTCAATTTGTAATCAATTTTGAAGTTAACCTTAACAATGCACATATTGTTGACAACATACTAAATTTGAATTCAGTTGTAGAAATTGAATTGGGTATTTCAAACACAGAGATAGCTTTTTCTTAAAACCTTTATGAATCAAGTTGAATTTTTAATCCTACTAGGAATGCAAAAAAAAAAGGCCAGGCAAAACTATTGGGCCTAAAACCCTTGTAGGGGGCTATATATGAAATAAAACTTACCAAATTTGGGAATACGCAAATATAAAAAATTGGAAAGAAAAAGGAAACGAAGCGAAAAAAGAAAGAGCGAGAGAAAAGGAGAAGACGATTCTAGATCTTCTTAGCTTTCCCCTCCTGCAATCGACCAAGCGAATCACTCTGATTCTTCGGCAGCGATGAAGCGATCAATCAACGAAGTCGTCGGATCTGCGTCGGTGAATACTCTCGATTCCGCCAACGCTATGAAGCCCGTCTTCCTCACCAAAGCTCAGCGCGAAGAGTTAGCCCTAAAACGCCGCCAGGATGCAATCTCCGAGCAGCGTCTCCGCCGCGAACAACTCGGTCGCTCCACCCCCGAGACTGAAGACGCCAATGGAGACCGCAGTAAGGACCGAGACCGAGATCGAGACCGGGAACGAGATCGAGATCGGGAAAGGGATAGAGACCGAGACCGCGACCGCGGCGACAGGGATAGAGACAGAGACCGCGACCGCGATAGGGATAGAGAAAGAGAGCGCGACCGTGACCGCCGTGAACGGGACCGTGAGCCGGATCGGCGAATTCGAGACCGGGAGCGGGAGGAGGAGGCCAAGGCTCGGGAGAAGGCGCGGGTTGAGAAATTGGTTGAGCGAGAGCGGGAGAAGGAACTCGACGCCATTAAAGAACAGTACCTCGGTGGCAAGAAGCCGAAGAAGAGAGTCATCAGGCCAAGCGAGAAGTTCCGTTTCTCTTTCGATTGGGAGAACACAGAGGATACCTCTAGGGATATGAACGCTCTCTACCAAAACCCTCACGAAGCTCAACTTCTGTTTGGGAGAGGGTTTCGCGCTGGTATGGACCGCCGTGAGCAGAAAAAACAGGCGGCCAAGCACGAGAGAGAGATGCGCGACGAGATTCGTAAGAAAGACGGCGTTGTAGAGAGACCAGAGGAGGCTGCTGCTCAGAAGGAGCGTGAAGAAGCCGCGGATACGTATGACTCGTTCGACATGAGGGTTGATAGGCACTGGAGTGATAAGAGATTAGAGGAGATGACTGAAAGGGATTGGCGTATCTTCAGGGAAGATTTCAACATCTCTTACAAGGGTTCGAGGATTCCTCGTCCGATGAGGAGCTGGGAAGAGAGCAGACTCAGTTCTGAGCTTTTGAAAGCTGTGGAGAGAGCTGGCTACAAGAAGCCTTCTCCTATTCAAATGGCAGCCATACCACTTGGACTGCAACAGCGTGATGTCATCGGCATTGCGGAGACTGGTTCTGGTAAGACTGCTGCTTTCGTTTTGCCCATGTTAGCTTACATATCTAGATTGCCACCAATGAGCGAAGAGAATGAAACCGAGGGTCCTTACGCTGTGGTGATGGCCCCTACTCGTGAGCTTGCTCAGCAGATTGAGGAGGAAACTGTTAAGTTCGCGCATTATCTAGGATTTAGGGTGACTTCTATAGTGGGTGGTCAGTCGATTGAGGAACAGGGGCTGAAGATAACACAAGGGTGTGAGATTGTGATTGCGACTCCAGGTCGTTTGATTGATTGCCTTGAGAGGCGGTATGCGGTGCTGAACCAGTGCAACTACGTGGTCCTTGATGAGGCAGATCGGATGATTGACATGGGGTTCGAGCCGCAGGTTGCAGGTGTGTTGGATGCGATGCCTTCGAGTAATTTGAAACCCGAGAACGAAGAAGAAGAGCTCGACGAGAAGAAGATTTACAGGACAACGTATATGTTCAGTGCCACAATGCCTCCTGGAGTCGAGCGGCTCGCTAGGAAGTACTTGAGGAACCCGGTTGTTGTCACCATTGGTACTGCAGGAAAGACCACTGATTTGATCTCGCAACACGTGATTATGATGAAAGAATCCGAGAAGTTCTTCAGATTGCAGAAACTGCTCGACGAGCTGGGCGATAAAACCGCCATTGTGTTTGTCAACACAAAGAAGAACGCCGACTCCATCGCTAAGAATCTGGACAAGGCAGGGTACCGTGTTACGACCTTGCACGGTGGGAAGTCGCAAGAGCAGAGAGAAATCAGCTTAGAAGGATTCAGGGCAAAGAGATACACCGTTCTTGTCGCGACAGATGTTGTAGGGCGTGGAATCGATATTCCGGACGTGGCTCATGTCATAAACTATGACATGCCTAAACATATAGAGATGTACACACATCGTATCGGACGTACAGGACGTGCTGGGAAAAGCGGTGTTGCGACATCGTTCTTGACTCTTCATGATACTGAAGTCTTCTATGATCTGAAGCAGATGCTTGTTCAGAGCAACAGTGCGGTGCCTCCTGAGCTGGCGAGACATGAAGCGTCCAGATTCAAACCAGGTACTGTTCCTGATAGACCCCCAAGACACAGCGACACCGTCTATATAAACTGAGTCGCTAGGCTCTGGATTTGTCCTTGAGATTTTCCCAGTCACGTTCGCCTTTTGGGATAATCGATATCTCCCTTCACTCTTAAGTGATCTCATGTGTTTAGTCGAATGTTATATCTTTATGATTCGTAGTTTGATAGTGGGATAGTTGAAACTTGAGTAACTTTTGAATGATTTAGCGTTGGTTTTGTTCTCATTATGCATTTTAAATTGAAAAATTGATGCTCGAGTTCCGGTATCTTGGTCCCTTGAAGCGTCGAATCAAAACAATCCCAAAACGTTCCATTCTCATCTTCTTTCTTCAAAACTCTCGTGTTGATCACAAAATCCATACGCCATCCATCGTCGAGAGCATAGTATCGAGGCTTGGTCCATTTCTTCTAATCCCCAATTTCTCTCATCAAAGCGATCTGACCAGACTGTTCAGATCAAATCTGAAGGACTATAGTAAAACCGTACTTAATTAATCGTACAACAATTTCATTTGAATAGAATCTGAGCAATTAAGATGCAAAATAGTATTTAGAATCCACCTTACCCGACAATGTATGTATGTAATTAAATAATTGCATACTAAAAAAATTAAAGGGGTTGTAAGAATATATCAAATATAATACTAAGTCAAAGTCGCCCACCGATAATTATTATTGTGGCAATTATTAAGACTACGGTGTGGTCGTATGCTGCGATTGGTGTGTTTTGGAGTTGATTCGTTCGTGCGAAGTATGCTCTGACTATTATATTCAAGGTTGACCACATGATATGTAAGCCCATACGTCATCTTGGTCTTCAAAATCAATATCTTATTTCACACACTTTGAGATTCTAACTGTCGGTCCAATGATTTATTAACTTAGCGCAGTTATTATATATAGTTCAGGTTATGTTTCTTTTTTTTTAGGGTTAAAATATTACGTTTTTTTCTTCAACCACAAGTTTCAGATGATTGCAAACTCATTCATTGACGTCATGCATGTTTATGATATATATAAATGTTTTTGAACCTTTTCGAGCATGTAATGATATAATGATAAGATTCTACCACAAAAACAAATCCCTTAATCACTTATTATTAAAATGGTAGGAATCTTCCAAACTGTATAGTATAATACATTAGACACCACAAATAGAAACTAATGCATCTATTAAAATTTAAAAGAGATTCGTTGCATAGTACTCTGTTCTAGTTTTTTACAATGAAATGCAGCGAGTACATTTGGTGTGTAGCGAATAGAAATTGGACATTCGTTTAGTTTCGGGTATGCATACTAATTAACCATGCAGATTTCTTAACTTATGTAAATAATTAATCAGGAAATGCTTTTATTATCAAAAAACAGTCAGTTGGATTTGATGTACGTGGGTTACAACTTACAAGTAGTCAAAATCAATACTGAGACATCATCTATTGAAATAAATATACATTTGTAAGTTCTATACAATACAAAACTAGATAACATAGAAAACAAGTAGCAATATATATAAAGTTTTTAACTCTGATGTTTTGTTTGGAAAAAAATATATTCCAGATCGGAGAACTAAGTCATGCACAGTCAGTAAACATGTGGAAGTTCCATGTGGTGTTTTTTTTAGTATACGCTCAGATTAATTGATAATGAGATCACGAGATTTGGTCGAAACTGTAAAAAGATTTATATAGGAGGTAAAAATAAAAAAAATTCAGCTATCTATATATGTCGAATATGAACGTATAGTTGTCATTTGTATTAATGCTTTGCATAAGATACTCTAATCCCTAAATCAATTCCTTTGAACGTTTAATGTTTCAACATGTAAACTCAGATACATTGATACAATCTCTTTTCTTATCGTCACACTATCAACTTTAACTTAATGTTATCGACACAATTTATGTATATTGCAACTTTGGTTTAAAATCAAATACAAGAGATGGTTTCAAAATTCAAACAAATACTAATTTTATGGAACAAAAAACTGTGTGTAGAGTTTATTACCCAAAATATCCTCTAGGAAGTATATTACAAATCTCTCTCTATAATGGTCAACAAATACATGCGTGCGCGTCTATATATAAGATAGACGCAAAGATTAGACATCTTTGCTGAACCTTTTGGCTTGTACCCAAATCAATCTTTGACTTTCAAAGATAAAATAAAAGATAATTCATATTTGATATCATCGGAGAATGCATAGTGGGAAGAGGCCTCTTTCACCGGAATCAATGGCAGGAAAGAGAGAAGAGAAAGAAGAGTTGTGTTGTTGCTCAACTTTGTCTGAGTCTGATGTTTCTGCTTTTGTCTCCGAGCTCACAGATCAACCCTCCCTACCATCCATGGATCAATCTTCATCTCTTACTCCTCAAGGTAATCTAATCTGATCCGTGATCTTATATTTTCAGTTATACATATAGCTTTTGTGATTATCTTGTTCATTAAAGATTCTCCTTTCACAAATCTTTGGCCTAATATTCTTCATACGAGATGTAGAAAGATACATTAATAATATTTACAAATGACTTTACACCGGTTTGTTTATGTTATACAACGACTTTCCCTAAATCAAGATGTGTGATCAAACAATATATATCACATGGAACAATTTTATTTATGTCACAAGAGAGTGAACTTACACATTTTTCATCATTTGTAACAGAAAAAAGCAGTTCGAGACGACGAAACTACAGAGGCGTGAGGCAAAGACCGTGGGGAAAATGGGCGGCCGAGATCCGTGACCCGAACAAGGCTGCTCGTGTGTGGCTTGGAACGTTCGATAGCGCAGAGGAAGCCGCCTTAGCATATGATAAAGCTGCATTTGAGTTTAGAGGTCACAAGGCTAAGCTTAACTTCCCCGAGCACATTCTTACAACCTCTACTCAGAGCTATCCATCAACCGCTACTTGGCATGATCGCATTATCGTGACGCCACCTCCACCGATTTCTCCTGACATACTTCTTGATCAATACGGTCAGTTTCAATCCGGAAACAGCCATTCCGGTGCCAACTTGTCCATGACTATGTCGTCTTCTTCGTCTTCATCGAATCAGCAAGGGCATGGACCAAAACTGGAGGATGATGAAAACGTCAAGAACATTAGTAGTATTCACAAACGAAGAAAATAGCATATCAATGCTTCAAGGGATATATGAATAATATGCCACTGTTATAGGCGTTGGTCTTTAAAGAGTGGCGGGGGTGCATTTAGGATTTCAGGCCTCATGGATGAAAAATAAGCTTTTGGGACATGAGTATGCAAGAAGGGATGAAGAAGACTTAGAATCTAAAGAAAGATGGAGAAAGAGACCACAACAAGCCCTGCTCGATTTAGCAGCTGCACTTGATCGATCAATCAAATGAGATGAGCAAAATGTGTTTTTTTTGCAGACCAATTACTTTAACCCGTCAAAACTCGACTATGAGAAAGTTCCATGAGGTTTGAGTTGAAGAATCTTATTCTCTAGAATTCCGATATTATTCTTGTACAAGCATATTTCAATTTTGGTTATGTTTCCTTTATGTGTTGGAATTGGATTAGAAAAAAAAAACTACATAATATATGTGGCGTTAGAATTAGCTTAATCCTACATAATATACGTTAGGATCCCAAATCAAAACAACAAGTACAGAAGGCATTTTGATTCTATAATAAGACTATCACTATAATGATTCTATAATAAGACTTATATCATATGTAAGGCATTTTATGATATTTGATGTCTGGATAGTTGCTTTTATAATTTGATCCTAGGTTTATAATTAACGTTTTAATTTGAATCATGTAGATTACAAATAAGAGTCTAGATGATTATCAAAATTGACTAGTGCCTTGAAAGAGAAATAATTTCGCACTAGTGCTACATATGCTTTAGGATTGTCTTCAATTCTTGCCTTGTATCATTGATTGTCTGTACTAAATCCTGAAATCCTATGATCCAAACCTTACCTATATTTTCTAATCGTTTAACTGATTGATTTTCTGAACTTGCATATGAGTATAATCGAAGAAGAAATTCTGATATATTTTTATTAAGAGTCCAGTGGAACAAGTAGAAAAACAAATTAATATTTACAAAGCGATACGCATCCATCTAAAATCTCAATGGATGTTGAATACTATAAGATTGGTTAACAAACAACATACTCAGATCACAACTCGTCAACCAGTAAACAAATCTCTAACGTGGCAAATGATCTCTCACAAAAGTAATCAGATGGGTCAAGGCCTCAAGGGTAACCATCAAGCACGCCTTTGAGCAGGTTCAAACCTTCCGCAGATATGCTCCGCCTCACGCGTGACTGCACTCGGATCTCTATCCTCTGTGGAGGATCAGGAGAGAAGCACACAACAATCACAGTCAAGTTGTCGCACGTATTCCGTTTAAGTGCCTCCCTCACAAGCTCTCTTGAGCATCTCTCTGGATCATTATGAATCATCAGCTCCTTCCTCGCGATCGTCACAGCGCACTGACTGGTCATCACATCCCACAGACCGTCGCATCCCATTATCAAGAACTCGTCGTCTTCGCTCAGGTCCGTTTCTTGCAGCTCTGGCTCAGGGCTTAGAGGACAAGCAGAGCCCTTTGCACCTTTCATGTGCCAGTCTCCTATGGCACGTGCCACTGATAGCTGCCCGTTGAGGTAGCCATCATACACAACTCCACCTAGCTTCTCTATTCTTACTTTCTCGGCGCTGCAGTTTGGTTTGTGGTCTTTGGACAACTCGATTGCTCTGCCTCTTCTTCCAAGAACTGCTCGGCAATCACCAGCATTTGCAATTATCAACCTCCTGTAAAAGTAAGAAAGTTAGCAACTCTATCCAAAATCATATCAAAACTACACACAATCTTGGTAATGAAAGTAAGCAAGTACTTTTACTGTTGATGACATATATAACTTTCTAAATCCATAAACATGAATCCAAGCTGCTCCTTACCTTCCAAAAACAAAAGCTGTAAGCGCAGTGGTCCCAGATGAGATGTCAAGAGAAGAATCATCTGCAAATTCGTAATCAGCTTTGAAGAAAGCATTCTTAATTGCCTTCTTTACACATAGTGGGAAGTAGGAGTCCTCTACAATGTATCTCAGTATGTTCTTTCTAACAAACAGTGCTGCGTCTGTACCACCGTGGCCATCAAATACCTGCGGAAGGACACGATCAACATTGTTTGATATAGTACCAGAACAAAAGTAAAAAAGACGAATCAGGTTTATTAGCTGCATCAATGCTTCTTTGGTTAAGGTTTAAAAGATGCACTCACCCCATAGAAGGCTCCAAGAGATGAGAATCCAACAGCTTCACCAAGATGCTCACCAAGATCATCGATGCAAATGTGTTCATCTTCCATGAACTGTTTTGCCCCTTGTTCAGCACAACTTCCTGATCGATATACAGGCAAAAACTCTGAATTTTCACCAGGTGACTTCATAACCAAACTACAAACATCCACATCCTGCGCACAAACAGAAACCAAATTACATCGTTTGGATCTCATTAGCAAAACAAAAAAAAAAAGAAACGAGAAGAGAATCCAGAAATGGTGGGTCATATAAAATTACCGCATTGATTGCAACCTGCAGCCTAGAAGCAGTAGTGCTTGTGATATGTTGCATAGAAGAAAAGTGCCTCGGTGGTTTTCCACTACTTATTTGCTTAGTGTTGTCATCATCTAAGTTCTCTAAAATATCAATTTCTCTTGCAGATGCACTGTCCATGTTGAAATCTCCCTCTAGAACCGTTACCACAGGTGAAGAATCCATACTCGGCACTGAGTTCTACTCTCAATCATATAATGTATCAGCAGCAATCCACAAAGAGTCTCTTCCAGTAACAAACTCCTCTTGTGTTTTTCCTGGTAGCGTTTTCAGTCTTTTGCTTTCCAACGATTCCTCTGTTCTTCCCACAAGATCTTAAGATCAAACAAAAACTAAGGATCAGACTCTTGTGAGAAACAAACTTCACAACAAAGACCTTGAAATGGTCCCACTTGAAAAACTTGAAAACTACGTGAACCTTCCTTCCGAGAAGATCAAGTTTCAAAAAGCCAAAGAAACGATTTTTGATTAATACCCAAATTCAACAGATCCTGGGACTTGATCAAACCGGCAATAACAGGGCTCAACAAATCGAACTATAAACACCACACCAACTATCTAAGCATCACAAGTTCAATTAAGCAGCAAATCAAACTCCTAAACAGATTTTGTGTTCCAAAAGAGTCAAGAACAAGCTACTCAAAGGTGAAATCTTTTTCCTTTTTTCTTTGTCAGGTCAGATCAAGCAATCGATTATCCACATATATAACCAAAAATCCAATTTAGAATCACACCCAGAAGCCTGTTTCAACAAACCCCACCAAGATTTCAGAAATTCAAACGAATTTCAGCTCCTAGACTAATCCCCAAAAAAAATCTCGAATTCAGGTAGATAATTCACAAAATGAGAAACTTACCGGAATAAAAAAAAGCTCCTGAGATTTTCTCAAAGATGACAATGATGACTCTTCTTACTTCCCTCGTTTTTTTTTTTCCTTTTCGCTATCCTTCAGATACTACTCTTGAAGAAATTCTCGAAAACCCAGAGAAAGTTATGGAGTTGAAGAAAAAGAAGAGAATGGACGAAAGAGGATTGCAGAGGAAAAAGGTTTCTAATTTCTTTGAGAGAGAAAGATAGAGAGAGAGAAGAAGCTTTGTCTCGTTTGGTATTTGGTTGGCCACCGGCGATTCCAGGTAATCTCTTCCATCGTCTATCTGTCAATCCGGAGATCCCCTACCGACACGTGTCGTTAATCAATGGCTAAGCATTACTTTGACCGGGTGCTACCGCCACCAAGTCCCAGCCGTTCGATGGCTAGGATAGGAAACTGACGGTGAAGATCTCATCCACGCTCCTTTTGTCTTTTCCAAATTGCAAGGGGTTACCTCCGATTAAAATATAGCTGCGTCAGATTCCCGCTCTCCACGTGTCGTAATTATACTGGCTGTATCTAATTTTCGGCTATGTTTCACTACCAGGAGTTTTATTTCCGGTTTGGGACGGAATTTAACCAAAAACCGGTGGGAAACCCAAATCTGTTAGCTACCTAATTATTTATATGGACACGACAATGTGTCTATCTGATTTGATTTCTGATGAAATAGTTGTATTAGTTAGCTAATGTTGTTGGTGATTGGACATATCATTGATGGAATAAGCATATTAATTTTGCAATTATTATTTACTGACTTTTATTGCTATTAAAGGTATAACTAGCTAATGATTATAAATAGAAACTTTGATGCCTAAAACTGACAACCAATGGGAATTCCACAGGTGATATGTATGTAGTTGAATGTTCTATTTGATTGTTAAGATTTTGATTTGCCCTTTCTATTAGACATCAGATTGGGATTGATATATGTCCCTTAGGGATCAAAATGTTGCTTATAACATCTGTTTTTTTTTTTAGTTATGAAACTAACATTTTTTTTTGTTAATGACAATTTTATCTTTGACTTTGTAAACATTTATCAGTTTGCAAGTATATCGTGATACTTTGCCAAATTGATATTATGAAGAGATCCAAAAAATGACGAAACATGTTTGGAAAAAGATAGTAAAGTTTCCGATATGAATTCTTAATACGTTTACTATTCAATGGCATGCTTTTTTAATTACTAGTTGTTATGGTGGATGGAATTGACTTTTTAAGTTAATTCCTTGTTTTTTCTTTCTAATTTGGTATCATTAATCAGTCGGTCATCACAACTTGTGCTAACAAAAAGATATTTCCAAATGACGTGTGAGAGAACATTCAAACTTTAACAAAATATCAGTGTTGGGAACACATTATTGTTTACTAAATTATTTTAATATCTCTTATAGACTTAACATCTATTTATTGATTAGATTGGACCATCACAATTTATAACAAGAGAGAAACAGAATAAAAAGTCAATTATCAGAAAGCATCAAATAAAACCACATTGGAGAGTAGTTAAGAACAGAAACATGTTTGCTTTGTAATTGATTAATTAATTATCGTGAATAATGAATGAGTGGTTCACTTCGTAGCTTGTTGGTTAGCTGAATCTACCACAGAAGGAGGAGCACTGCCGGAGAGGGTCGGTGCGTCGGTTGTGCCACCGCCTTGGCCAGCCTTAACCTCTTGATGACCGGAAGTTCCATAAGCGTTCTTCTTATAATCTTCTATATTCTCGTACTTCGTGTACGGACTCGTTTCTAGTGGCAACTCTTGTTTCTCTGGTTTCTCCGACATGTTTCTTCAATTAAACTTACCTTATTTCCTTCTTCTTGTTTGAAGACAATATCTTTTGCCGATAACAGAAAGAGTAAATTACTTATGGCAAACGTAAATAAGTGTTGTCCAAAGAAATTGCACAACTTTGGCCGTGGAACTAGGGAGTGTTTTTGACTAGGTCATTTCTTAATTATCTAATTACTATTACTGAAAAAAAAAAATTTCGTCAAATCTCGATTTCTCTTTATTTCAAATTTATAAAACCTAGATCATACAGTATATCTAAGTATAGAAGAATCAAGAATATTAGTATAAACAAAAATAGTAACTTAGAGAATTGCATTTAGTAACACATGCAGCTGCACACACATTTAGGCTGGCCAAATTTATAACTATTTGTGATACATTTTCATTCACACAAAAGGTTACAAACCTAATTTTTTCTTTTTGTTCAAATACCTAAAGTAAAAAACCTATAAGTTATACTCCTAAAAGAGTACAACACGTTTTGTATAAGAGACAGACAAAATCATGAAAGAACTAATTGTGTTCCTTCTTCTACATAACAAGAATCCAACACAGTTGTGAATCCTTCTTCCATAAACTGTCTACTCACCAAGCAAACCAAATCCTTGATATCTTCAATCATCGGATGCATTGTATCTCCCACAACAAAGGCATGGCACTGATTATTCACCATGATCCAACTGCTACCAACTTCTTTGCTTACCCCGTTCGCTCTCATGAGTCCCCAAACCCGTTCCACTTCTCTCATCCGTCCTAAAGCCGTGTAAATGCTAGACAACTGTACATACGTTGATGATTCTCTCGATCCAAGTGCCATGAGCCTCTCTCCTGCGTAAGCTCCCAGTTCACAGTTCCCATGGTTCCTACATGCGCTTAGTAGTATCCGCCAAAGGCATATACCGTGATCGATATCAACTGATTCGATGAACTCTGTTGCCTCTTTGAGCTGCCCTGCACGGCTCAGCAGATCAACCATACACGCATAGTGTTCAACTTTCGGAACCATCCCAAACTGTTCGGACATCATATTGAAATAAGACCAGCCTCTCTCTACAAACCCTTTATGGCTACACGCTGATATAATGTTCACGAATGTCACATCATCCGGTTCCGTTCCCACCGCTAACATCTCTTCAAAAAGTTCCAAGGCTTCGTCTCCTTTTCCGTTATGAGACAATCCTGAGATCATCGCGTTCCAAGAGACAACGTCTTTATCGGGAGTTCTTTGAAAGACGAGGTCTCCATCTTCCAAGCTCCCGCATTTTGAGTACATTGTAGAAAGTGCGCTTCCGACTGGAACTTCTAGACTGAAACCGTGCTTGATTGTGTGGCCATGTATTTGCTTTCCAAGCTCCAAGGTAGCTAGAGAGGAGCAAGCTTTTAAAACGCTTGCCATGGTTGGTTCATTTGGGATAATACCTTCACTTTTCATTCCGCGGTACAGAACCAGAGCCTCTTCGTTATCTGAGTTTTGAACATACCCGCTTATAAGCGATGTCCAAAGAGCGACATCACGTTCTTGTAGCCCATCAAACCCTTTCCTAGCGTCTGCTAGACAACCGGCTTTCGCATACATGTCAACCAAAGCTGTAGTCGCAAATAAATGATTTTCGAATCCCAACTTTAACAAAAAAGAATGAAGTTGTTTCCCTTCTTCTACATAGCAAATGTCACTGCATGCATTAAGAACCCCAACAATCGTGTACTCGCTGGGCTTTATTCCAGCAGAGAACATTCTCGAGAAAAGCTTTACTGCTTCGAGTGATTCCCCATTCTGAGAATAACCAGTGACCATTGCTGACCATGTGATCGAATTCCTGTCACCAGACGAGTCAAACATCTTGCATGCCTCAGTCAAGCTCTCGCACTTTGAGTACATGGTGACAAGCGCATTACTCAAAGCAACAAACACGAGCAACCCATTTTTAACCGTGATGCAATGGATCTGCCTGCCTAGGCCAACGTATTCGGTTGCAGCCAGAGAGCTAAGGACCGCAGTGAAGACATAGTCACTATCACTCTCTTCCTCCTTTTCTCTAAGAAACAAATTGAACACTTTAATCGCCTCTTCAACGCGTCCTCTTGTAGCAAAGCCAGAAACCATGGTAGACCACGTATACGTGTTTCTTTCAGGCATGAAGGCGAACACTTTGAGTCCATCCTCAACCATTCCCGCTTTACAGTACATGCCCAACATCGAAGTGTCAACATATATATCCCCAAAACTCGACATTTTGACCACAAGCGCGTGAGCCTGCCTCCCGACTGTACAACTTGCAAGACTCGATTCAGCCTTAAAAATCCCGGCAAGGGTATAAGCGTTTGGCAGCACATTTTGCGCTCTCATCTCCCGGAACAGCTGCATAACAGTGCGGGAGCTGGAGAGGCCTCCGTTCTGGGAATATCCAGTGATGAGACTGTTCCAGGATACGACATCCTTGCTGACTATGGCATTGAAGATGGAGTCGGCTTTGGGTAAGTGTCCGCATTTGGCGTAAAGGTTGACAAGGCCATTGGAGTGGTGGGTGCATGTCGATGCTCCAGTTCTGATGATCCGTGCATGAACTGCACGTCCTGCCATGAGGTTCCTATGCTGTGAATGACGTGTCAGCTGGTGTAAAAACGTCGAACTCTGAGGGATTGGGTTGAGTTCTGTCTGGAATGTACGTGGATGCATTGCTTTGATTGGTGTAGAACATTGTTTGTCTCTGCAGAGAATGGTGATGAAAAGTAGAAAATTAGATAATATCTTTACAGAACCATACCTAGGAACAAAAGGTAAAAGAAGATCATCCAATGGAAGGAAACATACTTACAGGGTCGTTATTTTCGGTTTGTCTAGACCAGAGTGTTCTTCCAATCCAGGTTTCTGGTTTATTGCTAAACTCTGACAATTTTGAATGAACATCAATCTTAATGGTACTTAAAGATAATGAAATATCAAAAAGACACAGAACATGCAGATGCAGATGTATGTATATATACCTCTTTGTCCAACTCAGTGAAAAGGCCAATACTTCCAACTCCGTAAATATCTTTCTCAATTTTCTTCTTTATTGCTATCAATAACACAAGGAGCAACTTTCAAAAGCCAAATTACTTGCAGAGTGCATGGAATGTCACTCAGATTAAGCCTAACGCTAAAGTTTACAGCCCCATGAAACATATAGTCCACTTTAAAGTTCATCCTTCTTCACATTTCAACATTTTTTTAGAATAACAAAATTCAGACATGAATGAAATTCTTAGACATGATTGCTTAAACTATGCTATTTTTCATTCCTACGAGGCTACAACATCCGCATATACTTGTACCTCCGTAAATCATATCCTAAGTTTCAAAAGTACAACTGTTAGAACCACTCTAATAATGCTTGGAAGTTGTGCCTTTATCAGTAAGTTCTTAAAAATTCTACATGATATGTTACACAAGCCGATCATACTATCAAATGAAAAAAAAAGCATGACAAATTGTAGAAGGAAACAAAACTTTACCTTTCATGGCGGGAGCTTTGATCATAGTATTCAACACCTTATAGGCAGCCTGAACATTAGATTTTCCAACATTAATGATGGCGCAAGTTCAATTGAACTCCAAATTACACAACAATTTCTGACTCATACTTCAAACTAGTCAACAATGTACTTCTAATTCAGAGCAACTTGATACTTCAAGTTACTCGCATTGTCATTTGAAAACAGAGCAACCCGAATTTAAAAAAAGCATTATGAGAAACCATACCCAGAGAAAGATCAGTACTTTACGTTATATGTCACAGATAACTATTAAGGCATTTGGTCGAACACATTGTGTGCAGAAATAAAATATTATAATTACAAGAAGACAAAAATTTCGCAAATTTGGTGAAATCAAATTAACCTCCTTCACATTAGTTTAAGGATATGATAACTGGACAGAATTTTCATGAACTGTGCACTATCTCTGAGCTCAAATATTTTTGGCGTTGTTGCTTTCTTTTATGTTCATAACGTAGTTGACTATACTCGAGGAGCAAAATAAGGAATCAAGAAACTTACGGTGACAACTAGCAAAGACAAGGATAAAGTAGCAACGGCGGTGACGGCTGTGAGATTATAACGACGGCGCCGGCAAGGGAGACGGCGACGAAACTCAAGGCGCTTTTTAGCACTTTCGATAGAATAAAGAAAAGAGAGTGCAATTGGGCAAGTAACAATTAAACTAGGACGTGCCTTTGACTCAAATTTTTGTATTATGTCAGTAAGCTGGTACAAAATTGAGCTAATTGTCTTACAATACAAACAAATAATTACATATAAATCAATGAATAAAACCTATAGTGTAAATGTGTATATTTGAGTTAGCCGGTTAAATGAAAAAAGTAGTGTCTCCTTGACTGGTCTGGTTTCTAGGGACCGGTTAAGAAGTCACCAGGTTTACGACGCTGGTCTCCTTCTTTAACATCAACACTTGCCGTGATGTTTGCCGGAGCAGACTCAATATCGCCGCCGCCGGTTTTAGGCCGGAGATGAGGCAGTGGAGACTGCATTGTTCCTGGCGTCTCGCTCTTTTTCTTCGCTTTGATATGCCATTGCTTCAATGCCTTCGACGTTTGCTCATCAAACACCGATCGCTTCATCGTTGATCCCATCTGAAAAAAAAGCCATTTTCATCAAGCTTAAACCAGACTCTCAAAATAGACAAAATGATGTATAAAGCTTTGACATGCCTGAGTCACGAGAGCGTAAAGAGGAAGCGTAATGTAACTGCAGAGAAACTGTACTCCCACTCTGCGTTAAATATACTTTAATAATGGTTGTTCCTTGTAGCTCAAGAAAAACCTAATAAAGGATCTGTTTGATGAACATATAGGACTCACCCGAGAGCAACCCGTATGATTATAAGGGCGAAATGGTGATGAAAACAGGACCGTAACCCAAACTCATACTGTAGAAATAGAAGCAGAGTGAGAGAAATGAAAAATAGAGAGCATGGGAAAAGAGAGCTGTGTGTATAAATTTTATTTACCCATATCCAGAAGAAGTAGGTGATCTCAAAGGCATTCTGAACAATCAAGCAAGCTCATTAGAACATTTATACCAATACATACTTTCTGAAGAGTTTCATTATATAAGCGGCGAGTGTACCTGGAAGAGAACGAAGTGGATGATATGAAGAACTAAGGCAGGACGACTTAACCAGAAATGTCGGTCAGAGACATTAACTAGTGGCATCCCTTGAATCACTGCGTGTCTCTCCTGAATCTCCAACGCCATGTCTGATATAATGGCCTGAAGCTTGGTTCCTATCGCTAATGTCAACTTCAAACCAAACAAAATTAGTCTGTGCTTTTTTTTTTCTCCATTTGCTGATGGAAGCAAAAAGTTATAAGTCACTTACAACTGGAGGAATCATGGTGATCACAGCAGTAACATACCACCCTGAAAAGGTATACTAAAACTATTAGATTCTAAGCTCCGTATGTTGAAAAATGTTAAAATATAACACGGATATAGAAAAAAGACTAACCATGAACATCAAAGAGTAAAAAGAGCATTACAAAGGCCCATAGCTCTGGACTGCATTACCGGAATGATTGTAAAATTGCATCAGAAGACGATGAAGAAACTGACTGTTAGTGTAAGAAGAAGAAGAAGTGCTAAGTGGTTTCTTAAGTTACCTGATTCCCACGACTACCTTGAAGTCGTCTTCCAATGACCTTTTGATGTACTTTTGGAAATTAAACTTCATCCCGGGTGCCAAATGGACCTAAGTAACAGAGGATATGTGGAAATCTCAAATCTCAAAAGAAGTTATCTGGAGAATTACAAGATTGTTTTGCATAATTTCAAGGAACTTACACTAATGAATCCATGACGCATCGTCAAATAATCAGATCTTCTGACAGATCTCAGCATCTGACGAAAGAAACACATCTGCAAGAAGTCTCTCTTGCTTCAGATAGATACACACACAAGAGATGGATTGAAGAAGCACACAAACATAATCTAGAAAATCATACAACGTAGAAGGAGAATCGGTTCTTCGCCCAATGATTGACATGCTCTCGAACAAATGATGTCTCGTGTGTGAGCCTAAACCTTGAAGGGTCTGCAAATTACATCAAAGAAAGAAAAAAACCAAAATTGATATTCTGTTTTCAAATGTGATGACATCTGAAAAATATAAACACAAAAATCTAACCATTCATCATTTCATGATCATTTATGACCTCTTCCTCCCAGACTTTCCATCCACGAATCTGCAACCATGAATTTACTCCAATCCAATCAAAACTCACATAACACTGTCACAGGCCTTTGATTAAACATTATATATAAATATATATTACCTTTGCTCTTCCAAGCATCATGGTTATAGCACTATAAATCACATGAAACACAGCCAAGAAAAATATAAAGATATGCACTTGATGCAACGCATTGAGTGATATAAGCGGCACATATCCCTGCAACAACAACAACAACACTCTTCATCATCAACTTCAGTTTTCAACATAGAGAATATTTGTCATAGTTAAAGCAAATAGACCAAAAAAGTAAAAAATGATTGTGAGACCTTCTTGCACTCAGCAGGAGCAGCGTCAGCCAAAACACGGCGTTGGAAAGAGAGAAGGTGCCTGTCGATGTGATCGGTGGTCTTTGCCTTCTTGGCGTCACCACTGGGACCATCGTACGGACCACAGAAGGACATTGCGTGGCCGTATCTTGACGGCACGCATATGCTTGCGATGTAGTTTTGCCCAAATGTTAGTAGCAGCGAAATGAATCCCAAAACCATCAGCTCTGCCAAAAAAAAATCAAATCAGTTTCCGAGTTATAACCCAAATTTTCCAAATTTCAATTCGTGGGTTTTCAGATTTGTGGTACCGTTTTTGATCTTTTGAAGAGCTTCGAATAAAGCTTTCTTTTTTTTCTCGAACACCTGGCGAAACGAAACGATGGGTGATGATGTATGTTTTATAGCAAAATCGGGGGAATCGGTGAGATTGAATCTTAGTTTTACCTCTCCGATTTTGTGAATCATGAGCTCCAAGAATATAGAGATCAAGATGATGACGCCACAAACAGTGGAGACGGCCCATGTCGGAGTCTGATCGAGCTCTCTCGGACCTTCCGCAGAAAGGCTACCGCTTACTCCTCCTCCTCCTCCACCCATTTTTATCTTAAAAAACGGAAATTTTTAGGTTATCTTGTCTTATCTGGTTTTTCCGATCATCAATTTCAATTTTCTACGGCGAAGAATCGGCGGGAACATGCAGTCACGGAGGATGATGTCTCCGTCGTGGTCCGCGAAAATAGTCCGGAAAGACAGATTCCGGTGATGTAGACTTTTTATTCTCTTTTTTGGTTTTTTCAAATTTTTTTTTTTTGAAATTTGCTTTGTTTGTTCATGCTGGTTCGTAGGTTCTAAATGGGTTTGATATTTTGAAATCGAAAATGTAGGGAGATGAACGACTTGGCGGATTTATGGGAAATTTCAGATTATTTGAAATAATTTTTTCGAAAAAAAATAATAATAAGTGGCAAAAAAAAGGGACGCCGTTGCCGGGGATCGAACCCGGGTCACCCGCGTGACAGGCGGGAATACTTACCACTATACTACAACGACTTTGTTGTTCGATTTGCAGTTATCTAAAATTAATATCCATCTGTATGAAATAAACAAGTCGAATCACATTGACCGGAAAGACATTTGTAGCCAATGTTGTTGTCTCTGAGACGTTTAGAGAAGTCATAAATAAAAACTTCAATTAAATAAACTCTGTCATACCTACAGGCTACAAATGTTTCTACTGGAATCTAGTAGATAAATGTCTATGAAGTTGAGAATCAGTAGGCATAAAGACTGGAAGTTGGCCTCCTCTCTGTGATCTAACTTGCTGGAAATGACCAATTAAAGGGTTTCCTCTAACCCTTCTGCTACCTTCACTCCCAGAAGAAGTTACGCTGCTGAGACGTTCGTTAGCAGCAAGAGGACCACCTAGTTCTGTTCCGGGAATCCCAGACGACGATACAAACCGGCCAGCTTCTTGATCCCAAACTACTGAACTCTCATCGCTTGTGGGCAAGTTTCTTCTAGATGCAGCAACAACAACATTCCTACTTTCTTCCTCGTTCAATGGTGACTCGTTAGCTGATGATGACATGTACATTGGGTTGAAGTGATCTCTTGTCAAAGCTGGACTAAGGCTACAAGTGTTCTTGGTGTGATGGCTGCTTGCTGGGCTGCTTCTTCCGCTTGCGTTGCTGCTTGTTTTGTAAAGGTTGTGCCTGGAACTTACTGGAAGAAGCACTGACGAGGATGCGCGTGCTTTTGCAGCTGCTTTAGATGCTTCGTTTGAGTCGAGTTTCGCTAGCTTCCATGGATTGATCCTTACTTGTTGACGCTGAGGTTGGTTCTTCTGTGTGAGCGTGTCTGGATCAATGGTGGATCGTACAGGTCCAGGCTCTAAATGCTGGATAACATCGTCCTGTTGATCCATGAATATGTTTGGAGGTGTGCACAAGGAGGCACCACGGTATTGAATGCTCAATCCAAGAGAGCTTCTTCCACTCGCGGCTGTCACAGCTGAGCTTGCAGGTGAAAGTGGCTGGCTATGTGGGTCTTGCCCATCTATAGACGGTCCAGGTGGTTCGGTCTGCGCTCTCACGGCAACAACATAATCATATGTTGTGATTCCCTGCAGCCACAAAAGTCACATATCAAAGCTCAGCTTCTTGTTTCTTTATGTGTTTGCCGGTGGAGAGTAAAGACTCAGGCAACATGATACACAAACAATTAAAACACACACAAAACCTTTCGGATCAAGATTATGTGGAAAAAGAAAAGTTCCCCAAGTGGTACAATAGCCAGAAACGAGAGAGTTGTACAAACAGCCTGCAGAATGAGAAAACCAAACTGAAGTTGGAAACTAAGCCATTTGGTAGAAGATAGAATAAACAAATGCTATCTTTGCCAAAAAATATTACCACAATAGCAGCAAATGGAGGACGGGAGAATCCAAGTCCAAGCTTTTCGGTTATAAGATGTTCCATCGCGTTTTGCTCCACAAAACATCGAACAAATACAGCAACACCAACTCCGAACTCAACTAAAAGCTGTTTTTCATATATGCATGGTCATGTCATATTGACGGTAGTGAGATAAAACGGCGACAGAATCAACCAATAAAGTAGCAAACTTTGTAGGAAACATACCCAGAAAAAGCTTGCCGCCATAAGACACACAAAGCTGATGTAGTTTTTCTGCCCCACGCAGTTATTCAACCACTAAGGCAGAAGATACTTTTACATATTAGTTAAAATGCAAGTTAGAAACCTCAACGAAAAGTAAAAAAAAAAAAAAACTATTGTTTTCAAATTGCATACCCGGCAATGATGATCAAACCCATCGATACACTTGCCACAACTTCGACAATGCTTGCTAAATTCACGTACCTTCGAAAAGAGAAAGCAGTGTTACTGTAGAAGACGCAACGACAAGCTTCTTACCAGAAGCAAATATACTAAATATACCTCAGCTCTGCACAGTGAGCAGAACAGAGCTTCTTCTTGTTCGCACGACTGGTCTTGTTGAGTATCTCTACGGCAATCTTGTATTACTAAAAACCCACAAACGAATCTTCCTACTGCATTACAGCAACCTGAGCCGTGTCTAGTATATGGCACATTCTCTGCAGCAGAAAGAAGCATTACTATGGAAGCATCCGACATATCTAGACCTTGAATTTCCTAATTGGATGACAAAACTATTACACAGCAGCAGCATCGGTAGTAGAGCACTTACCAGGGACATAGCTACTGGTCTGTGACTTGTGTGCTGGAGTGTTAACAGCCTCTACAAAGATTCCAGGATCTGCAGGATCGATACCAGTGCATCGGATGTACAGAACCAGAACCGAAAACGCCTGTGATAATACCATTAGGCGAAAAAGGAGAGATCAGAGAATACAGCAAGATTTAGTAAAAACACAGTGCTCGTTATTGTACTAATACTTACCAAGAAAGAGTAAACACCAACGGCAACATATTCATAGAGTTTCTTCCCGAGGAACGGAGCAAAGAAGGCATAGTATCCGATAGTTAGCAAGAAGAATACAGTTATAGCAACAACCTGCACAGCAACAGATTCATTTAAGCTAATCGAAATTCAAATGCAAAGGGATCTTCAATACATCTACTCAAAATCTGTGTGCATTCGTTTGAAATACCAACAAAACATTTTCTGTCATTTTCACGGGGATTTAGAGAAAAAGAACAAATTGCACACAGAATCAATTGCAGATTACGACAGGGAATTTCACAATTGTTCAAATTCTGAGTGAAGTATGCAAATTTATAGTGGAATAAAAAACCCTAATAGTAATTTCCGAAACCTGAAATGTGTGAGCTGGAAGTTGCCATCCATGTCTTCTCGCCATTGAAGTGAGGTAAATAAACTAAACCCAAAAACCCTAAATGCTTATCTCGGGGAAACCTGAAAAGAACTTTCTAGATCACTAGAGAAAGAAGGAAGCGAATTCGAAACACCTGAAATCCAAAACCCTTGAGCTCGTTCCAAAATTATTGAAGGTGAATGATTTTCGATATTCCTAAATTTTCCCTAAATATCAGCAGCAGCTACACTATAAACATCATTTAAGGTTTGGAGCATGAGCCGAGTTTATTAGCACTTAATTTTTCATTCGACCCGTGAAGGAATTTTGAGGACTCAAATCAAAAGGTTCATTTAACGGCCTGAATTTAGTGGTCAAAGAGTGTCTCTCGGGGAAGTAGTGACAAACAGTTAGAGAAGAAATGAAGAATATTAAATTATAAATTATAAATTAATGGACGCATACAAATATTATTAATTCTCCTTTTTAATACTCCTAGACACTGGTTAAAATTTTTCTGAAATTTTAATGAACTCTATCCAAGTGACAGTTGAAAAGTATGGGCTTGGTTCTTTGTAAATGATGTTAACAAAATAGTATCAATTTCAAAAAAAAATTGAATATGGTACTCAACTCAGTACTCAGTACTCTCTAGCTCCTCTAATGATGATGCGAAAGTATAAATAATTCGAAGCCTGTTTTTGACATTTTTCAATTATCACAAGTTTTTTTGCTTAAAGGATGGTCAAATATTACGGGCCGGGCCTGGATGGTAGACAAGCAGGCCCGGTTTTAGGGGTATGCTAGCAGTGGGCCCATCACCTTTTTATCTAATTTTTATGGGTTTTTTTACTGTATTTTAGGATCCTAAAATATTTAAATTTGTGTAATTAAGGGTCATTTTTTTGCAATTGCACAATTAAATTTAATTTTTTTGAATAATGTAGCACAGAGCCCAGTTTTTATTTAAACCGGGTCTGCAGACAAACAATACAGGAAGATTTGCGCATGTTTCATGTATCATCACCATAGCACATTCCATAGAACCACAAAACAATATAAACCAACAATCTTATTTGTATCAAGAATTCGGATGCTCGATTATATTCAAATTTGGTCATTTTGTAGGCTATGTTCTCTACCAACAGTTCAGAGTTTAGAGCTAGATTTTCAAAGTTTGAATATCAATTTTCGTAACAACAAGTGACAGTTTTTAAACTCATGAGACTTGATTAAAATGGATATATGAATGTATCATAGTGGACTAAAGTAAATAAAAGAAGACTAAAGTAATTATTTTCTTTGTATTATTGAAAAACCTTGAGTGAGCCTTGAGATGTGGCCACGTTCTTAATATACAGCATGAAGGATATGAAGGTGGATCCAATGTTCAACTTGTGAGTTTTTCTCTCCTTTTATCAAATGATGGTAGCAGGAATCACCACTTGGTGACTTTTCATTTACTTCACCTTTGTAATCTACCACTAACATAGAGTTAATTAAGAGTTAATGATGTTTGTTATTGTTGCTAAAGAGCACAGTTGATTGTCATTATATATATTGACACCATCACCAAAAGGGAAACTCCATGTGCTTCTCTTTCCCTTTCCTCACACCCCGTGACATTAACTTGCTTCACTATACGACAATACCTTCACACACAAGTGTTCTTAAATTAACCTTTTATAGGATCATTTATCTAAGCATTATTAATGACTTATGTGTAGTTTGGTAATTTACAAACTTGTAACTAAATTTCCATATGTGTATAAAAGGTACTGTAGTCTTAACACCTTGAACAATAAGAAAACTTTTATTCCAATCTTGTAGACAACAATGCTGTTGTACGTTTGTTGATCACACACAAAGATCTCATCTGAATTTACGTTCCTGAAAAACCTGAAGCCCAGAAGGATCCATTCTTCTCCATTTGACTTCTTTTCTTTACAGTGAAATGAAGGCATGTGATGCAGCTGCATTACAGTTCAGTTCGAACAGTGGTGACTTATTCGATAAGTTAGCTTACTCGTTATTTTCCTTTTACTTTATTTTGGCTTTCTTTTAGATAATCATAAATCGTATTAGGATTTGGTTTTATAGATTTAGTTTTATCTCTTTAGTCTTATATAAAGACTCGTGCCTTATAACGTAAAGAACATTTTGGATATTGATTTGAAATAAAACAGAGCTTTATAAGCAAAAGAGGAGAACTCTTATTCATTGTTTTTCGTCGAGAAATCTCTCGTCTACGAACAAGACCCGAGTTGAATATCGTTTCTCCTAGAGATTCCCATCTTCTTCTTGTTATAGCTTCCGCCCCCCATCAGTTGGTATCAGACTAGGACGTTCTTGTTTTTACTAATTGTTGTCGTAATGCCGCCGAAGAATAACAACACCAAGACGGGAGGTGACACTCACAGCAACGCAGCAGAGTGGGCAGAACTTAAATCAACACTTCTGGCAATGCAGGAAAACCTACAATCAACAATTCATGCTTCAATTCAAGAGATGAGTGAAGCTTTGTTGACTCGGTTAGATGCGCGCCACCCGATGCGTGTGGTTAATGACGACAGCAACCCCTTCGCCAACCGCCAGGCTGAGATCGATGATGACTATGAAGAAGACGACCACCATCGCCGAGTCCGTCGTGATGATCATAAGTGGGAATCTGCTTTGAAGGTTGATATTCTAGAATTTCAAGGTGGTGTTAACGGCGACTATCTTGTTGATTGGCTTAATGCAATCGATGAAGTCTTGGACTTTAAGCATGTTCCCGATGAAAGGCGTGTTCCTCTCGTTGCTACGAAATTTCGGGGCCATGCCGCATCATGGTGGGAACAACATAAAGCCACTCGCGCACGAAACGGAAAATTTCCTATTCGATCGTGGAAAAAGTTGAAACGTCATCTCCGCAAAACATTTTTGCCCATCGACTTACATACACACGTTTTCAGAATCTGAAGCAAGGGTCACGTTCTGTGGATGATTATGCGGAAGAATTTTATTTGCTCCTCACCCGTAACGTAACGACATTTACGACAGTGAAGTCCAAATCGTGTCACGCTTCATTGGCGGACTCCGACCTCAACTCCAGAACTCACTCACAGTTTGATCTGGTAACGGTGGCTGAAGCTCACAGGCGTGCTGCTTCTTTTGAACAACAACTTCGCTATTCTCCGTGGACACCATCAGCAACAAAAGCTCGTGTTAACGAGCATGCACCAAGTTCGAGTGTTGCACAGACGTGTACTGATCCCCCAAACATCACCGATCGTTCAAGCACAGAAATTGATGACACGAATCTCCGACATTCATCACGACCTAACACCTTGCGTTGCTTTGCGTGCGGAGAACAAGGGCATCGACAAACGGCTTGTCCAAAGCAGACGCGTCGTGGTCTTGTCCTGGATGACGTTGACGTTGATAAGACGGCCGTGTATGACTCCCATGATGATGGCGAGGAGGAGAATGAAGGTCATTTGGCATTGACACATGGTGATACAGGCTCGTTGCTTGTGCTTCGACAGACATGTCTTGTTCCACATAGTAGAGGAGATGTGTGGTTGCGCACAAACATTTTTCGCTCAACATGCACCATTCGTGATAAGGTGTGTACGTTCATTATTGATTCGGGGAGCTCCCGCAATGTCATATCCGACGATGCAGTACGTAAGTTGGGGTTGCAATTTGAGGCACACCCTGCTCCTTATTCCCTTTCATGGGTACAACAATGAGTTGCCGTTGTTGTTACTCATCGAGTATTGGTTCCACTTTCGATTAGCCCACACTACAAAGACCGGTTCTACTGCGATGTAGCTCCGATGGACGTCAGCCATCTCATCCTTGGACGACCATGGGAGTACGACAGGAAGATCATTCATGACGGTACTAAAAATACTTATAGTTTCACGTGAGAAACTCACCAGATACTCCTACTACCTTCGCGAGAAACTAGCTATTCCCGTACACCAGCATTGGAGAGAGTGGTCTTCCCCACTTCGTCTCCAGACTCTACCATACAGCCCTCTCGATTGTGTTCGTTTCAACAATTTTCCGAGGACTTCAAACAAGAAGGCGTCATGTTTGTCATCCTTTCTACGCACGTTACTGCCTCGCCAAAAACATCCACTTCGTGTTTTGAGCCTCTCTTGCGAGAATTTGACGATGTCTTCCCCACTGACTTACCTGAGGGGCTACCCCCACTGCGTGATATTCAGCACCAAATAGACCTAGCTCCCGGCGCTACACTGCCCAACCGGCCGCATTACCGTATGAGCCCGATAGAGCATGAGGAGTTACGGCGTCAAGTCGAGGATTTAATGCGAAAAAGACATATCCACGAGAGTCTTAGTCCTTGCGCAGTACCTGCATTACTCATACCCAAGAAGGATGGTTCTTGGCGTATGTGCGTCGATAGCCGTGCTATTAACAAGATTACGGTGCGTTACCGCTTTTCGATTCCCCGCCTCGATGATCTTTTGGACCAGATTGGCTCCGCAATGATCTTCTTCAAAATTGACTTGAAGAGCGGCTATCACCAGATTCGTATCCGACCCAGAGACGAGTGGAAAACGGCCTTTAAGACGAGGGAGGGACTTTTTGAATGGCTGGTGATGCCGTTTGGTCTATCAAACGCGCCGAGTACTTTCATGCGCATCATGAACCAGGCATTACGTCCGTTCATTGGCAAATTTGTAATTGTCTATTTCGATAACATTCTTATCTTCAGTTCCTCCATTAGTGATCATGCAAGACACCTCCGTAACGTTTTGATGGTCTTACGAACGGAGAAATTCTTTGGTGCTAAACACAAATGCGAGTATGGCGTGTCTCAGGTGTTGTTTTTTGGATATGTTGTTTCTGACAAAGGTCTTTCGGTTGACCAATCAAAGGTGGATGTTGTTCGTTTGTGGCCCACTCCGCGCACCATTACAGATGTTCGTAGCTTTCACGGCTTAGCTTCTTTCTACAGACGTTTTGTACCACACTTCAGTTCCATTATGGCTCCTATTACGAGCTGTATGCGCGAGGGCAAGTTCAAATGGACAAAAGAAGCTGCAGAGGCATTCGTCGCAATAAAAGCTATGTTGACTTTGACTCCTGTTTTGGTCCTCCCGGACTTTTCTGTTCTATTTGAGCTACATTGTGACGCTTCGAAGTTAGGCATTGGGGCTGTTTTAAGCCAACTTGGACGTCCGGTTGCGTATTTTAGTGAGAAAATAGCTGGTGCCCAGGATCGTTACAGTACTTACGACGTCGAGTTTTATGCCATTGTTCAGGCTATTAAGCATTGGCGTCATTACTTAGTGCATCGCGAGTTTGTGCTCTTTACTGATCACGATGCCCTGCGTCATTTGGACAGTCAGGCCAAGGTTTCATCCAGGCACGCCTCGTGGATAGCATATCTTCAGCAGTTTAGGTTTTCAATACGACACCAATCCGGGAAGACTAACAAAGTCGCTGATGCGTTAAGTAGGAGGCACAGTTTACTCACTACAATGCATACTTCAGAAGCAGGATTGATTCGTTTTCTGACTTATATGTCACAGATCATTTCTTTGCAAAGATCTGGGACGAGATTGAGCATGGGCTTCCCTCACGTTTCACTCGCCACGAGAGATTTCTATTCTTTGGATTACGTTTGTGCTTGCCGGACAGCAGCTTGCGCCTCAAAGTCGTGAGTGAATTGCATAATGAGGGGCATGTCGGACGTGACAGAACCTTGTCTCTTGTCCAATCATCGTATTTCTGGCTGTTTTTGCGCCGCGATGTGGAGCGCTTTGTCTCCCGTTGCCGTGTCTGTCAGCTTGCCAAGGGCTCCGCGTCAAATGCAGGATTGTATCTTCCGCTACCTATTCCGGATCAACCTTGGACTTACATAAGCATGGACTTCGTATTAGGGTTGCCGCGGACACAATGTGGGAATGACACGATCTTCGTCGTTGTTGATCGGTTTTCAAAAATGGCACACTTTGTAGCCTGTAAGAAAACCGCAGACACGCTGAATGTTGCGACATTGTTCTTTCGCGAGATTTACCGTCTACATGGCTTGCCTTGCTCCATTGTGTCGGATCAAGACACACGTTTTCTGAGCCACATCTGGCGTTCTCTATGGTGGTTACTACGGACGTTGTTGGATATGAGCACGGCGTATCACCCTCAAACGGATGGTCAAACAGAGGTCACGAACCGAGCGTTGGGGAACCTGTTGCGTTGTTTGGTGGGTGACAATATCAAGAGCTGGGATGTTATCAGGCAGAGTTCGCCCATAATCACGCTTTTAATCGCAGCTTAGGCTTGGGCCCATTTCGTGTGGTGTATGGCGTGGTTCCTCGTTGTCCGATGGACCTTGCACTAATTCCAGACCAAACTCGTTTCCATGGGCAAGCGGTGGAGTTGGTAGAGGAGCTTCAGGACATTCACACACAAGCGAAGCAGAACTTGGAAGCCGCTGTTGCCAAGTATAAGTCTGCGGCTGATGTTAAGCGCAGGGCACTTCATTTTCAGCCTGGTGATCTTGTTTGAGCGGTTCTCACTAAGGATCGCATGCCGGCGGGAGAGTATAATAAACTAAAGTCTCGTAAGATAGGGCATGTTGAGGTGCTTGAAAGAATAAACGACAATGCGTATCGCTTGCGCTTACCCCCTCACATTCGTACGGCAGATGTCTTTAATGTTAAGTTCTTGTCTCCTTTTCGTGGTGATAACCCCGATCCGGCTTCGTGGACGAATCCTTCCCCACCAGAGGGGACCTGATGCAGCTGCATTACAGTTCAGTTCGAACAGTGGTGACTTGTTCGATAAGTTAGCTTACTCGTTATTTTCCTTTTACTTTATTTTAGCTTTCTTTTAGATAATCATAAATCGTATTAGGATTTGGTTTTATAGATTTAGTTTTATCTCTTTAGTCTTATATAAAGACTCGTGCCTTGTAATGTAAATAACACTTTGGATATTGATTTGAAATAAAACAGAGCTTTATAAGCAAAAGAGGAGAACTCTTATTCATTGTTCTTCGTCGAGAAATCTCTCGTCTACGAACAAGACCGGAGTTGAATATCGTTTCTCCTAGAGATTCCGATCTTCTTCTTGTTATAGTTTCCGCCCCCTATCAGCATGGATAAATACAACACATTATCAAGCTTTCTCAAGGAGTTCTACATACCTAGTTACGTCCTCTCGCCGGAATCGGAGGAGGCACCTCTAGTACAGCTGGCCGCTCCACCGGAGAGCCCCGTCATTGTCTTCATCAACTCCAAAAGCGGTGGTCAGTTGGGTGGGGAACTTCTCCTCACCTATTGCTCTCTTCTCAATGACAAGCAGGTAATGTCAACGTTGGATCTTTTTGTTTTTTTTTTTTGTTAAGTAACAACAGTAGAACACTAACAAGCATGCTTTTTTGAAACTCTATATACTAGTGGCAATAAAGTATATATATATTTTCTCAATAGTTCTACATTGTTATATAATTCTACACTAGTTTAAAATCATGTATACATAATATAAAGTTGTTTATTGAAATTTTGATTTAAGAGCACTTTGAAATTGTATGAACCAAATATATATAGTTGAAAAAACATGTGTTCAAAAATGAAAATTTTCATAAAACTATTTGTTTTAACGAAAATGTATATAACAAACTCTTATGATGAGCTTTTTTTCTGATTAAACCACTGATGTTCTGATGCATTCAGGTCTTTGATCTTGGGGAAGAGACTCCAGATAAGGTGCTCCGCAGAATCTTTCTTAACCTTGAGAGGCTAAAGAATGATGATTTCTCTCGTCATATTCGGGAAAAGTTAAAAATAATTGTGAGTTGCATACAATTGCACACATGATCACATCAAGAAACCATTTGTGCTTATTACTTGCGTTTCCCCTGATCTATCTTTAGGTTGCAGGAGGTGATGGAACTGCTGGATGGCTCCTTGGAGTTGTATGTGACCTAAAATTATCACATCCTCCTCCAATAGCCACCGTACCTTTGGGTACAGGAAATAACCTTCCCTTTGCTTTTGGATGGGTGCGTAACACGCAACACTTTGGTATGTTCTTATGTTTCTTTACCATCACAAAGAGTTTTCAAATCCATATGCTTCCTGTTTTGCTTTCTTCAGGGAAAGAAAAACCCCGGAACAGATAGGACTTCAGTGGAGTCGTTTTTGTATAAAGTGTCGAAAGCGAAAGAGATGAAGATCGACAAGTATGTACATATCTCTTTCTTTGTACAGCTGAGTGTGTATTGATTTTGGTTATGATTAACTGGTGAATACGTTTCTACTTTAAGTTGGCACATACTTATGAGGATGAAGACTCCTAAAAAATGCTCTTCTTGTGATCCTCTTGCATCTCTTGAGTTACCACATTCTCTACATGCATTTCACCGTGTTTCTCCAACAGACGAACTAAATATATATGGTAGTAACCTATCTTATTTTTTTTGTTACGATATAGCTGTCTCATTTGTGCCATTTTGTCTTATATATGGATACCTTTTCACTCTCTCAGGATGGTTACCTCACATTTCGTGGGGGGTTCTGGAATAACTTTAGCCTTGGTGAGAAAATTTCTTTGTACAAATGCTCATCAGCTTCCATCTAACTCTGGATTCTCCCTTATGGAGTTGTGATCTTTCAGTGAGATGGTTGATCTGTTATTTAGCAATCATAACTTATGCTGATTGTTTTAATAAAGTAAAATAAATAAAGGAAAAAAACATCTGATGTCAGTGCTTTTCTTATGTTAGTATATGGTCGATGATCATCAATTTATCATGAATGCTGGATTGTGCTTGTGTAGGAATGGATGCTCAAATTTCTTATGCGTTTCATTATGAGAGGAAGCTGCACCCTGAAAAATTTAAGAATCAGCTGGTTAATCAGGTGCCTTGTTCTTCAAGTTTCCTTCTGCTTTTGATCTGCTTACCCATTTCTTACAAGCTCACCCTGATTGCTCTTAAATAGTGATTCTGTTTTGTTAGTGGGATTACACCACTTTTATTTTTATATCCAGTTACTGTGGATTAAACTAAACAAAGAATAAACATTCCGTTTTCAAATTGGCAGAGTACGTATGTAAAGCTTGGTTGTTCGCAAGAAAAAGCCTCTCTTTTCCATCATGCTTCACGGTAAGTAAGATGTAACTTGATTTATGTATTATACATGATTTAGCTCTCTAGCTTGAACCATATAATGTACATCTCTATGGCTTCCCCTGTAGGAGCATAGCTCAATTTGCAAAGGTTAAGATTGCAGATAAATATGGCCAGTGGCATGATCTCCACATACCCCACAGGTAATCTTTATTCATCCAATCTAGATGCTGATTTACATCTCAAATGTGACAAAGAAATGTCCTACTTTCTTGCAATATACTGTTTTAACTACTCTTGTTCCTGACCTTTGTTGCTTGCTCTTACAGCGTCAGGTCCATTGTATGTCTGAATCTGCCCAGCTTTTCTGGAGGACTAAATCCTTGGGGCACACAAAATCGCAAGAAACTAGGCAAACCATTTCACAAGAAACAAAGCGATGTAGGTCTTTAATTATCTCGACATTATATTCGAATTTTCTGTCCTTTATCTTTTTGCCATGGTCAAATAATACTCATATCTCTTTCTTGTGACACAACAGAGAGACTTGACTCCACCATTCGTTGACGATGGCCTCATTGAGATTGTTGGGTTTAAAAACGCTTTGCATGGTCTTGTCCTGCTCGCTCCAAATGGACACGGCAAGCGACTTGCCCAGGTAACTAAAACAAGTGATATATTAGGCACAAACGTATCGATATGAATATATGATGATTGCAAGTTGCAATACAAATTGATTTTGTTTCTATTTTTGTGACTAGGCAAACCGAATTCGCTTCGAATTTCGGAAAGGTGCAACGGACCATACGTTCATGAGGATGGATGGGGAGCCATGGAAACAGCCACTGCCAATGAACGATGAAACCGTGACGGTTGAGATTTCATCACATCTTGGCCAAGTGAGCATGCTTGCGACTCACGATTGCCGGTCCAGAAGCATGTACGATCCTTCCCGACATCAGGATGATAATGATGAAGACGACTCAATGTCTGAAGACGAGGGATCTACCAAGTTTGGTTTTGCAGATACTTTCAAGATCCCTCACGAGGTTGATATATCTCTCACCTTAGTTAGACCAATCAGCCGTTTCTCACCCTCTTATTGTCACATTTATGTACTCTTTCATAGAGGAGGCCTCGACTTTTTCACTTTTATCAAAGCTTTTTTTGGATTTGTTGTAACCCCAAATTTGGCTGCAGCCATTTGTGGATCACGAGAAACACTTTGTATGTTCTCAAGATTTCAACTAACCAAACTGCAGAAAACTGTTACATCGCCAAAACTCTAGATAAACTATATATACAGCTAAAACCTAAGCTTCTGAAGAAATTTCACATACAACCCCTAAGCCTCAGGTTGGTTCAGCCAAACAAGGGAGCTCTAGCCATTTTCGTCTCTACCATCTCGTTGATTCCCTCCAACAACTGCCTACTTCTCAGTGTCATTCCTTCGATCGCGAGGAGCTTCTCAAGCAGACGCTTAACGAAAGTGAATTCGTTTGTAGTGTACCATTTCAATTCTTCCTTGATAACTATTTCCACATCTTTGAATGCTCTCATCACAAGCCCTATTTCCATTCTTCTTTCCACAAGATGGCTCACTGATTCTACCATCTTCTCTTCAATCTCTTGCACAGATTCATCGTGGCTTTCAATCTCCACCATGTGAACGATCGCACAGAAGGCACCTGTAAACGCCAAGACCCAGCAAAAGTTATCCACCAACCGCTTTCTTGGCGGGTTTAACATTCTTCTTATCTCAGGGAGAAGTATCTCCATTACAGGAATCACAAACTCTTCTTCATCGAGAGGCATTGTTAAGCACCTGAAGATGTAACATCCTCTAATGAACTCTGTTTCTCGGCAGTGTGATGTGATGTAGTCGCGTAGACCGACCCACGTGTCCTCCTGGACGTTGAAGATCTCGTTTGCAACATGCTGCACAACTTGGCCGAGGATCTTGAACGTGTTCACAGGGATTTCTTGCTTCTCAAGGCACGAGATGAGCAATGGCTGGAGTTCTCTGATCACTTCAACGTCGATTTTTGCCTTCTCTTTAGTGTGATCAGAGAGTAACAAGTTTACTTGTCTGACCGCCAAGTCTTCTTCCAAAACCTGAAGCCTACTTGACAAAACCATTTCCAAGATCTGTACTGACGACAAGGTCTTCAAATATTCGTACCCTTCACATCCGAATCTTACAACACGATTAGATGGAATCTCTTGCGTTTGAACGAAACAATCGCAGAACTTGAAGCTGCGTTTTCTCAACTCTGCAGCTAACTCTGACACATAACGGCGTTGATCTTCATTGTAACTACACAGGTTGTTGTCTCGTGACAAGAACTTCTTCAGTCCTTCGAACCGATTTTGCAGAATCTGTTTCATCCCCTTCTTCTCTAACTCAGTCACTGAATCCACAAGAACTGTAAAAACACTCTGTATCGAGTCGTATATGTTTTCGGAATTCAATACCTGAATCCCTATTTTAACTATAGTCTCTAAACCTAAACGCCAACCTTCTTCCTCAGGATCAAGAAGCAGCAACACCTTCTCTGCTTCCACTAGAACCCTCTGGTTAAACCGGTCCAGAAATTCCCGGTTCTTGATCGGTGGCAAACCAAGAAAGACACGGAAAGCCTTGAGAGGTTCTGTATCCGCGAGCGAGAGGATACACTCGCTGAGCTCGTCCCATCTTCCATTGTTTGACGTCATGACGTTGTAAGCTACGAAAGAGACGATCATTGCGACGATCTGGGCCTCGTGAGATCTTTCGTGTTTTTGCATTGTAAGGCAAGAAACCACAATGGGCTTGATTTCTTGGAGAGCGACGGAAGAGAGCTCGGTGCCTTGTTCTCTTAACTCGGAAAGAGTTTCGGAGAGGAGAAAGATCGATCGTAATCTGAAAACGTCGTCGGAAGAATCTCGATACACCATGAGAAGCATCCGCGTGAAGGCGTTCTGGAAAGTATTGACGCAGAAATTGTACAGAGCCCTCGCTGCTTTATACTCGTCGGTTTCTTTTGGATTGATGAAGAGTTTATCGACAAGACTCGCTAGTTCTTCGTAGCTTTGAGTCGCAACGATTTCTCTGGCTTTCAGCATGAGATTCCCAGATTCTGTCATTTTCCCGAGAAAATTTCGTGGCGGGATCTTGTTTGTCTGGGTTTAAAGGTGGTTGAAGATTTGCGAGAGTTCGTTATGTCATTCCAAAATTGAATATTAAACCGAACTTAACCGTGAATGATTATTTAATTGTTTTATCTACCAATTATTGCACAGTAAATCAAATAATACGAGAGTGAAGTAGAAACGTTGTGGTGTTTGAGAAAAGTCAGATAGAGAATTAAAAAGTCGCACGCCTTGTCGTTTCTCATCGCCGGTCAAACTTTTGCTCGTTCGGAGGAAAAAAAATGCATTTGAGCGAGAACGAAGGTGTCGAAGGCAACACCTTCGTCGTCACTGGAGGTCTTGGCTTCGTCGGTGCCGCTCTCTGCTTGGAGCTCGTTCGCCGTGGGGCTCGCCAAGTCCGCTCCTTCGACCTCCGTGATTACTCTCCTTGGTCCGATGAGCTCAGAAACAGCGGCGTTCGCTGCATCCGAGGTTCCCTTTCTCTTCCAATCGAACACTTTTACCCTGCTTTCAGTTTCGATCTGTAATCGAATCTCCGGGCGATGGATAATCGTATATGGTTAGTGTTAGATCACATTGTAAATTTGTCAGATTTATAATTGACAGGGGATGTGACTCGGAGAGAAGATGTGGAGAAGGCACTAGACGGTGCAGACTGCGTTTTGCATCTTGCTTCCTATGGAATGTCAGGGAAGGAGATGCTACAGTTCGGGCGTTGCGACGAGGTTAACATAAACGGGACCTGTAACGTCTTGGAAGCTGTGTTCAAGCACGAGATCACAAGGCTCGTCTATGTAAGCACTTACAACGTTGTGTTTGGTGGTAAGGAGATTAGTAATGGCAATGAGAGGTTGCCGTATTTCCCTCTTGATGATCATGTCGACGCCTATGGTCGAAGCAAATCGATTGCAGAACAGTTGGTCCTCAAGAGTAATGGTCGACCGTTTAAGTAAGTTCGTTTTCACAAAAGGATCCGTTTTTTTGGGAGTCTATTAGGAGAAAGCATAATGATCTTCTTCACTTGCCTCTGTTGGTTTAATGTAGGAATGGTGGCAAGAAGTTGTACACTTGTGCAATCCGTCCAGCAGCTATCTATGGACCTGGCGAAGACAGACATCTTCCTAGGATTGTTAATCTTGCGAAGATGGGTTTGCTTCTGTTCAAAACAGGTGAATCTAGTGTCAAAACAGACTGGATCTATGTTGAGAATCTTGTCCTAGCAATCATCTTGGCAAGCATGGGACTCTTGGACGACATTCCTGGAAGAGAAGGAGATCCCGTCGCTGCTGGCCAACCGTATTTCGTCTCTGATGGTAACACACACACACGCACCCTTTGAATCTTGCTTGCTTCCTGAAATTAAGCTGTGTTGTTTTGGATTGGCGATGATGTGGCAGGTTCCCCGGTGAATACATTCGAGTTTCTACGCCCTTTTCTAAGAAGTTTAGACTACGACCTGCCCAAGTTTACAATATCTGTACCTGTTGCGCTGACCTTGGGTAAGATCTTCCAAGGTTTCTACACTGTGCTATATCCATGGCTATCAAAGAGCTGGCTACCACAGCCTCTTATACTTCCTGCTGAAGTCTACAAGGTAAACAGTTTCTCGACTCATATTCTAGCCGAGATCACAAATTTAAACTTGTATGAATCTGTTGATCTCGTGCAGGTCGGTGTTACACATTATTTCTCATACCTCAAGGCCAAGGAAGAGCTTGGGTATGTTCCATTTAAGAGCTCCAGGGAAGGTATGGCTGCGACAATCTCATACTGGCAGGAGAGGAAACGGAGATCTTTAGATGGTCCAACCATCTTCACTTGGTTAGCTGTTGCAGTAGGAATGTTGGCGCTTTTCGCTGCGGGATGGTTACCCGAAATAGGACCTGTGCCATTCTTAAGAGCCCTAAGCCTCTTCTTCTTCCGGACTATGACGATTGTAAAAGGTGTCTTCATCGCATCAGTGGTGGCACATGTTGCAGAAGGAATGTATGCTTGGTCTCTTGCTAAACGAGTCGACCCGGGCAATGCTATGGGTTGGTTCTGGCAAACCAGCGCTCTTGGGTTTTTCTCATTGCGGTTTTTGTTGAAGAGAGCCAGGGAACACCAGGCTCTAAATTAAAACCAGTATTGTTTTGATGTTTGTATTCAGAGAAAGTTACACACACATCAGTTAAATGTTTCCAAGATTGAGAGATATTTATATAAAAGAAAATCTACATTAATCACGATAATTCCAATTTCTGAACAAATCAAGGTTCTTAAAATACCAACAAAACATAAAACAGGTTAAGTTACGAAACTCATTTTGTCTGGACGGACAACTAAAAAGCCTAAACTAGAGATACGAATCATCATCATCATTCTAATAATATAGAAGCTTGTTGGTTTTTGCTTAAAGACAACAAATATCATCACTAGGCTACTACTTCCACGCCATGGAAAGGTTGTTGTTGTTGTTGAAAGGTCCTCCTGTGTTCTGGTGAAGAGGGCTTCCATGTCCTCCACAAGATGACTCACTCATTGTGCCTCGAGATTGCGGGCTAGTCGGAGTCATCAGTACTTGAGTCGGTGCCACACGCGGTACTGTCGGTGACGATAGCTCCATCTGTCCCACGTGTTGTTTCGGTTCCTTTTGTCCGTCTGGTATGAAGCTCCCAACAACAATCTGTGATTTGAGACCCAAAAAATGTGTCCTTACATTGTTCTTATGATGAACATAACGATATATATCAATAGATTACCTGAACAGGTGATGCTGCTATGAGAAGACCAGCTACACAACCACCTAAGACATTACCATCCGGTGCCGATAAGGACACACTTAGACCTCCCGTCCTGCTTCTGTGGCCATTGTTCTCCAGCAGAAGGAACGAGCCCGACAAAGACAGAATCTCAAATCTTCCCTAAATTTTCAAAGTAAAACAACTCACTAAGGTGTTAAGGCCGCAAAAAGGTCAGAGACGAAGAGACTGAAGAAATCTGCAAGGCGAATATTGATGATACCTCATATGTAACGGTTCCACCGGATGTAGCGGACTGGCGAAGAGTCACGTTGGAGATAGATCCATTTGCAGACAAGACACACACAGCGCGTGGTCCATTCTGAGAAAACCCCATTATCTTTGATGATACATCCTGTCCCAAATCATAACAAATGTTAGCTCTTGGACCTGACGAGACGAAATCAAATAGACCTAAAATGCCAGCACTACAAACATCCACACACAACATAATCTTTGTCCGGATCAAGTTCATCATTCTCTTACTACCAATACTGTTTGACTTAAACACAACAACTCGCACTATCGAGATTCACATGATTTAGAGATGATCGTTTACTAGAAAGATGAGTTAATAAGACAGACATCTAACAGAAAACCAAGAAGACAGAAGAAGATAGAGACCTCTCCAGTCCTCACGGTAAGAACATGAGGCGTAAATCCGACTCCTGTCGATCCTGCAACAACAACACTCTGTTCAGAGCTCAAATTTGAATTTTAAGGGAATAAAAAATCAAGAACAATGAACTAAGAAACTCCACAGTTACAGTAAAGACAGTGAGAAGCCAAAAGCCACAATGCTGGAGGATTTTAATAGAGTAGAGATGGTTGAGGAAGAAACGATAAAGGGCAGATATGTAATTTGAGACGGAATCTAATTCCAAGGGGATTCTCAAGCTCATTGTTTACCATATTTCACCATTTTACAAGTATATTCTAATTGATTGCAGCCGACACAGAAGATCCAAGCAACCAGAACTTTCCAATTCCAGCACGTGAAAAAGAAGATTCCAATTAGAAAAAAAAACAGAGTGTATAAATACCTAAAGCTTGAAGCTTGTGCCTTTTGGTAGAACCAGGAGGTCTTCCTCTCATCTTCGTAACTGTAGGCGAGGTTCCTCCGCCTGAGCCGCTTTCGCCACTAGGTTGGCTGACGGTGAAAGAAGGAGCTCCGGGGACCATACCCAGTGGCTTTCCGCCGCCTTCTGTGCCGTATTTCCTCGGCCTACCTCTCTTCTTCTTCACGGGCTCACTCCCGGTCATGGTTACGGGCATGTTCATGTTCAGGGCTGGATTTCCGCCGCCGCCGGCTGAGTTGTGCTGGTACTGCGGCGGTGGTGACGCCGACGAGCTCATCGGCTTGTAGAGAGCGTTTTCGTCGGCGGCGCCGAAGGATAATTGCATGTTCTGAGACTGCTGCGGCGGAGCTTGATTGTGCTGCTGGTGGAGACTCATTGTAAATGGTATTGGTTCTCTGCTCGCCGCCATTAATCCCGTCTCAGATCCTGACATTTTTCCTCACTTTCCAAAAAGAAGAAACTTGTTAACAGAAGTTTGACCACAAAACCCTAGTTTCCATCGAAGCTCTGAAGTGGAGATTGTACCATCTTCGAGGAGAGAAAGTTCAAAATTTTAGCCCTAACCCTAATCAAACAACCCCCGAGAAGGGAAAAATCCAGTTTAACCTCCAAGATTTTAACAATTCTGCATTCCAAAGGATTTTTAGATCTCTCAAAGAAAAAAAAATTAGAAAGCGGATCGCGCTTTGAGGTTTTCCGAATTTAAGATTTAAGATAAAAAAAAATAAACTTTAAGACAAAAAAATTCGCCTTTTTAGATATTAATAAAAATTTACAGAAGGTTTTTTAATTGAAATAATAGAAAAATCAAACAGAACATCTCGTCGAATTTACATTAAAAATTGAAAGAAAGAAAGATAGAGAGAGGGAGAGAGAAAGCTTACGATAACTAGGCGAAAATTCAGGGAATAAAGCAAAAAGAAGATCCCTGCCTACAATTTTTAGGGTTTTAATTTTGTTAAAGACCAGAAAATATATAAACGAGTGATCTGTCCAAGGACGAAAAAGAGATTTTTGCAAATCTAAATATTTGGATTATTATGTCAAGTATATGCAACTATTTCCATTTTTCTTTTTCTTTTTTTTCCTTTATTCCAAATTTTTTCTGTTGGAAAATCAAATGAAAAAGTTGGAAAATATTTATTAGATCTTAAAAATATTTTTAATTAGATTACTTTTTATAATAAAACGATGTATTTCAAGCTAATATTATATGTATATTTATTATATAAACTAGGAATAGGATCCATGTTTCACGGAGTTAATCTACGGTATATTAAACATATTTCATTTTAATTAGCAAATTTTTGAGATTAAGTTTGAGATAAAAATCGACAAAAAATAATAATAAACTTCATTCATTTTAGTTTAATAATTTCATTTTTTAAATATGCATATAAAAAAAAATAATGAAAATGATCATATTTTTGTTTATATATAAATTGAAAAGACATAAATAGTAAAAAATATAATTTTCATAAAATAAACGGTTATAACAAAAAATTATCTAATAGATATTGAAAAATAAGAACTTTATTTATAGTTTTGAAAAAATATAATAAAAAAGACAACAATAATTAATATTTATTCAATTTTAAAATACGAGTTTTTAAATAAAAGTAGTAGTTATAGACAAAATCATAATGAAAATACAAATATTAATAACGGTTATGAAAAAATATATATAATTAAAATACAAAATTTATCTGAGTGTTGTGAGATAATCTCACGATGAGTATCTGATTTGATAGTGATTCTTAATAGCATTGCTGGAAAACTACTATATGTTAAAATTTCTACTATTATTTTTATTTATTTGTAGTAAACCATTTAAATAAGATACTTTTTATGATAGACATTTATAAAAGAAAGTAAAAAAACCATTATTAAATGATTTTTATATGTAGTTTGAATAATATAAATAATTTAAAAGGCACAAATTTTATGTGATGAAAAAATACAACAATTAATAATGAAAAGAACACAACCATTTATGTGATGAAAAAATACAACAATTAATAATGAAAAGGCAAGGTGCAACCACAAGTTTTGAAACCACACAATTTATCATAGCGCAAATAGTCTATCAAAACACAACCAGTGAATTATTAGATTCTATTTCATAGAAAATAATGCTGACATAAATTTTTTTAAAGATTTCACAGTTTATTGTAATAATAATTCTACTATAGTAAGATAGTAAAAGTTAGACACAAATGATTTATTTTCTTTCGTTTTAGAGCAACATAAATAGTTTTGAAAAGACACAAATAACAATTGTGATAAAAAATGCAACCGTTTATAATGAAAAGATGCAATCATTTATAATAAAAAAGACGTAACCACAAATTTTAAAACGACACAATTTTTTAAAGTGCAAGTGGCATTTATTCGGATTGTTATTTCTACTTATGACTTGATCTATGCTCTCCTATTTAACATTTAAAAAATAATTGAACCGATATTAATGAAACATTATGATCATAGGGCTTAAAAACGAACCAGTACTAAGTTGTGGTTTTTTATTGAAAAGTTGTGACTTTTCTTGTAGAGATCTAATGTTTCATTTGAAAGAATTTGTATCTAGAAACCACACTTTGAACACAATTCTAACCAGTCAGAAAATGTGAATAATAGTCAAAACAAAGAGAAAAGCTACAAACAACCTTAATTAGCCTATACAGAATTGTCAAATAAATATATAATTAATATTTAAAATTGAAAACTATAATAATACACAAATATCACAAACAAATTGTATAATTGTTTTAATGTAGTCCATACATAAGTTTCTTTCATTGCCGTATAACATTCTTTATAACAATTAATTAAATTATTTGATGTAAATGCATCTTCAAACTACTATGAATTTTATAATTCTCTGCAATAAAAAAACATAAACCATTACAGTAAGAAAATAAATATCAGATCCAAATGATTTTGATTTTTGGTTTTGAGCAATATAAATAACTTTGAAAAGACACAATGAAAATACGCAATTATTTAGAAAGAAGAAACGCAGCCATTTATAATGAAAAAATGCAACTATTTATAATGAAAAGACGCAACCATATATTTAGAAAGGACACAATTTTTCAAAGTGCAATTGGCATTTTTTCAGATTGTTATTATATATAGATGATTGGTTGAACTATGAACTATAGTTGTAGATTAATTACCGTACACTTAAATTTATACGGTAGAATTAGTCTATAGATTTTACTTATATAGCTATCTGATAGTCTATAGTTTCCATTCCGTGGATAATTATTTAATTATATGTTTTTCTAAATACGCCATAAATGATAGATCTCGTTTTTTTTATCAACAACGCTTGTGTTTGTTTAGTGGTTTCTACAATATGATGGTGTTTTGGAAAACAGATGTTGTCATTAGCGCAACGTTGATGGTGTTAGAACCGGGCAATTTGTGTAATGCGACAGATATAGTTTATAGTACATACTAATTGTTTTAACGGCTGCTTTGTGTCGTAAACACACAACATTGTTTGGTTTGATTCGATTTTATATACCGAACTTTATTTCTACAAATTCGATTTCATCTCACTTCGTTACTAATACATTTAAGTAAAATGCAAACAAGTCCCCTTAACAAGACGAATGAAGAAAACAACAACAGTTTCAAACTCAAGGTGCGGTTCTAAATTCTAACACTCTACTCTATCTTCAGCTTTACGGGCTCTTCTTGTGTGGAAGAAGATGTTTAATTGATCAGCGAATAGCAGATTCTTCATCTCCTCCATTTGTTTCCGGCTTCTCTCCATTTCCAAATCCAATTTCTCGAAATGAACAATCCTATCTCGAATCTTCATCATCTGTTATAACAATTTTGTTTTTCCACCATCAATCAAAATTAAGCACAGCCAAACAAAAATGTCTATGGGAAGTTGGAGATTATTTTACTAACCTCTACTTCTACAATCTCTCTGATGGCTCCTTCTACCTCATGCTCCTCTTTCTCAATCAGAGATTTCGCATCAGCCAAAGCTCTCTCTGAGTCGTTTCTAGCGGTTTCACCACTCGAGCCACCATTGATCTCTGCGTATCAGAAGACAAAGAGTCAACTCACTAATGGGTTTTGGCATGGGACAGAAACAAAACTGCACATGTCAGCTTGATCCTTGATACCTTGTCGATTTGGGTCTCCACCAGCGTTTTTGTCAGCCTCGTGGTCTACATCAGACAGAGCTGTCACTGCAGCTCGAGATGCTGCTTCTGCAACCTTTGTGCCAGCCAAAGCTGAAAGAAAAGCAGCCTGGAGACGACACGATAGGAAGAATTCATTCAGAGGCAGCCATGAAGCATGATAATCGAGATGTAATATAAGTAACACAGCAAAAAATTATCTAATACCATATGTAAACCCTATATGCCTTTTATATGACACCTAGTACACGAGTTCAAGAGTCTAAAGGAAGCTAAACAAGGTTTTCTATCTACTGGATCTTAAAAAGAGACATTTACAAAAGTCATGGAACAGCTCAGTGTAGAAACAGGACTATTCTTGAGCAGCCTAACATCAGAACTGATCAAGTTATTAGGAATTTTAATCGCACTTTGCCAACGAAAAGTTCCAATTTACATACATATTAACACATAGAAAAGATAAGTCAAATACTGTACAGTAGTTCATTTCAAACCTGAGCCATTATTGGGTTGCTTGCATCTGCAAGAGGCGTCAGTTTCATCCGCTTATTGGGAGATGAACCGTCTCTAATTCTTCCTTCAGACTCAGGATCAGGAGAGCCCTTGACCAGATCAAATGTCTCCGAAGCATCCTCTGAATCAGAATCTTTGTCAAACTGTTCCCCAAAAGGAAGCTTGACAAACTGAGAAACACAATCCTTCTCGGTTCTACCAGTAACATGCGGTGCAACCTTCTTCCAGTCATCTCCAAAGTGCATCACAGCTTCCAAAAGCTGCAGAGTCTCCTTCTCGGACCACACTGCCTTCGACTCCTCACTAAGCTCAACCCGCTTAAACTCCGACGAGTTTATACCAACACGATAGTTTCCACGGACGTAGCACCTCGCACACAATGTCAACTCATGCTGAACACAAACAAAAACTACTTAGTTTCATAAGCATAAGGCTTTGGTATTGGCATCATACAAACTCAGTGAAACATTGAGTGGCTGCAGCACGAAATTGGGTTTCAGGGACAATATCATACCTTCTCACTGGCGAAGCAAGCTACGCTGCAAATCGACTTGCAGCCATTGCAGATTCTCTTGGCAGTTTCTTTGACCGTTGTTGGAGGATCAGAGGCAGCATCGCCGGCGGATTTTCCGGGCTCTTTTTCGTCCCACTTGAGCGGCTTAGCAGAGGTGGAGCTAGAATAGTTGATAAGCCCCCATGAGTCGAGGAAATCAAAGACGCGACGGATAGAGACAACATCGCCGACGAGAGTTCTCCGAACGTCCGTGAAGCTAATCTTCCGAGGATGGTCGTCCCTGTACTGCTTGATGATTGAGTTCCTCAAGTAGAGGTAAAACTTAGGGCTTTTCGAGGAAGATCTCGAATCGAAGAATTCCGGGAGCGACCTGACCTCGCATTCGTTGATGTCGGTCCACGAAAACCACCCTAATCGCTCAAATCGACGATACGAATAGAAAATTCATAAGAAGCAGCAGTGGAGAAGATAAAAAAAAAAAAAAAAAAAGAATAATTGAAGATTCCTCGGAGTTGCAGACTTACGGGAGTAGCTAGGTACGTAGATACATTCGATATCGGAAGACGAAGAAGGCGGTTGAGCCGACTGCGAAGACGCGGCGACTCCCGACGAAGTTTCGGGAGTGACAGGAAGAGAGGGAGTCATTGGGAGAATTTCCCCAGATCCGCCGGAATTTGGAGCTATCGTGGCCATGAGTCTGTTCAACTAACGCCACTTCGCCGGAGAAGAAAGAGAGGAAAATCTAAGCACCGAGCGAGGCAACTAAAAAGTCCGACAGCTAAACAGGCCTGGGTCTGGGTCCTGATCCACATCCACTTTCGGATCCGGGCACGGTCTATATGGTTTTTATTTGGTGAAAATATAAATTTTATATTTTTGATAAATTAATTATGTATGCTTTATATACAAAATTAAATAAATCTGCATATTAAACTTCATTGTATGCAAATTCTCTCTCTCTCTCCCATTTACTTTCTGTCACCTTTTAATTTGCAAAACAATACTTTTAAAATCAATGTTACAATACTTTAGCTACAATCGTTCTCAGCATATTCGTTGCCTAAGCTATGTAAAAATAAATATGACAATGAGATTCATACATTAAGCACAACTCTTATTAATTTATTATGGAGTAAAAGATAAAGAGAGTTTGTGAGCAGATTGGAACATTTTAACACAACGTGAAAATAGTACTCTGTTTCGCTCTGCTTCCCAAGTTTTCAGTCCACAATCTTAGCTTTCCGATAGCTCTCTACCGAATCCACAAGTGTTTCCTCCAACGGCCGGAAACTCCAACCCAATTTCTGCAATTTCTCTGAACTCATCGTTGCCCTTTCTTCCACTTCGACGAATCTGTGACATTGCATTAGTACAGCTTGGATCAAAGTTCAGATCTTCTACAAACTTCAGACTCTAATTTATTGATGAAACCAACATAGAACCCACAGAAAATGATCTTGTTCTTTAAGCAAAAAAAATTGCAGACCAACAATAACAGATTATTAAGGTTTATATAGGGATTCACTCAAATTGTTAGTAGAGAGAGATGTGTTGTTGTTCGCTTACCTCTTTGGGTAGTTGTAGTTTGGGTAAAGACTCTTCAGCTTCTCAACCAAATCCTGTTCTTTAACCTTGTGTGCTACGCATATGTATCTTCCTTCAGCTTCTGCTTTCTCATAAACCAAAAGTAAAGCTCCAGCCACATCACGCACATCTACCACAAGACGCACTTGGTTCTCCCGTGATTCAAAACCCTCTGCATCACACAAAAGCAAGACCAAGACCCTAGATTCACCAACCCATATACAAAAAGTTACTTCTAAATAATGTTCCCATAAGTGGTAAGGCTTGTGTATACATACCTTTAAGAAGCTTGGCAAGAGCAAGGGTACTAGCGTTTACTGTGTGCTGCTGCAGTACGGGTCCAAAGACCATGGTAGGGCAAATGCTGACGAGATCAATCCCGGTTCGTTTTGCAAATTCGAAAGCTTCACTTTCCGCTTGTGTCTTTGACGCACAATACCAGTTCTGCCAGAGGGACTTAAACTCAGTAAGAAATATGAAATACAACAAGTGAGATCAGGGATTGAAGATTCATTTGAACCTCAGTTTTCCTGCAAAACTCTAGGTCAGACCAACAGGACTCATCTAACACTTGATTCTTTGACCAAACAGGGTTCATTATAAGTGCAGCTGCAGAGGAAACATACACAACACGCTTAACATTTGCTTCCACGCATGCCTTAAGCACATTCCGCGTGCCTTCCACAGCGGGTGCCATCACTTCTACCTGTAAAACCAATGGAAAGCAGATTCAGTGAGACAGTGTATATAGAGCCAGATGAGATTAGAGCTATGAGGTCTTCACTCTTCACCTCAGGATTTGGGACTGAAGATGGTGGAACTGGGCTTGCGACATGGAAGACGCCACTGCAACCTGAAATCGCAGCTTGAAGAGACCCGTAGTCCAGCAAATCAGCCTTGAAGAGCTTGAGTTTGTCACCGGCTTTCTCGAGCTTCTTCAAATGAGAATACTTTTCACTATCTACAGACAAATATGAACCAATCAGAAAAAACTCTTGATAAGAAACAACAATAGTGCTCAATGAAGTCAACCGCTAAAAGAAGAGAAGCAACGATAGGTTTTAGAAGACGAACAGCAAACAAACCCAGAAGCTAAAATCTGATAAACTACTAAAGAATCATCCGCGAATCTCAACTTAGCCCACTGACTTCTAGTATCACATACACGCAGATGAGCTACGAATTCGAATCTTATCAGTTCTCCGATCAAGTAGAGATCAGATAGATTAGATGGGGAAGAGGGGAAAGTACCAGGGTCTCTGACAGTGCCATGGACGAAGTAATCCTTAGAGAGGAGAAGATCGACGACCCACGAAGCGAGAAATCCTCCGGCACCGGTTACGCAAACCTTTCCTTTCTCCACCACCGCCATTTTCGATCTCCGAGATAGCAAAATATCGAAATTATCTTACCAAAAAAAACAAAATATCGAAATGATTCCTCTTAATAATGAAAATCAGCCGGGAGATGATCTTTTGACTTTTCTTCTTCCTTGTCCACGTGTGTGCCAGGTGGGTACGCAGCTCTTTGACCATCTGTCTCAGCTCTTTGACTTTTTCATGGGCCTATACAATTTTCTTCGTGGCCCATAATAATATTAGATCGGGTCTCCAAATGCTACGTGGAGCAACTACAGCCGCAAGATGATAATCAAAACAAATTGTTGAATTATCCCACTAATAACCGTCTCTGCGACCGGTTTAGTTTTTTCGCAGTGGGCATCAAGCAAATGTGAGAATCAAAAATCACAATCAAATCGCTGCTTTGCCTTTTCAATCCCAGAAATCGAATCCATCCAGAGTCAAGCAAACCTCGGAGAGATCCCCAAAGGCCAAGAACTCTAGAGCCAGAGTCGTAGTCGAGGATCAATGGCTAGCGATTTGAGAAGATCAGTGGGGAACGTGAGGTCTTTCATCGGAAATTCCATGGGAGGTCTTAGAGGAGGTCAGAGTCTCGCTTCTTGGCTCGTCGCCGGAACTATTGCCTACTTTCTCTGGGTAAAGCCAGCTCAGGATCTCAAAAAGGAACAACAGGTACCAATTTTCTGACACTCGGATTTTTTTTTTTTTCACATCTCCGAAGTTTTATCTTTATGGAATCTCCTCCGATTTCAATTTCCTCGGGTTGTGTCTGTGATTAATTAGGCTAGAGCAGCTCTCGCAGTGGCCGATCCAAATCAATACGTGGAGAAGAGGAGACCAATCGCTGATCCTCAGGTAAATTTACAACATTACAATCATCATTTGCGATTTATTCGTTGGGATGTTGTTTATAATATTTGTTAATGCTATTTTGCAGGTTACTGGTCTGATTTATGGAAACAAGAACAAAACCGATAAACCACAGGATTAAAAAAAAGAATCTACAAGTTTTAAACATCTCGTTGTAAGTTAGCTTCTACAGTTTTTGTCCAGTTTCCTATAGCTAAAAGATCAATGTATAGAGACAACTATAGTTGTGACTTACAAACAAAGAATAAAAAGATGGAAACGTTTTTTCTGAAGGGTTCTTTATATGCATTGTGAGGTTGAGAATGGATCTTAAACGAAGTTTGCCATGCGTTGGATTTGAATATTTGTTTACCATATAAACTGGGGAGATGCATCGACTTATATACGAGGATTGTGCGATTATCTTTGCGTCTTGTTAGGAAAGTGAATGTCCTGTTCTTTAGTTCGATTGCAAACGAGAACCTTTGTCTTCCCAGGATTGATCACCTCTTTATATCATGTGATGCGATTGATAATGGACCTCTCTGTGTTTTGTTTGAGTATTTTATTGAAGTTATTTCGTGGATGCAATCGGAGAATCATGACTCGGTTTAGATATTCACTGATGTTATTGCGTGTTTAGATCGGAATACTCAAGTTTGGAGCAATGCACTTTAGTGTCGTTGTTATCTTGGATGTTCTATGAGTTTGTCGGATGGTTTCGGTTTATTCTGCTTTGCGTTCTTGGATTGATTAAGTTTGGTGTGTGTTACTTTCTTTAATTCTCCCCATACTTGCATCAAGATTAGTGAAGTTTTTGATGACTTTGTTGTATCCATTAGGAACCATATGCTATGCGTTGCAAGTTCTTTGGTAAACCTCAAGGATCATGAGTTTAGACGTATTTTCTACAGAAAAAAAAAAGACCACAGCCTTATTTATAATTTCTTAGTTGGATCCATTTTCCAGTGTCACTTTAGTCCACAGCTCATCTTGACTTTTGGATCAATACAAAAGACAAGTTAGGAACATTCCATCGCTTCAAATAAATTTTAAGCGCAATATGCTTACACATGTTTACATAGAATAACACTTCCCATAACTAACAATTTGTTGTGATTTTTGAAAGAAAATTACTAGCCAGCAATAAAAACAAAACAAAAATTACTAGTCGAGATTATTTGTAACTCTGCGTGGTCGATAATTCAATATACTGTATGACTACTAATAAAAAAAAAACAAATACTGTCTGTTTTAGAAAATTATGAAGACGTATCAAATTTCTCAAGTCATCATTATCACATTGACAGGTAGGACCAATAAGAAACGTCGCAGAAGTCAACACCAACACGCGTTCATTGACCAAAAAAGTCCTCGCCGTCTCCTTTGGTTCACCTTCTCTGCTAATTAAGATCAGGAGCTCCCAAAAAAGCTCACAAGTCACGAAGAAGAACTTTTCAATCAAACAAAACACCACACCATGGATGCGCGTACACTCCACGCGTTATCCATCTCGGCGTTGTTTCTTCTCCTCCTCTACGCCGCGTCGTCACCGGCGAAGGCTCAGCAACCGTACGTTAACAACCGTCAGCTCGACTGTGAGAACCGAAACTTCGACAACATCACCAACGGTTTCACCTGTAACGGCCCAAGCTCTTGCCGCTCCTATCTCACTTTCTGGTCTCTACCACCGTACAACACGGCGAACTCCATCGCCAGACTCCTCAACGCTTCCGCCGCCGAGATCCGGTCGATCAACAACCTCACCACCGTCACCGAAACTATCCAAACCCGTCAATTGGTCCTTATCCCGGCCAACTGCTCCTGCACCGCCGGTGGATTTTACCAGCACAACGTCACTTACAGACTCTCCGGCGCTAGACAGGAGACGTATTTCTCGGTGGCCAACGATACCTATCAAGCTCTGTCCACGTGTCAAGCCATGATGTCACAGAACCCTTACGGCGAGAAAGAACTAGTCGCCGGATATGACCTCCTTGTCCCTCTCCGATGCGCTTGCCCTACCCAGAATCAAACCGCCGCCGGATTCAGATACCTCCTGACCTATTTAGTTGCCCAGGGAGACAGTGTCTCCGTCATCGCCGATATGTTCAGAAGCACATCAGACGCCGTAACCGCCGGCAACCAGCTCACGTCAGAGAAAATCTACTTCTTCACGCCGCTTCTGGTTCCTCTCAGGACTGAACCTACCAGAGTCGTGATATCTCCGTCGCCTCCTCCGCCTGTTGCTACGCCGCCTCAGTCGCCGCCGGTGAATCCTCCAGGATCTTCTTCTCACAAATGGATCTACGTCGGAATTGGAATCGGAGCAGGTTTGCTTCTCTTGGCTCTCTTCTTCTGTTTCTACAAACGAAGATCGAAATCGCCGTCGTCTGCGACGGAACAGAACAAGCTCACCGATTCATCTACCAAACAATCTGTTCCCACAACAACAACAACAAACCAATGGTCAATCGATTTATCCAAATCCTCAGAAACATTTGGTCTAAAATCCGCAATCGAATCCTTAACGCTTTACAGATTCCACGATCTCCAAGCCGCTACTTCGAATTTCAGCGACGAGAACAAAATCAAAGGCTCGGTGTACCGCGCATCGATCAACGGAGACGATGCGGCGGTGAAAGTGATCAAAGGAGACGTCTCTTCCTCCGAGATAAGTCTCTTGAAGAAGCTAAATCATTCCAATATCATCCGTCTCTCCGGTTTCTGCATCCGCGAAGGAACCTCGTACCTTGTCTACGAGTACTCAGAGAACGGATCGATCAGTGATTGGCTTCACTCGTCGAACAAGAAGAAAACGCTTACATGGAAGCAGAGAGTTGAAATCGCTCGGGACATAGCGGAAGCATTAGACTACCTGCATAACTACGTAACACCAACTCATATCCACAAGAACTTGGAATCCACCAACGTACTTCTTGATTCTAATTTCAGAGCCAAGATTTCGAATTTCGGTGTAGCGAGGATCCTTGACGAAGGTGATCTTGACCTTCAGTTAACCAGACATGTCGAAGGAAGACAGGGCTACTTAGCTCCAGAGTATGTCGAAAACGGAGTGATCACTCCGAAACTAGACGTGTTTGCATTTGGAGTCGTGGTTCTTGAGCTTCTTTCTGGGAAAGAAGCAGTGACGATACAGAGGGAGGACAAGGCAGAAGAAGAAGTGGAGATGTTGTGTAAAGTGATAAACAATGTGCTTGGAGGAGAGAATGTCAGAGAAAAGCTAAAAGCATTCATGGATCCATCTCTAGGGGATGAGTACCCATTGGAGCTAGCTTACACCATGGCTCAGCTAGCCAAGAGCTGCGTCGCACTTGATCTTAACTCTCGCCCATCTATCGGTCAGGTTTTAACCACGCTTTTGATGATCGTCTCGTCCTCCATCGATTGGGAGCCTTCTCATGACGTTCTTCACGATTCGGGATCTCTTGGCAACTAGTTATTTTAGATTTTAGATTTTGTGTAACTTAAGGACCATACATCTTTAAACAATCGAGGTAATAGATATAAAATAAGTACCAGTGTGTATAACAAAGTAATAAGAAGAGACGTGATAGAGAAGCTTTTAGTTTTATGAGTAACTCTGATTTCTATTAAGTTCATTACTTAACAAAAGAAAAACACAACTAAATTAAATAATATTGATGAAAGTTATTAATGAAATAGTAACAGAGGACACAAACAAAAAATGATACAGGTAAACAGAAACAGCTATACCTTTATAGACAAAATGCTCATCAAGTTATGTTTGGTCATGAGAAATTTTCCACATCTTTCTTCCCGAGTTTAGTCTGTTCAAACTCTTTAATCGTTTTCACTAGCTTCTTCATGTTGTCGTCGTACACATATGGAAGCTTATTGTAAAATGTCACATTGTCCTTGGCTGAAACAGGTAACATCACTCTGCAAAGCTCCTCGTGCACGGTTATGGTGTTGTGGTAATGGTAGTAACGGATCTTTTTCTCCGTCTTGTGTAGTGTTTTGCCTACTACGTTTTCAGACATGTGAACTCCTGTCGCAAACGCGTTCTTGGCCTGGATCGCGTATTTCCTGTCACGGCGTATGTTTGTTCTTGATTCCTTAAATAGCATCTTCTCAAATCCCCATTGCCTGAAAATCGCCCATATAAACAAGAAAACAAGTGTGTTCCTTTTCATCATGACCTTTTATATACAGAAACATGGCTAATCAAAATGAAAGCTAAATTCAAGATTCGATTCTAAGAATTAGCTTTGACTTGTTTGCTTTTATAGTATCGTCTAATCAAAAGACAGAACATGCTCAAACATCATCATACAGTATTCCAAAATCCTATCACTAAAATCTGACAAGAAACTTCTGTCAAGAAGCAATACCTGGGATAATCTTGAGAGGAATCGTTTAAGCAAAGAACATTAGACATTGGGTTCTGCTCAATTGTGAACTGAGTGTTAACGGAGAACTCGGCGAGCACTGATTCAAGCGTATTCCCGTCGGGCAAATAGATGTACTCATCAACATCGAAGAAGAAGGTCCAATTCGCAGCGTGACGATACCGATGCAAGCAATCATTAACGATCAAGAACTGATTATAGTAGTAGCCGTCGTACTGCGACTGGTCACGAATATCCTGAAGCGTGACCCTCCCGGCGCGAATCCACGGCTCGAGAACCTCCCTAACCTCCGGCGAAACCCCACCAGCATCGTGGAAGACGAAATGCGACTTGTCGCCGAAGAACCAGGCGTGGTAAGCCATCCACTCCCTCATACGCGACGAGCTCACGTTACCGTACAGAGACGAGCCACAGTAAAGGTACTCGTACGGATACGGCGGCGAGAATTTCGATTCGTCGTAAGATCCGGCGGATTCCTCTAGCGTCGCCAATCTCTCGAACAGTTTCGGAGATTCTCCGTAGTAAGCGTTGAGCATGAGCTTACCTCCGGAATTGTCGGAGTTAGGGTTCGATTGAAAAGTGCAATTGACGACGACGACGGTGTATACTCGACCGTATCCCCAATCCGGTAGAATCTTCACTGCTTTAGCTCGAATCGAGGTTCCATTGCTGGATAACCACTCGCACTTAAACCATGGTTTTCCGAAGACATGGATCGGCTTCGACGCGAGTCCGACCACAGCAAATGTCGCCGGACCGCCGCGGTAAGCTCCCATGAGGACGAAAAGCGCCGCCGCGTTACCGAACGGTTGGAAAACGCGCTTGTTCGGATCTGAGGGCTTCGAATCGACGGAATCGTACTTCTGAGAAGCTACCGGTGTGGCCGAGAGGGAGGTGGTGAAATTCGCCGCCGCGGAAGATGAGGAGGAGGAGGAGACTAATGCGGTGGTTATCGTGGCGGCGGAGCAGGGACGAGTGGTGGAGATGAGATTGTGGTAGTAAGGAGGAAGGTTCCAGATAATCATGACGAGGGAGAGAGCTAGCAATGTAGCAATCAGTGGCCTCTTCTCGAAGCAGACGAGGAATTTAACGGTGGTGGTGGTCACCGGCGGCAAAACTTCCTTCCTCATGATTTTAGCCGGCGCAGGTGAGATGTCAAACGCACCGTTTCAGTTAATAAGTTAAGAAAAGTGTGACGATAAGCGTCAGCGAAACTTTGCCGACACGGCGTTGGATTATGGAGAGACTCGTGGCTGTCTCGTTGAGTAATTGTAATGTTGGAGAGGAGAGAGGTAGTTGTTATACGAGAGTGGGCTTGGATCTCTTATGATTTACGAAAACGACACTGCGTCTCTCTCTCTCTCTAATCGTAAAGTTGGATCGTCTGTTTAAATTGCTGGCTCCCAATAGATAGCTTGTGGGACCCATGACCCGTGGCAAGTTGGCGTAACGGTGATAATATTTGATTTATTTGTTTTTGTTACCTTACCAATCGAATAATTCATCATCGGTGAAAGTTAAAAAGAGTTTGGGCGCAAAAGTGAAAGATGAATTTGGATAGACTTCACAGTAAAGACTAAAGAGTTTAGTGCCGCAAAAAAAAAAAAAAGCTTGTAAATTCCTTTGAATAAATTCCTTTTTAAAATTCTGAAAAAGTGTTGAACAGTAAATCGAATCGTGTAAATGAAGCTAAGTAATTTTTTTTTGTCTCATTTTTGTTTGAAAATTTAGATCGAAGTTTTTGAATGAAACTAAGTAGTTTTTTGGTTGATATTTTGGTTAACTTATTCCAAAAGGCAGAGAAACCACTTATAAGCCAATTTATGATACTTCTGTGATTAAACTGCTCATCGAGGATCATGATTTGAGTCTTACCATGGTAATTTAATCATGGTTTGTTGTATATATGCTTTAAATAGCAAGAGATTTTGATGGCTCCACATACTCTAGAAATTAGTAAGGGTGATTGGCATGTGATTTTCTGATTTTTTTTTTTTTTTAACATTTCAATCATTCTCTTATAAATTCTAAAAGTATATATATAACCGACTAATCATGTTTTATCATTATATCGGTTGTTGAGCTTGCTCCGTATTTGCTATGGTTTTTTTTTCTTTTCAATATTGATTAGACCACTTACTGACTTGCAATTATTTTAAACTCTAAATTCGACAGTCAATCCATGTGTTTTTCGATTTTGTGGTTGAGAACTCGATTTTAGAAAGATGACAGTAGTACAATGAACAAAAAAAATACCCATTTTAGAATGAAAATTCAGTGAGCTATGAACTCTTTCCATCTTACATCCAAAAAGAGTGTTTTGACGTATTTTATTAGACAACGAATCTCTTATTTCAACAATATTATAGGTCAAAAGTTACGCTATATTTATACTAAAAAGAGCATCCCCAAAACAAAGGATGAGCAGCAGAGCAGATGTTCGCTTTTTCTATATTTTTTTTTTATACAAGTTAACACTCCAACTAAAAGAAATGGTTAAGCATAATATTCGCCGTAAATGCATAAATTTAATGTAATGCTTAGAGTATCATTATCACTGAACAGATTAAAACATGGTTTTTGGGTCCAATTATGAAACCCTAAGAAGTACGGCAAATGCTTTTGGTTTTAATCATAACAACCAAATATAAATTGAATGCGAATACGATTGTACTAGTATGCTTGCTTATCCTGTTACTAATCACAGCTAAACCCATTTAAGACTTCCTTTTTGGGAACTTAAACGTCAATAAAGGTGATCATGTGTCACATTCGAAAACTGAATGATACCTGTACATTGTTCTTTTGGTTATTTTGAGTTTTTTTTTGTCTGTCAACGTTTTTAAGAAAAAAAGTTCAGTCTTGTCGGTCGAAGATGTTAGTTGTAACAATCAATTCGTAATCGACTTGATACAACTCCTAATCTACAGTATATGATTGGTCACCACAACTTGATCATGCTGAGTTTAGTGTGTAATGCAATGTATTTGATCGTCCCTTGTGGAAACATCTGACCGACAAAGTGAAACTTGTGGAGGGAACTGTTTTGGCTTTCATTGGTGTTCTTAAATACTTCTAAACCACCTAATGACAATGTGTTTATCTCAGATCTACAAGATTTTACAAATCAATATGAACCATGAACTCTTTCCATCTTACACCCCAAAAAAATGTTTGATGTATTTTATTAGACAACGAATCTCTTGTTCCAACGATATTATACTTGAAAGTTGGCTTCATTTTTTGCGAGTCATTGGTAAGTTAGTATGTGTTTATTCTTTTGTGATCGTGTTTGATAGTATTCATTGATGGAGGAACACATTCAACCACTTCTTGCCAGTTATGTTTCATTGTGTTGGTTTTTAGATGCTAAATGTCTGTAACACCATCCTTATGTTTTTGGATTAGTGATTTCTTATGTTTTTAGATGTTCAGAAAAAGATTAGTAATTTCTAAAATTTTGATCAATTATCATATATCTATCTCATGGGATTTAACTGTTGCGTGGTTTACCCTCTGGATGTTGATGCTATACTTGACGAACGAGTTGAAGTCTCTACCATGCATTTCCATTCCGATCATCTTTGTTGTGCTAATATCTCTAATGCTTAGTCTTTATACTTTTAAGATTTCATTAACATTCTATAAATCTCTGGTAGTGAAAAAGAACTTGCACAATTTCTCAAATTTCTAGAAAGAATCTGATTCATGATCAGTTTTGTAAATTCTTATTAAACTTCTTTAAGTTTTTTTTTATAAGAATTTGATAAGTTTTAGAACCTGATGCAACTCTTTTTAAGCTTCCGAAACGTGATTTTTTTCTTTGTTTTTAAATGAAAACTTACAAATGTTTTATTTTTTGAATCTTAGAAGTTTTTTATTTAAAAATAGGTATTTTGTTAAGAGATAATCATATAATTACTATTTCGAAGAAAAAAAAGAAAAACCAAAAAAGCAAATCAAACCATTTTTGCAAGCACCTCTAAATTATATTATTTCACTTTTCATAGTCTTCACTATAGTACTAATTATATATTGTTAACGTATAATTCTTCTAACCGGTGAAAAAGAGACCATATATGAATATATGGCAGAGAAAACTCGCTTCATCATGTCACTAAATTAGGCATGACCTTGTCGACAAGAAAGACTATACCAACTAACAACACCATACCATACATACCCTTGCCTCAAAAAAGAAACTAAACGCAAAACCAAAGTTACATTTTATTGATCTTAATGAGGATACATAGGAAACTTTGAACATCAAGTTTCTAAATTGTTCAAGTGAGATTTATGATATGGGGGCTAAATTGCATTAAGACTAAACTAAGGTTATGCAGCTTTGGTTTCTTGCAAGCTTTCAACACTATTTACAAATCTTAAGGTATGGATCTTAGATCTCTATTAAGATTTATGATTTGGAGGCTTATTTAATTTTCTGACAACTTTTCTAGATGAGGAAGTTCAAAGCCAGCAGGCTGAAGCTAAATACCAATCTGATTCTGAATGTTCTTTGCCTAACCTCTTTGTTGAGTATTCTATCAAACACCTTTTATGTCTGGAAAAGCAACCATTCTCACAACCATATCCTTCACGATCAAATGAATGATATTTGAATTGAGTAAATCTAGAACATATATTGGACAAATCCAACATAAAATTAGATGAGGATATGAATAGAAATAGTTCATTTATGAACTTAACTTATTCAAATGTAAAAGATACCAAAAACTTAAGAAACTAAAGTTTTTTTTGCTGAATTTATAAAAAGGTAATTTTATCCTTACTTAAGCCAAATCAAAAAATTCTCCCACATGCAACTACGTAGATTCGAACCATGAATCTGTTTTAAAGCCTCACAGCGCTCAACCATCAAACCATCATATATAATTTTAAGAAACTAAAGTTGTAATAAAGACTTAAATCTCCTCCATGTTGGCTCATGAGATCCAATCGGCGTGAAAGAAGTTACAGCAACTCTTTCACTGTTTTTGGATGTGCATAAAACTATAAGAATGGTGAAAATGCTGAGAGCCAAGAACAAAGTTTATATTTTTATTTTCAAACAGGATTCAAAGAAGCTGATAAATGGACTAAAAAAATAAACATGTGATGTTGATACTTTCCAGCGAATCTAATGTTGAAGATTTTAGTTGTTACAATCAATTCATAACAGACTTAATACCTTATAGCTTTGATAACTTTGTTGGTGTTCTTAAAAACTAACCACCGAATGACAATATGTTTATCGCAAATCTGCAAGATTTTACAAATCATTTTTTTTTATAAAACAATATACATTCAATCTATTTGCCTTTATGCGAAGATTAATGACAAGTATAACTGTAAAATTATCCGCTAACAGCGAAACCAAGTTTTTGCTGTTTAAAGACTTTCTCATTCTGTTTCACGTATTTCTTTATTTTATACGGCTATGTCGTACGTTCTCGAGTGTTAGTAAACCCAAGTTAATATATTTTCTCGATTTCTTTTTTTTTGTTGTTGCCAAATTATCTAAGTAGAAGCACTTTCTTTTTGTCTCTGTATCTTATAACTGAAATAGAGATTTATGTTAGGTTTCACAATTGTGCTAGGATGTTTGACTATAATCGTTCTCACGTAACTAAACCATTTCTCATTTATTCTACGAGTTTTTTTCTTGTGCTTACCACTCTTTTAAATGTTTAATTTGGCTAAGTTAATGTTATTTTAAAATAATGCGGTGTCAGTGTCACACCTCAACATGCAATCTGGTGCTCTAACTATGTATTTTAAAGAGATTATCTACTAGATTATCATATTCCCATGCTTTTATTGTCGACTAATTTTTTTGTTATAATGGTATGCTAAATAATCACATGGGAAGAATTATTTGCAAAAATGGTAGTAAAACCAATACGATTTACGATTAATTCTTGGCCCATATTAAAATTCTTGCAACATTCAAGGTTTTGCCTCTACTCTAATATCCAAAACAAAACAAAATCCTGGGCCATATTAAAATTAGGCCCAATAAAATTGTGGGTCCGTCTACACGCTCTCCCATATGTCTGCGTGTGTGTGTATCAATGGCACCAAGTAGTGAAGCCCTCATTGAGTAACTAACGGCTATATTCCCTTCATTTTTTCAAAATTGTCTGTAAGTCTAGCGAAGAAGAAAGAAGCGACTATGGCGGAAACGAGGGTTGAGATCTCAGATCCAGAGGCAGAGTTTTTCGCTTCCAAGCAGGAGACCGGATATGAGTGGGAGCTTTTCAAGGAGAACGTCAGGCCATTGAAGAGAGGACGCGATGTTCGTCTTCTCAACCACGCTCTCAAATCTCAGTCCGACCACCAATTAAGGAAGAATCTCGCCGAGAAACGGAGGTATCGCTTTCAATTTCACATGTATGCTCTTGGGTTTTAGTCGAATCGGTCAATTTTTTTTTATTTTAATGTCGGTGATTTTTGAGTTTCAGGAGGTTGATTGAAGCCATCGATGAGTACGATGGAGACGACCCTCTCTTTCCCTGGATCGAGTGAGTTCCTTCATCTTTCTTGATTGGGTTCTTGAAAATTGCAAATCGTAGGGCTATTGCTTAGATTTACGTCTCTAGATTGAAAAAAGTCCCAAATCTCTTGATCTGAGCTTCTTTCACTGTTCTTTGTGAAAAGGTGTATAAAATGGGTACAAGAGGCTTTTCCTCCAGGAGGAGAATGCTCGGGACTGTTAGTGATATACGAACAGTGCGTTCGCAAGTTTTGGCACTCGGAACGTTACAAGGACGATCTTCGTTATCTCAAAGTTTGGTTGGAATATGTAATGTTTCTCTCAATAATTACTTCAAAGATAGTCTTTTTGTGTGGAAAGAAGAGTACTAAAAACAAAAAGTGGTATCTTTGTTTTTTGTTAATTTTGGAAGGCGGAGCATTGCGCTGATGCAGAAGTGATTTACAAGTTTTTGGAAGTCAATGACATTGGAAAGACACAAGCTGTCTACTACATAGCTTATGCTTTGCACATGGAGTTTAAGTCCAAGGTGAAAACCGCGAATGAGATCTTCAATCTCGGAATCTCTAGGTAAAATCTTCATCTTGCTCCTCCTCCGTAGTTCGCATTTCAGCTTTTTGTCCCATGTTTTCTGATTGAAAAAGTGTGCAGAAATGCAAAGCCAGTGGAGAAGTTGAATGATGCATACAAGAAATTCATGGTGAGAACTATGAAAAGGCCCGAAACAGCTGATGAAGTAAGAGTCTTTTTTAAGTCTGTTTGTGAACTGTGTATATATCTATGCATGTTTCTACATGATAATTAATGTTTCATCTACTAGCAGGAACCAAAGGAGAATGACTTACCCTCAAGGAGCTTTGGTACTCTATTGTCCAGGGGAGATAATAATAGTGAGTCGCATATAACTTTACTTTTGAAGTTATTGAAATGTTTTTATAAAAGCTCTCTTACATGACATTTTTCTTTATATAGATACAAGAAGGCAAGCGTTAGGAAGTTCTAATCTACAAGCTAAAAAACCAAAGCTGAATAAGTAAGCAAGTTTGATTGATTCTGTAGATTTCTCTCTCTCTCTTTTTTAACTCAACTTAGACGTTTAAGCATAAATAAACTCACTATGATTTGTGCAGCTCATCGACATCGAAGACACCTTTTCCTATCTACAAGGACACTACACAAGGGAGTCAAACAGAGTCAGGCAAGACAAAACCAGAGTTTGGTTCTTGGCTCATGCTCGGAGGCAGAGCAGAGAGGAACAAAGAAAACAATTCTTTACCTGGAAAATGGACAACATTCAAGGTTCCTCAGAAACCCATTGCGAGGACTGCTGCAGCCTCTGCATCCTCCTTTGAGGTTTTTGTCGATGAAGAAGAGTGTACAGAGTAAGTTCGACAAATTCTTGAATGTTTTGGCAACAAGACAGACATGCTTCATTACTGAGACTTGATTATGAAATTGCAGGGAGAAAGAGAAGAAGAAGAGTGAAACCATCTCATCATCATCATCAAACGTTCTGCCCCTTAATGATGGACGTGAGATAAAGAAGTAAGTATAAAAAACCCGTCTTGATTCACTAAAACAAATACATTATCTCATGACTTGTGAATCTATCTAACAATGCTTCCTTCAAAAAATAATTTGTAGAGAAACAGAGCTTCTGAGACAGAACCCTCTAAGGCATTTCCCACCCAACAGCTTCCTAAGATGATGATGTTCATCATCTCCACAAACAACACGATCTTCTGATTTGATATTTCGGGCTTTTGTCTATAAAGCTCCTTGTAATTTGCATATTTGGATTTGTTTTGTGATGTACTGAGATTTATGTACCATGATGATGAGAACAATGAGAATCGATTCCATTTTAGCTACTTGAAATCTCCTTCTACTAATATATAATAGTACTGTTACTGGTTTGGTATCAGCAGGATCTTTTGTAATAGATGCGTATCGGTATAAACTACCGAAGATTAATTCATTGGGCACTCTACTCACACAAAGAAACAACTCACTGAAAAAAAAGTGGCTTTAAGCAGATGGGAGGGGGCAGAAACATAATCAAGCATTAATAGCCATTTTAATTAAATGATTAAAAACCAATGATGCGATTTTGGAGATAGACTTTGAGTGGTAAACAAGGGAAAATGAAAATAAACCCTTGGGAATTTTATTTCAAGTTAGTGGTAGGGGCATCATTTCATTTCATTGTCTACCCTTTAGGGCTTTTAAGGGCTCCTTTATCACAATACTTTACTACTTAACTAAACACATTAAACATATATTACGAGTATGCTATAAATTTCAAAATTGTTTAAAAGTTTTACAACATAGTATTTAACTTTAAAAAAAAAAATTACCAGTTTTTTCATGTATAAAAGTATATATATCATTAAGAAAAGCATAATCGTGTGATGTTCATGTACGGTATAAGTATACTCTATATGTTCGCAGCATTTTACCAACACTTATTTTTTTCCAAACATACTTTAAAACATCTACTTACATAATCTAGATTAGCCATTATATAATCTACTTATAAGTATACTCTATAGATTACACATTATAAATGCATTATTTACGCTACAAGGTCATAGAGTAGCCATTATTTTTACATATAAATATGTATACATTGATTACGGGAAAGTTTATGTTGAGGAGGTGTACGTATAGTCCTTTTTCGTCTCATATATTATTATTATGATTAAAATCTGAAATCTACTAGTTTTGTTTTCTTTTGAGATTAAAACTTGGCCGTAGATATTAAGGTGATGATAGTGATGTGTCAAAAAATAAGGAAATAGCTAAATCAAAGCAAGTAATCCCTAATTGCGGACTAAATAATTATGACCCTTAATTCAACAAATCTACATGAACCTTAAGAAAGGGTTAAGGGCCGAGATTATAATAAAAGGATTAAGGGTCAATATAATCTACAGTTACATCTAAATTTCGAAAACAAAACAAAATTAAATGATTAAAGAAAGCTTTTTTATACACAAAAAGTCATTATCTCACAAAATAAATCCATCTCCTCTCTTTCATTTTGCACTCTCTCTCCGTCGCTGAAGATGGGACAAACGCCGTAACGGGATGTTCTCACCATAACGCCGTTAAGCCTGAGCCCGTTTCAACACGTGCCATAGGAAACGGGAAATCAAAAGGGATTTAAGTTAATGGCTCTGGAACAGTTGGGGTTGGGAGTGGGCGCCGTTGACGGGGACGGTAACGGCGTCACTCAAGGCGGTGGGGAGAACAGTGCGCTGTCTAACGAAGGCGGGGATGACGGCGTTAAGACGGCGAGGCTGCCTCGTTGGACTCGGCAGGAGATTCTTGTGCTGATTCAGGGGAAGAGAGTGGCGGAGAACAGAGTCCGGCGAGGGAGAGCGGCGGGTATGGCGCTCGGGTCGGGTCAAATGGAGCCCAAGTGGGCGTCTGTATCATCTTACTGCAGGCGTCACGGCGTGAATCGCGGGCCGGTTCAGTGCCGGAAAAGGTGGAGCAATCTCGCCGGAGATTACAAGAAGATTAAGGAATGGGAGTCTCAGATTAAGGAGGAGACGGAGTCTTATTGGGTTATGAGGAACGATATCCGCCGGGAGAGGAAGCTTCCTGGCTTTTTCGACAAGGAAGTCTACGATATTGTGGACGGCGGCGTAATTCCTCCGGCGATTCCTCCGGCTCTTTCCCTTGGCTTAGCTCCGGCGTCGGCTGGATTTTTGACTGATTTGGATCGGAGAGAACCGGCGAGAAGTCCAGATAAGTTAGATTCGTCTCCGGCGCCGTCCAAATCAGTTCAGGGTAAAATTCAGATCAAATCCCAAGTTTTTCTCTGTGTTCTTCACTAAATCCGATTTTTTTTTTTTTTTTTTATAAAGATGTTATAGAGAAGGAGAAGCAAGCAGCTTGTGGAGCAGATCAAGGTTTGTATTTTTGTTATTCTTATGTTCCTACCAATGGTTAGATCGCTAGTGGTGGGGTTCTAAGCCAAATGACATTGGGTTGGGTTATCTTGATAAAATGTGTATTAGTGCTTTGCAAAGATCAATATGGTTTCATTTGATCCAAAAACAACATAGAAAGGTTTGATTTTGAGGAGTTATATATACATGTTTACCTCTCTCTATGCGTGTCATCATCTCCACTTCTTTCTTTGATCTATTTCATAGACTGAAACCTTGATCTACACGCTTATCTCAAACTAGTTTTAGAGCTCTTACGTGTCTCTTGAGTCTTGGCCATGTAGTTATGAGCAAATATGTTTTGCCCTGTTGTGTTACAAAAGTAGTTTAACTATATTGAGGAATCTCCATTATCTTGTCTTTTTTCACAACAAAAGTTGATTTTGTACTTGAAGGTAGAGTGAAAGACAAACATCAAGAAGCAACAAACCCGGAAGCTGGATCGACATCACAAGAAGAGAGAAAGCGTAAAAGAACATGTGCTGGTGAAGATAAAGAAGAAGAAGAAGAAGAAGGAACAAAGAGCATGCAGAACCAATTGATACAGATACTAGAAAGAAACGGGCAGTTATTGGCGGCACAGCTTGAGATTCAGAATTCAAACTTGAAACTAGACAGAGAGCAAAGAAAAGATCACGGTGATAACTTAGTCGCTGTTCTCAACAAGCTCGCTGATGCTGTGGCGAAAATCGCAGATAAGTTATAGATATTAGTACTATGTATATGTAAATCTAGCCGTATATTGATTCAACATCACTTCTCATTATTCTTCTTTTTTTTTTTTTTTTTTTTCTCATTTACCACCATTGATGCCACCACAAGTGGCCCTATACACATCTTATATGAACATGGAGATTTATACGGTTTTCGGACATCAATTATCTTTGTTTTGCCCTTTTGACTGATTCAGACATCCTATGTAATCATGGAGATTTTATACTGTTTTAGGACATCAGTTGTCTTTGTTTGTACCTTTTGACTAATTCAGACATCTTGATGGGCAGTAGTATAGTATGGGTTGAAAATTTGTTTCATTCTAACAAAAAAAGAAGAAGAAGAAGAAGAAGAAGAAGAATTTGTAGTAGTAAACTTTATTTATTTAACAGATACTAGAAAGTAAAGTGAAACCGTTACTAATATTCCATATTAAACTTTGGATACCTACGACAATAAATTTCTTGTTTATTTTGTTGGCTTTCAATCTGTGAATGATTAGTTTGTTTGTAGTAACAAATAAAGGACAGTAAACAAGTAGTAACAGTTTTCATAAAAGCTGCAGACGTATTTGACCATTTATAAAGAAATATATGTGTACGAACGAAATTTACTTCCTCCTACGAGTAACTTAAACTGACTGACTTTGGAGTTTGGACTCTGGAGTCAAAAGTTGGATCTTTCAGACACATAAATGGTAAAGAAAGAAAAACAAAATACACACAGATGTCTATTTTCGTCATTTCCTCACTCATTGCAAAATAGAGCATATCATACGTCGCGCTGACCTAATTGCCTTGTTCGGATCGCTGACGTGTACGGTCTAGATTAAACTCCATCCTCAACTAGATTCTCTTCGTCCCTCTTCGCTTTATATTAATGATTAAATCTCTCCTCTCCGTCTATTCATTCCTTTTCTTTTACATCCTCTTCAACTTCGGCGTCCGGAGAAAAATAAATCTCAAAATTATTCGATTGGAGAAAGAAAAAATAAGCGAAGAAATTTGAAAACTCGTCTCTGAGTCTCGGATCGGGAATTTTGAATTGGGAAAGCTTTTGAAGAAGAAAAAAAAAAGTTTAAAAAGATTAATTTTTTTGAACTTGGATCTCTGTTTTTTTGTTTGAATCGTTAATTGGAAAGCTAAGGGACGAAGGAAAGAACCCTAATTTCCGTTATTGAGATCTATCTCTGGACGGGATTAAGGGGCGATTTTAAAATCCGGATTCTTGTTTTCCGCATCGGGTTGTTGCTGGATTGTTTTTGTACATGCTTGTTGCTCGATCTGGTTGTTCTAAAACCCTCAATCGAATGGGCAACGATGAGAATTTGATTGTACTGGCGGATGTAGAGGAAGGAGAGATCTCCGGTTCGGTTAACAACACTTCGGTTGAAGTTAAGCAGACTACGGCGGCTGATGGCGGAGACGTCGATGCCGGAGTTAGAGGAGGAGCTAATGGCAACTCCAGGGTCTGGACAATGCGTGATCTGCTGAACAAGTACCCTAGTTATCGCGGATACGCCAATTCGGGTTTACAACATTTTGCCTGGGCTCAAGCTGTTCAGAACAAACCTCTCAGTGAAGGTTTGGGGATGGATTATGAGCCGAGAGAGAGCTCCGAGAGTAAGAGTGAGGAAGGTGGTGGTGGTGATAAGATTGTGATTGACGACAGTGATGACGAGAAAGAGGAAGGAGAGTTGGAGGAAGGGGAGATTGATTTGGAGGAGTCTGCCTCTGATGGAAAATTGGGTACTACAGTTGAGATGGATACTGAATCAGTTAGTGCTAACAAAGTGGAAGATGATAGGATTCAGAAGGAGAGAGATTTGGAGATCAAAGTGAGACTGATCCGTGGTGTGTTGGAGAGTACCTCGTTGGTCGAAGCACAGACGTAAGTGGCGTTTCCAGTGAATGGACGGGTCTCATTTACTTGATGATGATGATGAAAAAATTTAAACCTTTTGTTGGAGTTGATGAGATGATGCTTTGATTGATTTGTGTTCTTTGTGTCCATGTTTTTTTTTTCTTGGTTCAGAGCATTTGAAGGAGTTTGCTCCAGGCTTTTGGGGGCTTTGGAGTCTTTGCGAGAGCTGGTTTCAGATAATGATGATTTCCCGCAGAGGGATACTTTAATGCAACTGTCATTTGCGTCTCTTGAAACCATAAACTCTGTATGAGCTATACTTAAGATCTGTCGACGTGACTCATTCTACTTAATGTCTGGCATTCATGATTCTAAATCTCTCGTCATTTTCCAGGTGTTTTGCTCGATGAACAGTGTGTCCAAGCAGCTTAATAAGGAGACTATGTCAAGGTTCGTGTTTTAATCGCGGTAAACTTTTGACTGAGCATACCGGATTCGTATGGTTTTGCTCACATTATTTTTGGTTTTTTCTTGTGCAGATTGCTGTCTCTTGTAAATGACCATTTTTCCCGATTTCTCTCATCCAACCAGAAATCTGAGGTGTGTTTTTTTGGCTCACCTCAGAAGTCAAAATCTTTCTCACTTTTCCAAAAACCTTGGGAAGAGTGCCTTCTTGTCTTACATTAGTATGTCCTCGTTTTGCAGATAGAAGCCATGAACCAGAATTTAAGCCGTTCTGCTATCGCACTTAATGCTGGAACCAGCAGTGAGGAGAATGTTAATCGAATGACTCGGACAAATAATAGTGATTCTTTTCTAGCCAAAAAGCTGTCTTCAGAAGGTACACATCGAGGAGCCTTCCACGTAAGGACTAGGCTGCCTCTGCTAGACCTTAAAAAGGATCATGATGCAGACAGCCTTCCGTCGCCGACAAGGGAAACAACACCAAGCTTACCCGTAAATGGCCGCTATCCAATGGTTAAACCAGGTTTCCCCTTTGGTAAAGATGGCCAAACGACTGAAGTTGCTAAAGTCTATCCATATGAGAGTGAGGCACTTAAAGCAGTTTCTTCCTACCAGAAAAAATTCGGGCTTAATTCAGTATTTAAAGCAGATGACCTTCCAAGCCCAACACCATCGGAAGAGCCTAATGATGGCGATGGAGACACTGGTGGAGAGATTTCTAGCTCTGTTGTTACGAGCTCGAAGCCGCCGGGAGTTTATGGGCAAGATGTTCCTCTGCCTTCCACTTTTAACTCTAGAAGCGTGCCTGCTGCAAGTGCTGTTTCTAGCACTGCTCCACAACATCATCTGTCAATTCGTGGTCTTTCCGCGCCAACGGGTGCTACTCAAACAATTCTTGCATCTGATCAGACTGCAAGACCTTCTGCAAAGAGTCGAGATCCAAGACTACGGCTTGCTCAACCTGATGGCCCCAATGTAACCATTAGTCCGTATTCATCCGAGGACATAAGAAATCTTCCAAAAGTAGAGACTTTTGCAGACTTTGTGAACTCAAGAAAGCAAAAAGCCACTGATGAACTGTTTATTGATGGGCATGCATGGAAAAGAATAAAGAGTGAGAAGGATGCGCCTAAGGCAGCTGGAATTGGTGGCTGGCTAGAGCATACGGAGCCATCGGGGCTCCAAAAACTGGATTCCAAGCCCAGGCCAATTGAAAACGGAGTAACACCTATGACAACAAGTGTTATGGCCATGAGTGCTGTTCCCGTGAGCCAAAAAGTACCGACGACAGCTTCAAGTGGCGCTGCGTCATTGTCATCTCTTTTGCAGGATATTGCAGTAAATCCCACAATGCTACTGAATCTCCTTAAAATGGGGGAAATGCAAAAGGTACCAGAAAAAGCTCCTCAGAAGCCCATCGATCCAAGAAGAGCAGCACAGCTTCCTGGCTCTTCCGTGCCACCAGTGATAGCTCCATCACTTAGCAAACCTGTGTCGAATGCTCCAGCTCCTAATTTTTCACAGCCAGGAGCGCTTCAGGATTCTTCTCAATACACCCCATCAGTGCGTATATTTTATCTTAGATGGACTGTATAACCTCTTCTTTCAATTTTTGTTCTCCAAGTAACTCATATTTGGATCCTTCAGGAGGAATCCGGAAGCATTCGCATGAAACCGCGTGATCCTCGCCGGATCCTGCATGGTAGTACTCTTCAGAAAACAGACTCTTTGGTGGAAAAGCAGTCCAAAATGGTTGACTTCTCCACACTGGGAACCTTGGCTATGAAGGGTAAGACAGAAGAGTTAGTGACACCTTCACAGCTTGTTCCACGGCAAAATACTAGCCAGAACGGTAACAGCAAAATGAAAATTTCGGGTGAACTTCTCAGTGGAAAGACACCAGACATTTCAACACAATTCACTAAAAGCCTGAAAAATATTGCGGATATGGTTGTCGTATCACAACAAGGTGCCAATCCCCCAGCAGTTCCGCATTCAGTAGAGCTTAAGACGGACAAAGATGTTAAGCATAGTACTTCAAATCTGAACGACCAGGACGAGGGTGTGTCAGTTTCAGCAGCACCAGTAACGGTTGCAGGTCCCACTCGTTCCATGAACAGTTGGGGAGAGGTGGAACACCTATTCGAAGGATACGATGACAAGCAGAGAGTAGCTATCCAAAAAGAGAGAAGTCGGAGGTTAGAGGAACAGAAGAATATGTTTTCATCTCAAAAGCTCTCTCTTGTCTTGGATTTAGACCACACCCTTCTCAATTCAGCCAAGGTTAGTTTATCTCCCTTCTAGTTTGCTTGATTTTCTTTTATATGCAATCTAAAGTTGGCTCTTTTTATCCTTCTCAGTTTCATGAGGTTGAAACCGCCCACGAGGCGATGTTGAGAAAGAAGGAAGAACAAGATCGTGAGAAACCATATCGACATCTCTTCCGCTTCCCCCACATGGGAATGTGGACTAAATTGCGGCCAGGGATTTGGAATTTTCTGGAGAAGGTGACTCAGTGAATAATATTTTTTTGCTAGACTATGTGTGCAAGACTTTTAATTTTAGCATACTTTTCCTGTGATTTCAGGCTAGCAAGCTGTACGAATTACATCTTTACACTATGGGCAACAAACTGTATGCCACAGAGATGGCCAAACTGCTTGATCCGAAAGGGGTTCTCTTTAACGGGCGAGTCATATCGAAAGGAGATGATGGAGATCCCATTGACGGAGATGAACGAGTACCCAAGAGCAAAGATTTAGAAGGAGTTATGGGTATGGAATCGTCTGTGGTGATCATAGACGACTCTGTCCGAGTGTGGCCTCATAACAAAATGAATTTAATAGTTGTTGAAAGGTATCATCTTTCACAGTCTGGCTCACACGAGACCGTATCGCTTGCTTACCGTAAAGTATAAATATCTGTCTGCTGATGTGTGTCTTGTGTTGCAGATATACTTATTTCCCTTGCAGTAGACGGCAATTTGGGCTTCTTGGTCCTTCTCTTCTTGAGGTTGATTTCGATGAGCGACCTGAAGAAGGCACATTGGCATCTACATTAGCGGTGTGCACTTTGTTTTTATGCATCTTCTAATGTTCTTTTCTACTCTTGGTTTTGAATCTGAGCATCAATACATGGTTTCACTGTACAGGTTATTGAGAAGATACATAAAAGTTTCTTCTCGCACGCTTCACTAGACGAAGCAGATGTGAGGAATATTTTAGCTTCCGAGCAACGGAAGATATTGGCTGGTTGTCGGGTTGTATTTAGTAGGATAATCCCAGTGGGTGAAGCCAAACCGCACTTGCATCCATTGTGGCAAACTGCTGAGCAGTTTGGTGCTGTCTGCACGACCCAGGTGGATGAAAATGTCACTCATGTTGTCACAAATTCTCTTGGAACCGACAAGGTAAGGAAGTATGCAAAAATAATTTTAACAGTTTAAGAAGAAACATCATTTGCAGATTCTGAATGTGTTTTGATTAAGCAGGTGAATTGGGCACTAACCAGGGGTAAATTTGTTGTTCATCCTGGCTGGTAAGGACCCCTTTTGGTCTCCTTCTAAAACAAAATAAAATTGTAACCGGTCTCTTGTTGCTTGTATAATAAGTTTTTCATTGTCCGAGTGCAGGGTGGAAGCATCAGCTTTTCTATACCAGAGAGCGAACGAAAGCAACTATGCCATCAAACCATAAACCAAATCCATTTTCTGCCCACTAAATATCCATAACAAGGCCTGAAAACCCAATAGGTCATATCGGGTTGATTAGGCTAAGGCCCTTGGGGGTTGTCTGCCTTGTCGGGTACGAGGTACATAAGCATTCTTTCGCTCCGAAAAGTGGCAATGCAATCCATAAAAATGCCAAAAGTATTGGGGCTTTTAACGAAACAAACTCCGTGTTGTGTCTACTAACTTTGGGGAGGAGGAGGGTGAAGGAAAGTGATCCGTATCTGGATATAAAAAACTAACACCAGAGAGACCCTGTAGAAAGTGAGGATGGGTCAGGGTCGTCATGTGCCAAGGAGAGGCTCATGTTCAAGTTTTGTCTTCGTCTGTTGTGGTATTTATACTATTGTCGGAAGCAATGCTCTGATGGGTGCCGAAGTTGAGTGACTGTACCAAAGCTACGATTGAAATGTTCATGCCTTCCTTATCAATCCCCAGAATTAAACATGGTCGGAGAAAGCAAATTCATTAAGACAGAGATACTACATTTAACTCTTACTTGACTCTTAAGTTTCACTGAGGTCCCGACTCTTTAAGAAAAAGGAACTTAAAATGAACCCTCAGAATCTCTGTGCTTGTGTATGCACCACTTGGTTTATCATTTATGGGAAGCAGTTTAACAACTAATAAACGTTGGTGAAAAAAATTGCACATATATACACTATGGTGTAACTTAAAAATTTAATTTCACAAAAGTGATTTTTAACTATTTTGATAAGTAGAATAAGAAGATCATTTAATGTTTAAGATAAAGTTAAATTTGAATCTAACACTTGGACCTTTATGTAAATATCGAATCTAGAATTTTTCTTACAGTACCGAACATGTGGACACGTATTTTTGTAAGCGGTGCATGAGCCAAGTTTAAGGAGTGATACCATGATAAAAAAAAAAAAAAAAAAAAAATCCTTAATCAATACTCGTTCATGTCGACTTAGTAAAGTGACATATATCTAGTTGAGTGAGAATAACCATCTCTTATCGAGTTTGATTGGCAGGAAAACAGGTTAGAGAATCATGACAAATTTAAAGTTGCTCAGTTTGGATCCCGGTTCAAGTTATGAATCTACTCTACTGTTGATAGGTTTTGGGATTTTGGTTTGGTTCGGTTCAGATACGGTTTATCCTTAATATCTAAGATTAGAACCATTGTAGGAAAGTAACACAGGTTGGTGGGTGGACTCAGGTTTATGGGGATGTATTGGTGCTTGCTACGGTGAGAGAACTCAGGTTCTTGCAACCGGAAAGATTACTTGTCTTAATGCCTTCTTGGGTGGTCATTCTCTCCTTTGAAGAATTCTGATTTTTCCTCCCATTTTGTAAGCTTGTAAGTAAAACATTGCATCCTTTGTGTGACATCTCACATCTCACTTAGATGTGAAATTCTTAACATCAGAGAATTATACTTGCATCTGAAGATATCAAACGACCCCCAGAGAAATATATATTGATCTCCAAATAGATGCGATAACTACTCAAAAACACTTTTTTTTTCTTTTCTCAAATCATAAGTCCATGCATGTTTCATAAACAATACAAGAACTCTAATTCGCAGAATACAACAACACATAAAAGAGGACCAAAACCAAAAGTAGATCATATCATAGAGAGTGGCTCTCTCATATAAAAATTAGTAACGACGTGGAAAGCAACACTGTTCCACGAACCAGCAACAACATAGCGTTGCCAAACTGCATCATTCCAAAAAAAGTGATAAGAGATTAATTTTATTTAAATTGAGCTGATTCACATAAGATCAAATATATAATAGACTAACAATTCGAATTTACCAGCTTCTGATAAAAGGAAAGCAACCCTCATATTCTCTTTCTCCATAGTATTCATCTGATCTATATGGACGCAGTGGCGGTGGATGCAGCTGACCGTAGCCACTGTAGTAGTCTTGAAACCTCGTCCTTGTTGGTGGATACGGCGGAGGTGGAGCCTCCATTACCGGTTGGTATAGTGGCGACGGGCCTGCAAAATTCATACACAAAGTACACACATGCATGAGAATTATCAAGATGTCACATATATAAATCAATATACCATATATAAGAAGTAAATTATATTAAAAAAAAAAAGAAGAGTTTTGAGGATTACCTGGTGGTTGATAAGACTCATGAGAAACATGGTAAGATGTCATTGTGAAGCAAGAGATTTGCAACTCGTTTGGCTATGGAAAGTTGGTTTAAAAAGTGATCTTAAATTTTGAGAATATATATCTCAACACAACATAAAAGACATCTCTAACTCGCTAATTTTATTTTATTTTGGATTAAAATGATCTCAAAGTCGTAATCTTAGAACCAAACGGACCTTGGTTTTGTCGAGGGGAGGGCACTTGGCAGTAGTGTTGTATCGACGTGTTGCCTTGCAAACAGCGTGACGAGCTACTTGGCATAGTTATTTTCCGGTTTAATCTAATTTGGGTCGGTGCTCTCCGGTTTGGCTTTATTTTCAATTTTCAAGTCCTCTTCTCCTTTCCCTCTACCGGTTAATAGCTCTTCCTGCTTGATATTCTTCGATTCGGTCCAATTTTCAACCTTTGAAATTATAAATCGAATAGTTCGGTTTAGTTTGCTCCCGTCAGAATTTCGTTTTGTAACAACTATGTTCTCGTTTTGTCGATAAAACTAGAAGGTTTGGTTTGATAATTCAGATTTTTGTCAATTTGGTGTAAGATTACTTGAATAGAAATAGACTTTGCATCGATTAAAACTGAATCAACCCCAGTTAATTTCGGATTTGGTTTCAAATTTTGAGATGAAATACTAATTTTTATATGTCTTCACCTTTGTTTAGTAAATTAGTATAGTAATTTACACACATATATATACAGTATACTTAAATTTATGTTTAGTTTAATTAATTTGAACCAAAATAGAATGTCCCATGAGCAATTTTTTTTGAAACTTATCACTTCAAAGACACTTTTGTTGTAAATGATTATGGAAAAATCCTTGCTCATCAAAATCGTATATTACTGTCCATCTTTTTTGCAACAAATAATTTATGCAAAAACACTTGTAGGTTTTTTGTACCTTAGTTATTAAATTTCCAAAACTTGACTAGGCTTCGTTTTCTAACAACACAATATAACTTTGGCCAACTTTCTTGGTACACATCCTTTAATCAAGTCCTCTTCGCTCCACACTCCTCTGTGCTTTGATTCTTTATCAACTGCTCACATAAATAAATAAATAAAGCACTCATGCACTCATGTTGATTTTGGAAACCACTGTTCAACACATACAGGCATCAACAATACTCTTTTTAATAATCAAGTACACGGTGTTTGAAGCAGTAGTCTACACTATTGTTTTCACTCCACATAAACAAACAAAAATATCTTCTAAATTCTGAGAGCATGAGTTGGGTGGTGAGATTTCTTGGACATGTATATTCAGTGTTGGTAACGGTACGTACATTTCTTTTTAAATTTTACATTTGTGTGGTCATATATATATAGTCATGGGTTGGAATACATTTCTTAGATTTGCTCACGGTTATACTTATATACTAACACATCAGCCGAAAGCACACAACACACTCGGTTGTTAAGGATCTTCCGACTTTGGTAAATTTGATCCGACAACTCAAAATCTGATTCCTAACTTTGGTCAAGTGAGAGAAGTATGAATGGAGAGAAAGTGATACAACCGAGTGCATATATAAAGTGATGCACACACACCTTACATTTCATGTTAAAAGGGCACTCCAACTTTTTTATGTCAAAAGATTCTGTTTAACCACCCTTCTCATGCAGAGTTTCAACCAATTTTTTAAAACTTACCAAACATCAGATTAGGTACATGACTGCTTTCAGACATGACTAAAAAAGTAAAAAACTCAAAACCATTTTTTTCTTTTTTTATGATTATCCCTTTTCTTTGTCTAGTTACGTTATTTTTATTCTAATTTCTAAATCGGAAAGTTTTCATAAAGGCAAATTTCTATCCATCTACAAGTCGTCATAACCGTGTATATTGTTTCCTGACACTCAGAAACCGACGAGCGAAACCGAATCTTGATCATATGAAAAATTGAATTTAAGTTAGCTTCCAATAGTCAAACCACCTATTATGCGCATCCCATTTCCACAAAATTAATTTTTTTTCCATCATTTTAAGTGTAATATTTTTATTCTTCATATACTACTGTTTTTTTTTCTAATTTCCAAAAAAATATGATTAAAATCTTTAAAGAAATATTAATGATTCTGAATGGAGAGAAGGAAAACCATGGAATGTGGAGTCACATGTAGCAATCATTATGATTTAACACTCGTCTTTATTATTTAAGAGGCGCGCGATTCCTCAGGGCTCATTTCATTGACCAACTTTAATGCAACAAACTGTTCCCCAAATCCCTTTCACATTATATTTATCTTTTCAACTTGTAAAGGCAAACACAACTCTCATTGTAAATTTCAGACTCAACTCAACATTTTACCGTCTGAAACATTGCCATTAAAAAACTCGTGTTAATAAGATGTAAATTTCAGACTCAACTCACAAGAGAAACCACTAAGTTATAACAAATATAAGATCAAAGAGAGAAAGTGGGAAACCTAAATAAATTCGCATCTGAATAAAGTGAAAATAAGATGTTTCAAAGAGAAGCAGGATGAGGTCGATCAAAGTGAAGAAGCTGTGCAGCACATTTGGGACAGTCCTTGACAAGCTTAGGAACCATGAAGTACATGAAACAAGCTTTGCATCCAGCAACCACAAGCACATCTTCTTCTTCCTCTTCCTCTTCTTCTTCTTCATATTCTTCCTCTTTCTGATTCTCTCTTGATGATGGAGATGACCCTGATGAAGACTCTTCACTGTCGTAATATGAGCTATCTTCTTCTGAGCACAAGGTTCCATATGATTCTCCACTGTCATTATCTGCATTCATCCTCACTTTCCTTGGATCCTCTTTCACCCTCATTCCGTTTTTCCAGTTTATGTAGTAAATCTCTCCTGTCTAAACCAAAAAAAAATAAAAATAAAAAAACCCACCTCAAAATTTCAATCAAAAAGTATGAACATAAACTGTTTTTGAATATTAATTACGGCTAATGTCGGGATAAAGCTTTATGCACCCAAGTTGTGTAATTAAGACAAAAAAGCTTTGGTCCTAGATCTATATATGAGCAAATGACTATGTACTTTTTATATGTGTGTATCTGGTAGTAGCGTGGGCATTGATTTCTCAGACATATCATTCAACAAGAAAAACAAAACCATTTGTTTGTTTGTAGAAAGATCATATCGGGAGATAGAAAGATTGGCTGAAAAAGCATCAAAAAGCTATCAAATTTTCCTTTTTGTGTTTATCCATTAGCAAAAAAAAAATCCTTTCATGGTGGTGGTCTCAAGCCTTTAAACTTTTTTCATCTGAAATTTTTGCTCTTTTGGTATTGAAAAAAAGGGAAAACATCTTTCTCCTAACACAAAGCCCTATGAACAGAGCAAATATTTATACGGTCTGAAGCAATAAATGCATCACAAGGAAACAAGATTAACTAAAAAGAAAATTTTCCCCCAATGTAACAAAGAAAATACATTAAATGCAATCCAAAATACGAAAACGACACGAGTTAGAAGTTTCTGCAGTGATTAATTTAACCTACAAAGCGAAAACAAGTACTACTACTAAAAGGGAGAGGAAGAAGAATCTCATTCGTTATAGTATTTTTTGTTCCATTACCTTGAGATCAAGACACTGTTCCCAGTGACAAGGAAGAGATAAGTGAGAATTGAGCTCCAATGTTCTATCTGAGATCGGAGGAATATGGTCGTTGGTCTCCTCCGTCGACGACGACGACGATCTCCCAAACCCATCTCCGACTCTTCTTTTCCGATCGCTCAGAGAAAAGTTTTGCATCGATTTCTCCAGAGATTTCGTAATCGTCTCCATGTTTGGTGCCTTCATCTTTTCGCAGAGAAAGAAAAAGAGTAACACAAAAAGAAGATTTTGATGAGAAGGAAAAACAAAACAAAAACAGAGTGAGGGGTAATATGGGAAATTCGGCGGGGGTTGGTTGGAAAATTCACGCGCCGTGAGGAGGAGAAGCGCGTGAGGAGTTTTTTTTTGGGTAAAAGAGAAAGTGGACCCGTAACTGTCAGGCGCAAAGTGACTACAGAGAGGCTCGCACTTTGTCTCACGTCCGTGTTACCGTGTTGGTTGAAAAACATTTGAACCATTTCGGGCACACGCGCGTGATCATTAAGCTTGCGCGTGTTGCTGTATCGGTTAGTGGCCGGTTTGAGAGGAAGAGAATAAAAGTTCAAATCTTGGGAAGGGTTAAAGTGGCAAAACCTGAGGGAATTTTTTTTTTTCTTTTTTTGAAAGAAGTGAAAAACTCTGTAAAATCAAAATAATATAATTAACGTAGCTATCGAAAAAAATGCCGGAGCTTACCTTTATTCTGTTATTTCGTTTTCATTTTTTTTACCCTTGAAATCTTACAAAATTACAGTAATAATCACAGTATATTTTATACGCGTACAAAACACAAAACACAAATTCATAAATCTAATATTTATCTTATTAATATTTTTAATCGTTTGAATCATAATTCTAATATAATATATGAAAAACAACTACTAAAATATAATTAAATTTGTTAAAAAGTAATTGATGGATTAATTGTCATGTCTTTTGTAGGAGCCTTGAGGTTTGGTGTGCCATCGTAGCAAGCGTGCTTGATGAGTCAAGGCTTTGAAGTTTGGTGCATACGTGAAAACTCAATAGCAAACAGGATTATATTCCGGGGAAAGTACGACTATACGACAACAAGTATTAACCATTGAAGATGAAATGAATCTGGTAAAGAGATGGAAATTTTTAAAAATAGCCGAGTCTGATAATGCAATATGATGCGTGGAGCCAAATAATTGAAGAATAAGGATTTTTATTTTAGGAAAAGTCAACTAAATTAAAAAGAAAGTAAAGGAAAAATGTCAACAATTTTAGCTAATAGAGTAAAGTTTTTTTTTTTTGCGTAGCTCTCGACCTTTTTAGCTGCAATTATTAAGTTTATGAAAAACTTTAGATATTTCATTTCACAGATCTTTTAAATAATAAAGTCAATAACATCACGTCAAAAAAAAAAGTCAAGACCATTACCATGTTCCGATTTCATGTTTTAGTTCATGTAACAATACACAAAGGAAAGAAATAGACGAGAAATAAATGAAATCTTCTCACCCAAACTATTGAAGACCATGTGATATTTAAGATATTAGGTACAAACATCAAAGCATGCTCTATATGTATAGTGTGGTTAAGTAAGATATTAGCTATTAGGTACATGTATATGCATAACTTCAACTAGCATAACTATTATTTGAACATGGTAGAGAAAAAAAGCTTACCCTAATATGTCCATACGTACACACACATGCAAAGATAACATAATTACAGTTTTTTTTTTTTTTAACAAAAATACAAATAAGAAGATAGAGAAGGAATTGTTATAGAATCTATATGCTGGCAATAACATTTTTACGTTATACATATATATTACAAATCTCTAGGGAATAAAGGTATTGTCTGGAGGAAAATGATGTTTCCGTAAATTATTTGTTCAACCAGAAAAAAAAAAGAAGAGAAAAGAAACAAAAATGGTGAAAATAGTGAAACAGAGATGTGCAAGGGAATCTGTCGGAAGTGTGGAAAGGGAAAGCGACGAACCAGCTCAATCCAGCGTTGTTCTTTTTCTACGAAGAAAAAAGGATTTTGCATTTACCAAATAATAATATCTATCTATATGTACAAATTCGTATTGATAGTATATAAAAGAGTTTCTTTATTTATTTATTTTGGGTTAAAAGTGTAAAAGGTTTCTTATTAGTTGTAAAATACAGAAAGAGAGACAATGGGGCCTGAGAAGGGAATCTCTGAGCAGAGACAAAGATGTTTCAGATCGAAGAGACGTCAAAGTGTGTATGTGACTCTGTATGTGTGTGTGGGTCTCCACTCTCCTCTCCTTCTTTATCGAAACCAATATTACACCATTTTGCTCTTTCTCTCTCTCTTTTTAGTTTTATTTTAAGAATGAAATTGAGATATACTTAAGTAACAACAACACATTTCTTAATACTTCCCTACATGCTCTTTCTTTGCCTTCTCTAATCCCCATTCTGATCAATTGGCAAAAGAGGGCAAAAAAAAAGATATGAAAATGTAAACACCCTCTAGTGAATTTATTATATATTTTTGTCTTAGTGATAAGTGTCGAGCGTGAGCTATAATAATAATGAACAAAGCTGGGCTTATAGATATGATATGGTCAATTTGGGCTTACGCTTCGATTTTGAGAGGTTGTATATGACTTTTATCATCTGTCAAATATAATAATTATTTATTTAAATTTAGTATAATATTTATGTATATATTTAATGATTTTTGACTCTTAAATATTATTATTTAAATAATTTGTTGTCTTATCTACTAAATCAAAGACATAATTTAATATGATTAGAGTTTTGATGCATTTTTACTGATTGATTATATAAAAAATAATGTGACAAATAAAATTTATTATAATTACTGTAGCTTCTATAAAAATATTAATGTTTATCCATTTTATATATAATTTTTACTCCAATAAGTTTTAAACATTGATAACTCATTAGACAAAAGTGTCACTATTATTTCTACTCGAAATCTTTGAATATATATATATATATATATCTAAATTAACAAAATAATTTTAAATTAATATATTACTTATATCTAAATTAGATTAGTGAATGCACCATAAATTAAATTACTTATATTATTAATATATATCAAACACAATAAATTTTATTTACATTAAAATTATTAATAAATTCTCAATTAGCTCATAATTATATTATATTAAATCAAATACTATTTATTTTATACTAAATTTTAGAAATAATCTAAATTATGAGCTAAATGAGAATTTACTTTTAGAAAAAGTCAATTAAATTGAATCATAATTATTTAATTTTATTTATAATGACTTAAAGAAACTCAAATTACAATCAACTTTTATAATGATTATAATGAACTCAAATTATAATGATTGATGTTTATTTATTAATAATTGATTAATTTATATTCAATTTTTAAAATTCAAATTATAATACATATATAAAAATCTATATATTTTTATTAGATGTGATAATTTATTTACTTTACAAAAGTAAGTTTAAATAAAAATAAGTGAAAAATAGATTTTGATAGAAAATTCAATTAAAAAAATAATTAATATGATATATTTTTGATAAATAACAAAATAAAGAGAATATCTTAATAAATTAAATGCTGATTTATAAAATGAAACATAATATATGTATGAATTAAAATATATAATGATATATCATGTAATTAGTCATAATAATCTAAGTCTTTTAAAAATAATTAGCTGAAAATGAATATGGAGTTGACACATCAATATAATAACACCACTGTAAATATTTACAAAAATAAGATTACTCTTTAATGTTTCTCGGGATTAAACAATGAATTTTAAGATGATCTCAAATTGATGTACCTTCGTTGACAAGAAAAACAAAACTTTTTATCATCTTATTAAACAATGAATTCTAAGATGATCCCAAACTGATGTACCTTCGTTGACAAGGAAAAAAAAACCCTAATCCGATGTACCTTACTCCGGAACTACTGGAAGAAATCTTGCTACGACTGTCACTAAAATCCATCGGAAAATTCAAAACCGTCTCAAAACAATGGAGATCAATACTGGATTCGAGGATTTTCGCGGAGAGGAGGCGTATGATGAATGTTAAAACGAAGCCGAAAATGATGGCGGCACTAGACCGAGGCCGAGACCGAGACCGATTCACACGGCGATTCGAAGGGGACGAAGAGGTTGAGATGGTCTACTTACAGTGCGATGTCGCCTCACGACCGTCGCTGTCATGTGAAGGCCTGGTTTGCATCCCCGTACCAGGCTAGGTCAACGTTTTCAACCCTTCCACCGGAGAGTTTCTTAGATTCCCTTCCGGCCCAGATCCACTAAGAACCTACCCTGGATTTGAGTATCGTAGCTTAAGTGTTTTCGCTGGAAATTGGAGGATGGGGTTCGGTCGTGGGAGCTATAAGATAGTGAGGATGTGCTATAAGCCGGACCATTACTGCGAGATTCTTGATATTAACATTGGGGAATGGCGGATACTGAGTCCGCCGCCTCCTTTTGAGATGGACGATGCAAAGAAATCGGCGTGTGTCAATGGGTCCATCTATTGGTTACAAATGAATGCTGTCGACCATATGCTGCATATGTTGTATCCTGTCTACCAAATATTAGCTTTGGATCTTCACACGGAAGAGTTTCGTCATGTCCCGATACCGCCCGAAGCCGAAGCATGGTCAGGCCACGTAGTCAACCTTGAAAACCGTCTAGCCTTAGCCGCAACCGCAACCGTTGGTTTTAACGTCAAGATTTGGAGCATGGAGGATGCACGAGAACAAACATGGAGCGTAATTTACTCCATACCTCTCAAGTACCACGAACGGTGGTTTCGGACCACGCCACTGGCGGTTTCTAAGCAAGGAAACCTTTACGTCCATGTCAATGACAAGTGGTTGCTCAAATATTGTCCAGAGACAGACCAAGTCCGTTGCATCGCTACAGGGATTTGTGTTATATCTCCTTTTGTTGAAGATTTGCTCCCACTTGGACGTTTGGATTCTGTTCTGGAGAAGAGGACATATGGACTTCAGCACTTAAACCACGTGCGGAGCTACCGTTTATCCCATTTTTTCAAACGAACAGCCCGACTGTTTTGCTTACCACCACTGTTGCGACTCTTGTAATGTTTCGCTGTTATTGTGTTTTGTCTTTATTATGATACTTTTTGTATCCTTGGGAAATGCTTTTCTTGTCCTCCTGGAAGCAATTTATAAGTTTGATCAATCAATTAATAGATAGAGAGACTCGAGCTCTTTGTCTAAAAAGTTAGTACAACAGAGTGGTGCAACAATTTGGTGACAGCTTATATATTGCAAATCATATCCAATAAACGCAAACGCAGATCTTACATCAATGAACAAAGCCCACAAGTTTCGTTAATGTTTTCTAGATACCACCACACTCTGAACTTTGTGAATAATACCATAAAAAAATGTCGTTGATTCTGTGTCCAGACAAAAGAAACTCAAGACATTAATTTGAGCATTATACAATTATAAATAACCAAAATTCCTAGGCACTTATTTATAAATGTGTTTGCCTCTTTGTTTGCCAATCATTCCCAAAACAGAAACAGGAGGATATTTACATATCTGCAACTAGAGGGAATGTCTTCCTCCTATAAAAAGCTTTTATGCAGCTACAACAAACATCTTTTACACCTTAATTCCTCCTCTGCAATTCACACATTATAACGAATATCAGAACAATATCACCGGTTTTAATAATGGTTCGGGACGAAATATAGACAACGGTAATGATGACTTTATGGGTTTACCTCTTGTTTGGAGTCTGCACGCTCGGGAAGAGCCGATGGAGGTGGATGGACTAATGACATTGGGGTTAAAGGAGGCGAGGCAGAGCCTAACTTATTAGCAACCAGACTCGTCTTAGACATATCTAAATCTGCTGCTCTAAGGTTACTAGTAGGTATAGAGAAGCTACGAGTGATTGCAGGTGGTATTGGGAGAGGAGAAGCTGAATTTGAAATAAGCGGTTTACTAAGCAACTGGCTCTTCGAAACCAAAGGTGCTGAATATCCAAATGCCCTGGAGGACTTAGCAGAGCTGCTTGGTGGTGGTGGTCTAGGAAGCTCATGGAGCTCGCTTATTTTCGGGGTCGAGACAAAAGTAGGGGAAGCTGTTGGAGATGACGACGAGACTTTTGGTAGCTTAGAAACTGGATTCCGCGGGATTGGACCCGAATATAGGTGAGGTGTTGAAGAGAGAGGCTTGTTGGGTAAAGGTTTACTTGTCAGCGGGCCAGAGAAGGATCGTCTCTTGAGTGTCCCGAGACGAGAGTACAAGCGTCCATCTGAGAAAGGCGGAGGCAAGCGAGAAAATGTGTTCTTGTTACTCTCCCTCAGGACCTGTTCTTTCAAGGCTGCCATTGATCTAGAAGGAGCCTTTGCAGGTCCACGAGCTTCCAGTGGGGATGAAAACCAAATCTGTTTAGTGATTGCCTTTGCGGGATTAGATGAAGCCTTGGCTGGACTTGTAGTAGCAGACGAGGGACTTCTTGTTGTTTCCACAGGTGTTGGCAGTGCGTAAGTGCTGAATTTCCGTGTCAGAGACGATCGCATCCGTAACAGTTTCTCTGAAGGGGGAGTTGTGAGGCTCTCCGGAAAAAGTGGTGCTGATTGGCTCCCTCTCCTATAAGAATGAGACTTCCTGTAGCTTCCTACCGCATTTTCCTGCTCAAAAATAAAAAAAATAAGATAAGATTGCTAACAAAGTCATAATATGCATGAAATGATATGAGCATCCTGAGAGTTTTGTCTGAGTCATTTGAAAGGAAAATCAGAGAAGATGGGATCAAAAGTAAAGCACGTGTTTTGTTTACCTGTGCAGTATCTGGTCCTGGAATACGTGGAAATGTGATGTCTGACTGACCCAACTGCATGCATTAGGCAAACCTTTTTTAAAAATTATAAAATAGCTACAAGAAAGTCGTGGTGATGTAGAGATATGAGTCTTTTTGTTGGTGAAGGGTTTTAAAATGCTTCCAATATTAAGCATTTCCAGCTAAACATATGAAACCATTACCTCTGAGGAGACACCAGCTAGAGAATCCGCATCTTGTTCCTTGTCATTCACTCTATATTCAAAACTCAGCTCTCCATCATCATGCACCTCAGAACCATCGTCATCATTGTTTTCTATTTCATCATCCCCATCATCATCTTCTAATCCGCTGAAATGGTAATCAATATGCTGCGACTCGGTTACCATCTGTACATGTGGCTCTACTTCTTCAAGGGAATTAAGAGCTTTTTTGAAGAAGCATAACTGCATAAACACATTAAAAAAAGGTACATCAACATGCTATTGATCGAAACAAAAGGACTAAAAACAGCTCAAGTTTAAAACCTGTGCTGCATGATGCCTTGCTGCCTGAGTCAAAAGACTACGTGTTTGTCCTTGTTTCAAGGATTTCAAACGGAACACAAATAAAGTTGTCTCGTTATCATATTCATCATGAGCTTCTTGTAGTTGCTGCGTCGAAAAAGTTTCTCCTTTCCCACCCTTCGACCTCCCTCTCTGTCTTGTAAGCATGCCTTCATAAACATTCCTGAAGGCAAAAATATTCCATGATGAATAAAATACTTTTTAGATAAGTAGAGATATTTTAATCCCTAAGAAATGGTATTCCCGTCATGAGACCAATCAGATTTCTGAATCATCATTCCCTAACAAAACTCATGTATCTCTTAAAAAGTAAAAAAAATCAGAACAAATATTGATTCATCTTCAACGTAAACTTTTTTCTCAATTATAGTAAATAGGTGTTTAGGTGCTTAGAAATGAAAAAGAAGGCAAGGAAAAAACAACCTTTTCTCATCACAGAGACGCATCATTTCCTGCAGCACCATTAAAACACATTACTATCATATCGTCACTTGAATGGGCTAAAGTCATATACACGCAGGGAAATTCTGATTTCTGACCATTATCGAAAGTAAATGAACAAACCTCAACTATGCGGAGTTCATTAAGAAGTGACTCTGAGGGGATTGTGATTGTTTGGAATATATGAGACCGCTGATTCAACAATATAAACTAGTTAATTGGTTTTTTGGTGGTTGAACAAAGTTAAACTCAGGTGAAAAATATTGAACTAGTTTGTACCAGAACTTAAAAACTCACATATTTATCAACAAGTTTTTGCAGTTCAAACTGCAATTTCCCCAGCATAAGCAACACTCTGCCTGGATAAGAATAAGAGAAGCAGAATGTTTCTTTTTCAGATGCACATTATATATAGATCGATGCAACATAAAAACAAATATGTTTCATGTGCATAAAACTTGGAAGAAGAATAAATGCACAATCTGTCCATTTCAAATGGTTAAAAACATTAACAAGGAAGATAGTATGATGTGTTTAAAGTAATCTGGTAGTCAAACTCACCACTTTCTTCATCATCATGTAGAGCAGTTTTCTCAAGAAGACAAGCACCTAGTTCTCGCAAAGATTCAGAAAATTCTGCAAGCAAACGAAATCTGCAAATGATAAGAATAATGTATTTATTACCAGGAAGATGTTTATCTCCATAAACTGATATCACTTAATGAGACTGCAACAGTGCAAGTATTAGAGCTAGAATTAGAATTCAATCAAAATCTCAATAACAGCATCACTGATCCATTCTGAATAGCGAAGTTATATGAAGTTGATGATTACTTGAATCCGACCAAATCAAAAGGAACAATAGATTACCATATGCACTATTTGCAGTAGCAGCTGCAGCAGAGAGCAAGCTATCATAGCAATCTCTCATGTCTTCCACGTCCTGCAAAAATCACACACAATCTCAACATTCTGAGACCAGTTTCATCAACATTTCGATAATCTCAACCAACCGTAAAACAGAGCAGCACCAAATCTCCACAAACAAAACTGTGTAACGAGCCACATTTGATTGATCAAGTGAAGGAGATGATCTAATTGAACCAGTCAGAGAACGAAAAGCTACAGAGCAGCTCGGGTTAAACCCGGGAAAGCTCCAGATCCAAACACCAACTAACAAAACTACTTTTTTCGGTGAATCTGACATCTGAATCATCGCCATTTCCTAAATCGTTGCTACTAAGCTTAAATTGGAAACTAATTTAGGGACGAAAATGGAAAGAAATATGATTGATAATCGCATCGTCATTAACAGCTAACAACGAGAAAATGAAGACAGTCCAAATTCGAATTGGAGAAAGAGAGAAAGAGAGAGAGAAGGAGATTAGCACCTGGGAAGCCTGGGCTAGCTCGTCTTTCTGAACCAGACCTTGAAGATCTGTCCGGCCTTTAGAATCATGCTTGTGAAGAACCCCTCGCAACCGTCGGAGAGAGGTTTTCATGGCCGGAATCAGCTCTTCTTCTCCGGCAAATCAAGGAAATCGAAAAACAACAGCGGCAAAGAACGAACGGCCGAGTAGATGATCGATTCGTCTCCTTTCTCCAAACTACGCCATTTCAAGAACGTTAGGGAGAAAAAGAAAATCTATAAATGGCAGGAAAAATGAAAACCAGGGGAAAAGAGAAAATTAGGAAAAAAAAAAAAAGCGTTTGTTTAGAGGAAAAGGAAACCTCTTCCTCTTGATCCTTGACTTCGTCGTCTCTTTGATTCTTTTTCGTCCTTTATGAATTTATTTTCTTATTATTTCTCGCTCATATATACGTCAGCAAGTGTAATTAATGATGGCAGCACATGTTAATATGTTATAATGCTTTGAGACTTTGAGTTATAGTTTTGGGTGATTAATTTACAAAAGAAATTTAGTTTTAAGTTTAGGGATGATTTAATCTCCCACTGTATTTAGCACCGAATGTTTTTAGATATTGGTAAGATTTGTTGCCATTTATGGCCAAAGGTTACCAAAAAAAAAACTATATACATTATAATTCTATAATCTATCATCTCTTTTACACATTAAATATATTTGGATAGCTTACCATTTGCATTCGAACTATTACAGAGATTCATCTCTATTTAGTTCATGTATGATTCATTACGGTTTAGCCATCAAACTATTTAGTTCATGTATGATTTCATTACGTTTTAGCTATCAAACTATGTGATGTCTATCGATCTCGTTCTGTCGTTCATAATGATCTTTTCGGTCTATTTCATTCTCTTTATTATTCGTTTATCAACTTAGATCCACAATATATGAATTGCAATATAACTTTGTTAATTCAATGATTCACGCATTAGTCACATTAGTCATCTGTAATCCGACTGGTTCAACTCGTTGATACCATTTTCAAATTCCCCTGACATGAATTAAATTGTAGCATATGTAAATCTTTTAAATATTTATAGTCTTATAGAATAATTATTCTATGTGTAGTCGAGAAATGAATATAATATCGAGGTATGTAAAATACGAAGACATTTTTTCCTCAGTTGATATTTGCCCAATTTTTTTTTATTTGAGCAAGGTTTATTTGCCAAATTAACCCATAATGTTTAAGATAAGTTAAAGTTAAAACTAAAAGCCAAAGGTTTTATTTTTAAAAGAGGGGCTATTAAATACTACCAAAACCGAGGCTGAGAAATCACGTGTGGTCTGGATTGCGTAATCACGTGGTAATCATACTGATTTATTAAAAGTTGGGCTAAAGAAAACTTGTTCCCAAGTTTTTTTACTTACAGAAACAAACAAAACTTAATTTCCCGACAACTAATTTCTTCGTGATTATCAGAGTCATTAGAAGATGTCTGAGTTAAAGCACTTGAGCAACCCGACGAAGACGCTGAAGAAGAAGAACAACAGCTACAACACGTAGGAGTCAAATTCAAATCGCAGAATCTTCTTTTCTTCCTGTCTTTTCTCATAAAGTCATAGAATATCGGACAAGCACTCTTGTCCTCGTCGTCACTTTCTCTCTCTTTCTCCCTCTCTCTCTCATCTTCTTTCCTCTTATGATTATTGCTCCGCTTCTTCAAGAACACTCTGCACAGAACCCAATTCGTGTTCTCTCCCTTCTTTATCCAAACCAAAAAAAAAAAAGCAGACAATTTTTGAGACCAGTTTGTATCGAATTGAATGATAAATAGAACTGATTCGAATTTTGTGATTCTTCTTACGTGTGACTCTTCCTGCGAATCAACGAGGCGATATTCATGAAGAACCCAATTGGTTCTTGTCCCGTTCGGTGGTTTCCCTTTGTAGAAAACCAGAGTTTTCTTCATCCCAACAAGCTTCTTCCCTCCGATTTGCTTATCGATCCCAGTCGCTTTCCAGTAACCCGAACCGGTTGATCGGTTCGACCGGTTTCCGTTTGGGTATTTAGCTTCCCTCGTGCTAAAAAAGTACCTCTCTGAATCACAATCACCTGAATCATCGTACATATATACACGCAAAAACCATTAAAAGTTGAATTGTATCAAAATTTAGCATAATGAGAGTTATGTTTCATTACCTGGTAAATCCCATGGATCGGCTTTACAGATATCGATTTCCGGTATAACAGAAGCCGGTAAGGGTAATTTGGACACTTTTCGACGCAAGTATTGAACCACGAGCTCTTCATCGGTCGGGTGAAACCGGAAACCAGGTGGTAATCTCAGTCCTCTGTTTCTTTTAATGGAGCTCCGTTTTTCCATTGGTTTTGAGGTTTGAACCGTGGAAACAGAGAGACGAAAGAAGCTGAGAGATTGTTATTGAAATGGAGAGGGAAAGTTGGGTTTATTATATAGCAATGGAGGGAGATGGATATGGTATTATATTGTTCCTGCTTTTTTATATTTTGAGCCATTCCGTAATTTGGTAGCATTACTATTTCATAGTTTTGGTCTTATAAACTAAAGTTGTATTGATTGGGACATATAGCATATTAGTTTGTACTAGTAACGTCGTTAAGTCACAATTCGAGTTCAAACTCAAAATGAATTGTAGGGAAAAAAAAAAGAGAGTAATAGATATTATGACTTGTGAGGCAGAAAAAAATTATTTTTATAATGTTTGCGAACCATTAACGACTTCAACCCCTAATTGAAAATAAGAGAAATTGCTTAGTGGAATGCAAAACTATAGGGAATAATCTTCATTCATTAGGTGTCATCAACGTATCAGTGGCTCGGCTCATGACACGTGGAAAACATCACTCAACGAACGAACGAAGTCCACTCCTGTGATCCTCACACACGTTGACAACACCATCTAAAGGCAGGCTATCGCTTGGAAATGTTATGCGAGTGTTAGTTAAATGCATGTTAAAATGATAATCAGACGCACTAATGATGTTGTTGTTCGATAATGCTACCCAATATATCAGATTGAAGCGTCGAAGTATATCTGTAAAAGATATCACCATCGGTGTCTTGATAATTCTCGACCATTTGTCAAATTTTTTGCATGTTTATAGTATATACTCTCTACGTATCACACCAATACCATAAATTTGAATCACGTGAGAAGATAACGGGAAATCTATTATCTATAGAATTAACGATATCATTAACAACGTTATTGGAATATGAAGTCATTTTGTAGTTATGGCATAATGCATATATGAGTTTTCGTATATGTGTTACGAGCAATCGTAGATAGAGATGCGTATGCAATTATATTTCGATAAGTTTAATTAAGGAGATGTGTTTTCGTGGGGTCCATGAAAGTAGCAAATGCCCTGCAGATTCCTCTACTCTAATGGTCCAATTATCTTTTTCCTAATACAGATAATCAGTTACATAATCCTGGTTTTTGGAAAACACACATTAGCGTATATAAATATGAGCTTTTCTTTCTTTTATTGTCAACCATTAATATGGGTTTTTAAACCAACACGTTATTGTCTTGTTGAATCAATACTCTTACGTAAAGCGGAAGAAAAGAAATTCCGAAACGGTTGGCTATGTACAACAATAAATTTAAAAGAGATGTGCTTCACTATAAGTATTTTCCATTTCGACGGAATAATGTTTTAATATGGAATATTGCTGTATTATCTATATATTTATCTGATTTAAACTATGAGTTTTGTTATGCCACACTATTCATTATTAAAAAAAACTGATCATGTAGTCGCGTAACGTCTTAATTATAAGTTTAAAGGAATATGATTACTTAATTGAGGAGCTTAAAGAAGCGGAATATAGTTGCCAAGTTGCGATATAAATTAAAAGAACAAAAGTGGTAATGTTGTAGAAGAAGAAGAAGCTAAACAAGAAAAAGATGCAATTAGGTAAAATGCGTAATCTCACGGAGAGAAAACGGAAAAGTCAAGAGGGCCCTTTTTAGTTGCTTCTAAAACGATGGAGATTACCGCCCATTTAATTGCGTTGTCCCACAAGAGATCTCCTCTCTGTTAACTTCTTTTGTCTCACGCACCCGTCCGTACACACCTCACAATCTCACAAATAGAGCTAAATAAAACTCAAAAGGCTATGGATGAAGCAAAACCGAAACGAAAAAGTGTGATTAGTGCGGAATAATAACGATTGTATATAAGAATGAAACAATAGTCGTCGATGTAATATATTTCTGATTCGACACTACATGATTTGTGTTGGTAATTAGTGATAAAATTCGGTTTTGAATCGTATCAACATTAGTGTTCAACTTAATACTAAAATATTTAAGTATGGCATTAAACGTGGGGTCCAGGGAGGAGAGACAGTGGAGAGACTTCAACATTGCCGGTTACGTGAGGAGAAGGTAAAGGTCATGTCCAAATAATTATACAATGTGTATTTGTCGTCAACGAAATTCATTTGGACTTTTTTCATTACAAGGATTAAAGATTCTATCTAGCTTGGATGTTCTTGTTGTTGTATATACACCTATTATAACATTATTGTTTTAGTTAGGATAATTAATAATTAGGTTGTAAAGAAATTTTACGAAAAGTGAAACTACTCTTGCATTCAGTTACTATTGTAATTTGTACATGTCAAAGGCTTATGCATGGATTAATATTAATCTGGATCAATATTCAATGATATTCTATAGTTGAGGGGACTCGTAGTCGTAGTAATTTTAAATGAGGACTTGACCGTGACGATAGAGCTTAACGGGCAAAAGAAGAAGAAATGCAATATACATTTGGTTTCGCTTTCGCATATGTATATGAAAGTTGAAAGACCATCATTTTGGGGATTCCTTGATCCTCTTTTCATGGTGTTTCCAGTATTATATATGGTAAATCAAAAGTAGAATGTTACCGAGTTAAATCCCAAAACTAAGTCTATTTGTGTTTGTTTCAGGTGTGATATACACTACAAGAAAATAGCCGAAATCCGACAGTCAAATCCGTCAGAAAAAACATTTTCTGACGGATTTCTGACGGATTTGACCGTCAGGTAGAGATCATCGGAAAATCAAAATCCGTCAGAAATTTTCAACGGATGTTCCGACGGATAACTGTTCCGACAAAATTCCAACGGATAACAGTTCCGACGGAATTCCGATGAATAACTATTCTGACAGATTTTCGACAGATACATTTCTGACGGATTTCCGACAGAATATAAAAAAAATATAAAAAATTAAAATTAAAATTAGAACAATTAGTATATAATTATTTACATTTTTATTAGATAATAATTATAAAAATTACAAAAATTATAAAAATTTCTAAATAGTTTTAGAAATTAAATAAAATCAGAGATATAATAACCTAATACTTTGAACAATGAAAAAAAAACCTAGATCTAACATAACTAGCAAAATCAAAAATTAAAATAAGCAGAAACAATATTTTTAGATCTAAAAACCTAATATTTAGAACCATTAACAAAATCCTAAATCTAACAATACTAACAATTGTAATAGAAAAAAAACAAACATAGATCTAACAATCTAAGTTAGACCAAATTAAAATTAAACTTAGATCTAATAATTTAAGAACTGAAAATTTTAAAATACTTACATCTACTATCAATGGAGAAGGTGATGAAATCAGATGAGAGAGCTAAAATAAGTTGAGGAGGAGGGGGCTAACAGAAGCTGAGGAGGAGTGGACTTGGAGAAGGTGCGGAGTTGGAGGAGGGACTGAGTTAGAAGAGGGTATTTTCAGAGGATTTTCCTAAGTGTTGGTTGGGGAAGAGATAGTGAGGCTAGGGTTTTAAAGACAATTTCCGACAGATATTCCCGTCAGAATTCCATCAGTTTATTTATTAATTTTAGTATATTTATCTGTCCATCGGAAATCTGTCAGAAATTTCTGACGGATTTCTGACGGGTTAATTATTATTTTTTTTTTAAATTGCAAACATTTGTGTTTTATTTGATTTCCGATGGCTTTTCGACAAATTTTTTCGACGGATTTAATGTCGTCGAAAAATTCCGACAGATTGCCTACCGTTGTTTTCAGTTTCCAACGGATTTCTGATGAATATTTTCGTTGTTTCCAGTTTCCGACGGATTTTCGACAGATACAATATCCTATTGAAATTCCGTCGGAATGCCGTCAAAAATTTTCTGATGAAAATCTTTTCGTCAGAACGTCCGTCAGAATTCGACATGTTTTCTTGTAGTGATATTGGTCATTGATAGCCAATGAAAAGACTGAGAAAGTAACAACATGACCAAGTGTTACTAGTTTGACTGGTAAAAGGACTCTAAGCAAAATTTAAAGAAGTAATGCTTGGAACGAAACCAATATTACATGCTATGGTTTTGGACATGGGAGACTACGGGCTTCCGTCCAGAACCTTATCATAATTCAAAAAAAAAAAGTAGCAACATGGTTGCTTTTATTGTTTTTCCCTTCACTTGACAACTTCAAAGTTAGCAATACTCAATCATTCTTAAGCCGTAGACTAGCAACAATGCAGTTTTGGTTCACTAACTTAAAGGTTTAATATGCTGTAATTGTCTTTAGAAAACTTCTGAATTCTAGATAAAAAATGTTTATTAGACAAGAAATTCTCCTTTTCCTCTTATACCTTGACCAGTAATTTAAGTGAGGTCTCTAGTTCTATATTGATTCCTTAACATAGCTGATGTGAGTTTAATTAAAGTTTGCTCATTTTCTCATTACTGTCCCCCTTAAAAAGAAGAAGAATACATATACAGTAGTATCTTGATACTGAGTATTTATGATGTATCCTTTATCGAGCCTCTCAAAAACTACCATTGATGCAAACATTTGATTCCAAATGCAATGGAATGTGTCTTTTCTTTTTCAACATGAGATGGGTGTAGTTGATAAAATAGAAAATAGTAAGGTTATTATGAGAAACATCCGTAAATATAGGGTGTAATCTCTAAAACGGTAGCCGTTTAAAGAGAAAAATAGAATTTCTAACGCTGAGAGAGCGAAGAGCAATCTCACTTTCAGAATCTGATCCCAGTTATTTTTTTTTTTAATATTCTCAGGCAAAGGTATGGTTTCTTCTCCTTCTCCGTTACAGATCGGTCTCAGATTCGTCTCTCTCGTCTATTGAATCGGTAGCTCCATCAATAGATCTCCAATAATTTCTTGTCTTTTGTGTCTTCTCGCGCTGGTATTAGTATTATAATGGTTATGCTTGATCGATGGATCCGATTGATCTTATTACACTGACATTAGATCTCTGTCTCGATCGGATTGATGAAATTCGTCATGTTTGTCATGTGGGTGGTCTAATTATCTGCATGTATAGTGATTTTTGGCTGTTTAGATTTTACCTATGGAAGGGATTTTCATATTCGATTAAATCAATTCGTAACACTTTGATCTACATTTTCCATTTTTCTTGTGTTTGCTCGAGTTAAATATTTTTTTTCGAGTGTTGTTTATGTAGTTGCTGCTGATATTAGTTTCAGATTCTAAACTGAACTAATTATGAGTTTAGAGTATTTGGGTTTGTATAATGTTCAGTGTTGATTATCCTCAGTGTAAAATTGGAGAAAGATGGTGGTCAGTGGATCATCCATTGTCCCTTCCAATTTCATTGAGTAATGTGAATATGTTTGTTTCTAATGAGTAACAGGGCTTTCCTCTTTTGTTCTTTGCGTCTGTTCTCATTTTCAGTTTCAAGTCGAAAGTTGAAAATGGAAGGGACTGTGTTTACGCCTTGTTTGGAAGGAATGAAGCATGTCAAGTCTGAACAGGGCGAGATGCTTACTAAGCCATTTCTAGAGCTCTGCAAGACGATCTTGCCTGTTATAGGTAACAGTTGGAGAATCTATTCTTTTATTTATGACTTTAAATACTTTTTGAGTTGGAGTTTTTTGGTCTTATTTTTGTGATTGTTCGTTGATCTTCAACACTTTCTTGGGATTGTCCGTTGTTCTTATTATGAAATGATAAGACTAATCCTTAAAACTACAAATGTTTTGTTTCCTATTTTATGACTTTGCCTTCTTTGGTATCTGTTTTCCAGATAAGTTTGGAGCTGCTATGACTCTCGTGAAATCTGACATTGGTGGAAACATATCGGTAAGATTCTCTTCTAGTTTCGACCAATTTTTATAATCGATGAGCACAATTCCATTTATGACCCTGTTCTTGCTCTTCTTTCAGTAATGTGTACCTCTGATAGCAGTGAATAGGCTAGTGAAAATGTCCCGTACTAGCTACATGACCTCTGTGCATTCGATTATTGTCTTACAATATATATAAAGTTATTGGAACGTTTCTTGTTGTAGAGGTTGGAGAAGAACTACTTGTCTGATCCCGACAAGTTCAAGTACTTGTACACCTTTGTTCAAGTCGAGATTGAGTCTAAGACAGCCAAAGGATCGTCTAGTTGTACCAACGGTCTTCTCTGGTTAACCAGGTAAACGATATCGGCATGTAAACGGTACAGACCTTTATTTTACAGAGAGCTATTTCTCAGAAACATGTACATATCACATATGATTGATTCTTTCAGAGCTATGGATTTCTTGGTGGAGCTGTTCCGCAACTTGGTAGCACATCAAGACTGGTCAATGTCACAGGCTTGTGGTGACTCATACCAAAAAACACTCAAGAAATGGCACGGATGGCTCGCCAGCTCTAGCTTCTCTGTATGAACTTCCTCTGTTCGATCCAAATCCAAATCCAAACCAATCTCATTTTGGTTACCTGATAAATGGTAAACTTTTTTTTATCAGATGGCTTTAAAGCTTGCCCCAGACAGGAAGAAGTTCATGGATGTCATATCTGGTTCTGGTGACATCTACGCCGACATGGAAAGGTTTTGCTCTGAGTTTGGTCCGTTTCTTCAAGATAATCATAAGTTTCTGGTAAACAAAGACTTTATAAACTCTCAATTCATCACAGCTTCTTCGGTTTCCATCACTCGCTTTGATTCTTTTCTTCTTGCTTTTCTTTTCCGCAGGCTAGCGTCGGAATGGACGACATGAAAGCTTCTTGATCCATCATGGTTATCGCCGGCATCGAATCTGCTTTGCCGGAAACTTCGTCCGTTTTATTTTTGCTCCTCTTCGGATTATAAAACTTTGCTTTTACCCGCCAAAGAAACAGAATAAATGTGTCGGTTTCTTCACTTTATAAGATACTGAATCAGTCTTGACTCTTATCAGCCCTTCTCGTTAGTGATTGTTATGTAATTGTGACTCTTTTATTTTATTTTTCTGAGAAATGTTTCAAATATCTCCCATATATATGTTACAGACTAATTTCAATAGATAGCTGATACCATTTCCAAAACAATATCTTAAATTATCCTTACAAACAAGTAAAATAATAGTTAAAGTCCTTATCAACATCCTCCTATAACCTTTTTTGGGTTTAAAATCAAAAGAAAATATAGATTTTTAAGATAGTAAGATCTCCATTACAGTCATAGATTTTGGCACGTACATGTTTTGATATGTGAATGATTATTAGTAGTAATAATAAATGTTTAGGTGTGGTCTTGTCTGCTTTCCTTACGACCCGGAGAATCCTCTTGACAACTTGTTTGTTTCCCATGGAGGGTTTGATTAACTCTACGTTGCCTCCATTACTATCAACAATCTAAATATAAAATTACATATTATCTGTAAATTACAACTTTGAAAGATATTTCTATGGTAAAAAAAAACAAAAAACTTAGTGCTCTCCCTCTTCTTCTCTTGGTTGATCTCAACCAATAACTTCTCAGGGATCTTAGGGTCCTTCTCTCTCCCCTCTCTTTCTCTCTCTTCTTCAGAAAAAAAAAATTCAACATTTTTTCTCGTCAAGAGAGAGTCCACGCGTTCAAGGTTTTTCAATCTTCAGATTTTGATTATTTTCTCTGTGTTTTTTTTGTTTGTGTTTGTTGATTTGCTCTTCGTTTGCTTTTGTTGCAAGTTTAGATTTACGGGAGTTACAGAGCTGTAACGATCGTTAAATCTTGAATACAAAAAAGGTTGTCTCCGGCGTGTGGGTGGTACACACTAACCGGAAACAATCAAATGGCGACGACGATGAAAGGCCTTCTTAAAGGCCTTCGTTACATTACTCAGATTTTTGGTGAGTCTCCTCGAACATCCTCTATTGGGTTTCTTCTGTCACAAGTCATCTGATCGTTATAATTTGCAGATGAAGAGAAAGAGGAGGAGATGCAGATTGGATTTCCGACCGATGTAAAGCATGTGGCCCACATCGGTTCCGATGGTCCAGCCGCTAATACGCCAAGCTGGGTACGATCATACATTTATACGAATTTTTGTACATATAGATACGTAAGTGTATACTCATCATCATCAAAAACCGCAGATGAATGACTTCAAACCTCAAGAACATGAGAAAGGTCAAGTCGTTTCCAGAGGAAATTCTAACAAATACAACCCTCAAGGTATATATTTGCTTTCTTTCTGTTTGTTTGATAGAAATTTGTTTGGATTGGTTCTGAGGAATTTGACGTTTTTATCTCAACAGCGATGAACCAACGTGGAGCAGGGCTAAAAGAATTGCTTCCTCCGATCAGCAACGAGAAACCGAAACAGAAAACAAGGCGGAAACACGCGGCGGGGGCTTCTCCGAACCCGAACGGGTCTCCGCCTAGAAGAAGCGGCGGAAACGCTGCATCATCGGACGAACACCCGAAGCAGTCGAGACATAACCGCAGCACACACGGGTCGATGGATTCGTCGAGTGATCAAGAGCCTTCAGTGCGTAGAAGGCGTGGTGGTATGTCGGTTCACGACACGGAAGTCTCTAACCATCTTCCCGATGGTTCAGCGCCTCCACGGAAGGCAACATCGCGGCCGAGGAAGCTGAAAGGATCGGTAGGAGGAGAAGCATCGATGAAGAAATCATCCAAAGGAAAACCAGCTGATGATAACTGTAACGATACTATCTGAGATAACACATAAACGATAACATGAAATGTATTTTAATTTTTTTCCCCCAGCCAGATGCATGTGAGAGTTTGTGTTCGTTTCTCTTTTCTAGTCTTTTTCTTAACCACTCAACAAGGCGAACAAAAACTAGCTCACAAGAAAATAGTCTCTGATTGATACTTACGAAATCGACAAGGGAATGTATTTGAGTGCAAAAGGAGAAGCAAGAAATGTAAATATATATATAAATAATAAACTCATCATCAGCATCATCATCTAACCAGATTTATCTATTTCTTGCGAAGATCAATGCCGGCTTTCTTGGCAACAGCATCGAGTCCGTTTTTCTCAATGGTCTTCAAGGCCTTTGTCGATAAACGAAGTTTCACAAAACGTTTCCCCGCTTCCCACCAAACCTTTTTGTACTGTAAGTTGACGAACTGCAACTTCTTGGTCTTGTGGTTAGAGAAGGAGACTTTGTTTGCTCTGTTTGCTTTCTTCCCAGTAAAAGGGCAGATTCTTCCTGAAAAAATGAAAGAACAACAAAAGGGGAAAATGTTTCAGAAACAACTCATAGCTTATTACAAGACGAGAAGCTGGACAATTCCAGAAACTGGGAAGATTTTTAAATGACAGTGTATAAAGAAAGGGTTTCATGATGAAGAAGAAACAAATTCATAGGAAAACATAAAAAGGATAATCATACAAACAGGGCAAAAGCTAATATCTTTCACAAACCATCAATGTTTGTTAACTTTTTGGGGCATTTGACAAAGAGCATCAAAAATAAGGACAAAAGTCTGTTACAAGCAATTATGCAACGGACCTTAAACTCACTACTCACTTTTATGCCCAAGCAAGACATAACTAATTCCACAGAATGCAACAAAAGCTACCCAAAAAATTCGGAATTTGAAATTCGACATGAATAAAACTTCAGAGAAAGAGAGTAATTACGGGCGACAATTGGCTGAAGACCGGGAAAGGTAGGAACAGAGATGCGACTGATGACGTCACTGGGACCATGAGAGATTCTTAAGCCGCTGAGCTGTGAAGTGAGAAACCCAAGCTCCTTTGAAGTCACGGTTGACTTAGCCACGGACTTCGGCAATGAGGTCATTCGTAGACAAGCGCCCTGCGTCGCCATTGTCGTCATTTTTGGTTCTTGTTACTAGTCCGAGAGGATTTGGATAAAGATGAAGATTGGGTTCCTCATTTATGCAGAAAGAAGACCTTCTTGCTTATCCAGAAGGTTACGCTCTCTTTAACCAAAATGGGTTGTCAATTCCGGTTATAATCAATTCAAAATTTCCAGTTTATCGGCCAATTCGAGTCCCAAAAGCAAACCGGTTCAGACAAAACCAAAGCCCCCACTTGTTTAGATTCTCGAATTCACAAAAGTAACGAGACAGACAGGAGGTGATGAAAAACCAACCTGGTGAATCCCAACGATTACAGTGAGAATCTTTAATGGTTTTAAATGTCGTATGCAATATATCTCTGAACCAAGTTTGAACCGGTATATGTGTTCAAAATAAGATGAATAATCAGAGAAAGCAAGTCCCTTTTTGTGGGAGGGTGGATCAGAATGACTATTGTTACCCACTTGGGAACCTGATTTGGTAAAGCTCTTTAGAAACATATTCAGCTTTCACTATCCGGTTTTCGTACAGCCTTCCGTGCAACGAATGTGCTGCATCACGTGTGGCTTCTGGTCTTCTGTACTCAATGAAGATACAACCAGCCTCAAACACTTCCTTGGGGTCTTGTTCTTCCTCTATCTTGTCGCCACTGTCCCATCTTGTCTTGACCGCACGAGCTGATACAACTTCTTCTTGCGGATTCTCAGCCTCGTCCCTTGCACTAGCTGATCCTGCTTCTTCTTGCGGATTCTCGGCCTCGTCCTGTGCACTTTCCCCAATAATCTTTTCACAATGGTCTGGTTCAGTGGAGACATGGTCTTCATTTGATTGAGTGTTTGTCTCAGCGGCAGGATCTGAGCACGGTTCACATAATTTGTCTTCACCCGTCAAACTGTCTGGCCTGAAAACTTCTCCTGCAATATTATCCGCTTTCTTGGTGGATCCCTCGTCTTTCTCTTGAATCACTGACACATTCAATTCTTCAGATTCTGGGTTCAACGATGCATCTGTCTTGGAACCACTAATATCTTTGCTTCCGTGTTCCACGATGTTTATCGACTTAATAACCCCAAACCTGCATCACAACGAGACGTAGAGGTTTAATTTCTTAATTTACTAGCTTTTTAAAGCTCAATGTAACTCATGGGAAGAATAATCTCAGAGCTTAACCTGGCACATTCTAACCGTACATCCTCCAGAATTTCTTTCACTTCTGGCTCGGAAAGCGAAGGTAGATCTTCTGGGTCAACCTGCCAAACAAGAAACAATGGAATTTTAATATATCCTCAACAAGTTTATGTAAGTAATAATATTCACAAGAAAATGGATAACACTCTATTCTCCTTACCACGTTCTTAAGCTTTAGAATATGCTTAGGCTTGCCAAGAAGTGGTTTTGCATGCTCAGGTATCCCATAGAACGGTGGATTCTCATTCACCTGCAACACATATTATATACCACACCACTCTCACCAGTAACTAAAGGAATTTTTGTTCTCTGTGTCACCCATACAAAAAGAACATGAGATAACAAGCGCAAAGTTGGGTCATTGAATTACCGCAACAGATGATGCATCAGGAAGTGCACAGACGGCAGTTATTACACTGCCACCTAACTTCATACCATTAAGGCCAGCACACGCTTTAAGGGTAACAGATCCATCAGTGTACTGAGGTACAGAATCGTAGAAAGAGTTAATACATATGCCCATTTTTAGAACTACATTCACATTCACGGTTACAATCTACCCATGCTAACCAGAATAATGTACACATCTATATGAAACAATCACAATAACAACATCAAGCTAGCCGAATATGATGGGTATCTGATTTGGAGTTCGGGGCACACATAGAGTGATCGTAAATGTTGGCCACAGAGAAAGCCAAGATAAAAGCATCTTCTAACCTCTAGGAAAGCGCATCGCTGTTTGAGATCATTGTTAACCACAAACCGGTATGCTTTCAAAGGTCCAAAGACGCTGACAATCTCCATTAGCTGAAAATAGGGCAAAGAGGAGTTAGACAATCCTAGAATTTGAATCGTTGAGTATTATAATAAAAGGAGGTATGGGACCAATAGTAGACTGAGCGTGTCAAAAGTTTTCAAAGAACTACAGCTCAGCATACCATTTCAGATGAAATTGCTTTTGGAAATCCGCCAATAAAGATCTGCAACAAGTACATTAGAATCAACATCAAGTTTGACGGAAAAATATAAATTATAATACTCTTGGCGTTTCAACATAATCAATCGTAAAGATGCAGCAGATGCAGAGAGAATTGTACTTCTATTCTCAGTGTGTTTAAGATTATAATAAGGTGGTCTGAACCAATATTATCCAATATGAACAAGCTTTCAGTCATAAAACCTACTATTACCAGCCAAAGTTGCAAGAAAATTGATACGCATATTTTATTCCTATACAATTACTTTATAAAAACAAAATCTGTTTGGGGCGTTTAAAGATATTTTACACTCGTCTTCAGCATTAAAAGTTTTACCCACTGTCAAAAGAAGTAAATTTACGGCATACAATTTCTACCTTGTTCGATGAGTCCTCCACGCTGTCACTTAGTGCATTTGTCGCTGGCTCCTTTTTCTCCAATTCACCGCTCTGCATGAAAATAGCAACCGTCTGAAAACCTGCTTCATGGATGGTAAGCATAACATAGCTCAGAAATCATAGGAAGAAAGCATGGTACTGGTTTACAAGGCCATGTAGAAGGACAAAGTCCAAAGCCTTGACAACCAGTCATTTTTCATAGACTTTCTTACAACACTCAACCAAAAATCACAGCAAGAACCGATCAAACATGAGAACAAAAAGAAATATTATCTGTCATGAATGTAATTCTGAAGAGCTATATCACGAAAGCATAGAGATTACAATCAATACCAAGTATCTGATCTTGCTAAGGAATGAAACACAGAAATAAGCAAACAGAAAAAAGAAATAAAATAAAAAGAGTATCCTAGGCAGGTGTTTAACTGCCTATGCAAGTTATGGGAGTATTCCTACAACCACATTCAGTTCGGAGAAGAACAAGATAAAGCAGAATGATATGGTATCATATGATACACAAAAATTTAAATAAAAGGAACAAAGAAAACAAGAACGGCAAACCAAAATTCACACAGGAATCATATGGATAATCTTTATAAATTCCCCAAAGCCCAAAAAGAGAAGAAAAATGCAAAGAAACTTGAAACACAACAAACTCGTCACTACACCTGGGAGTCTTCTTATTTAGCAGACAGCTTCATCAGCCTCCTGAATGTGAATTATGACATACCCAACATAAACACCCTATTTAAGAGATTCCAACACACGACAGTCAGAATACGATTTCACATGTGGCTTAAAACAGATTATTTCAAGTGCAGGAATCCATAAACTACATTAATTCTCAGTGTTGCATATTGTTGGTATTACAACAGCACGTGAAAGAAACATAAAAGCCTTTCAAATCAATGCAATTACAGCAATAAGAATTACACCTCAATAAATCAAAAGCCTTTTGCAAGTTCCAAATAACTTTGACTTCACAACAAAGCTAGAGAATCATGTGATGGAAGCAATCACAGAGGGCATCCTTGGGAATAATGGCTAAGATTTAACCAAACTATATGTTTCCCACCAAACTAATCCAAACTAAATGTTTCCCACCAAATCTGCCTACAGTTGTAATATAAACAGATGTGGTTTATCGACTCTCTTGCTTTCATTAAACACTCAAGTAGCAATACATAATTTATAAACTAGTGGCACGATGCTTCCACCAAAATTGCTTTCAAAGAGAGGGCCATGCGCATTTTTTGGTCCCAACAGGCAATAGAGTAGATTTAAGCACTGGCACATGTATGACATCTGAGACTGAATCATACATGAATCGACGATGTTAAAGAAGTCTCCTAATTGCTTTTATTATAAAAGACAAACATCAATCAAGATGCTTCAACAGGAAAAGGTATCACCAAACGAGAACTTGGACTGAAAACACCATGCTTATGTGCTCTAAAATACGGGTCCAGATCTTTTAATAAGCTCTATATGTCTGTCTATTTTGAATGTCTATCTGGACCAAAAAGGACTGATGCTCTCTAGTAGTAAATAATGTAACACACACTTGCACCCGACAACTGTCACAGATCACAATAATTGAATGCCAACTTGCACTCAAGCTCAAATCATTAAAAAGAAGTGACACGGGTCTCGGTAGCATGTTATCAACTATATTGGAAGTGGAAACAATAGCCAATGAATCTTACTGACGACACCAGAGAAAAATATGCAGATACTTGAGCTAGGTTGCAGAATATACCAGATGACTATTAAACGTTCAAACATGTAGAGCAGGTGGCAAGACTTCTAGAGAAAGAAAATGTAGATAATTCTTACTGTTGTCTCGACATAGTCTTTAGGGCGTCGAATTCTGAGGTTTGATCCCGCAAAGGAGCAGCCATCCAAGGAGAGTGCAGCAGAAGCATCCTGTGGTGTAAGGAACTCCACTAGTGCTTGGCTTTTTTCCTTGTTTATCTGCATTTAAAGTAGAAAAATACTATCAGGTGATATAATAGACAAACACAACAAGAGTGATATAAATAAGGAAATCATACTCCAGAAACTTACAATACAGCTTATACATGGTTCGCTTCCTTTTATGTGATTGGAGCCTGAAGATAGCATATAGCCATTGAAGCATTCAATCAGAGACTTCTCAGAGGCTGAATCCGGCACATTCTCTGCGTAAAGTCTCCTCATACGCCTGGTGGATTCGGTCAGTTGAACAGAATCAACTGAAGTGGTCTGCCTTGCTAGTGGCGTTCTAAAAGATGCCTCCATTAGTGGCTTCAAAAGCGTCATGGAAGCCTCACTGATGGCAGGATATGATGTCTGCGTTGCTGCTTGAAGACCGGAAAAAAATGAGCCCGAGGACATGTCAGCAGTTACAGTAGGTGTAAGATCCCATTTAGCACTTTTTTTCTCAGAAGAAAGATTAGGTGGAGAAGCAGCCTTGGCAGAGGCCTCCTCCCTTCTTTTCCGTGGTGAATATCCACCAAGTTCACTTTTGGAGGCACTATACCGTCTAGACTTGTTGTTGTTTATAGTGCTTGCCACTTTGTTTTCATTATCATTAAAATGATGCTTTGCTGACCTATCTTTAACAGTATTTTCCGAGCGCTCCTCGTGGTCTCTTTTATGACGCGATGTAGCCTTTTCAGCCCTTGGTAAGGGGGGTGACCTTTTCTGTCTATCATGTCCATGATCTCGACTTCTTGATCTCCTCCTTTTCTCTCTCATGTTACGGTGATCTGATTTCGGCTGTTCCCTTTTCTCCCATCGCTCTGAAACTTCAACACTATGCACTTTTTCTGGATCATGCCTCCTTGACACATTTCTCTCCCTATTCTTCATATCATCTGCATTCTGATTCTTTCTCTTGTTTCCACTGTCAGGTTTCATACTATTTTCATCTCGAGGTATGTCTGCCACCACTAGACTTCTAAGACGCTTCCTACTACCAGCTAAATTTTCAGGAGCACTTCTTGCTTGTTCACGGCGTGTTTCTTGAGGATGAATCTGCTTTTCAGTTGTCTTTGCAGCAGGGATTTCTCTTTTTGCTTTTATTTTGGTATCCACACCATGCCCATCTCTATCTGTCATTGTTTTCATTTCAGTTGGAGGGAATTCTCCTTCAACCCTTATTTTTCTGTTTGCAGCAAGGTCTTCCTTCTTCATCTTTTTATCTAGTCTTTCTTCCCTACAACTAGAATTAGTTTCTTCTTTCTTTATTCGTCTATCCTTACTATGTTCTTCCACTAAATTTGTTTCAGCTGTAGAACCCTCTCCTTCTGCCTTCCGTTTTCTATTTGCAGAGGGCTCCTCCTCTTTTGTTGGTTTATCTAGTTTTTCTTCTCTAGCACTAGAAATGACCTCTACCTTCTTTCTTGACCTGTCCTTAACATGCTCTTCACGCCTCAGTTTCTCGGATCTATCATACCCTTTTTCAGACTCATAATAGTTAGAAACCTTCTCAACAAGATCGTTACCCAGTAACTGAGCTGCTCCCACACGATCCTCTTTCATCGATTTTTCTTCTCTAGAACTAGAAATGACGTCTTCTTTCTTTCTTGAACTGTCCTTAACGCGTTCTTCACGCCTAGCTTTTTTGGATCTATCATGCTCTTTTTCAGACGCATGATAGTCAGAAACCTTCTCAACAACATCGTTACGTTGTGACTGAGCTACTCCAACAGGGTCCTCTTTCATTGGTTTATCTACTCTTTTTTCCCTCGAACTAGAAGTAACCTCTTCTTTCTTTAATGGGCTGTCCTTAACACGTTCTTTACGACTCACTTTTTTGGGTCTTTCGTGCTCTTTTTCAGACGCATGATAGTCAGAAACCTTCTCAACAAGATCGTTACGTTGTAACTGAGCTGCTCCAACATGGTGCTCGTTCATCGGTTTATCTACTCTTTCGTCCCTGGAACTAGAAGTGGCATCTTCTTTCTTTCTTGAGCTGTCCTTAACACGTTCTTCACGACTTACCTTCTCGGACCTTTCATGCTCTTTTACAGACGCATGATAGTCAGAAGCCTTCTCAACAAGATCGTTACCCAGTAACTGAGGTGCTCCAACAGGGTCCTTATCTAGTATTTCTTCTCTAGAACTAATGGCGTCTTCTTTCTTACTTGAACTGTCCTTATCGCGTTCTTCACGCCTCAACCTCTCTGATCTATCATAACCTTTTTCAGGCACATGATAGTCCGGAACTTTCTCAACAAGATCATTACTGAGTAGCTGAGATGCTCCCACATGGTCCTCTTTCATCGGTTTATCTAGTCTTTCTTCCGTCGAACTAGACATAACGTCTTCTTTCTTTCTTGGACTGTACTTAACTCGTTCTTCACGACTCACTTTCTTGGATCTATCATACCCTGTTCCAGGCTCATTATAGGCAGAAGCCTTTTCAACAAGATCGTTACCCAGTAACTCAGCTGCTCCTACAGTTTCCTCCTCCACATTTTCCAAGGACTCTTTCCTCTTCCTCCTTAGCATAATCTCCTCAACGCTTGTAGGTCTTGTTCGAGCAGCAGATCCTTCATGTCCATCAGGCTTTTCCGTTTGTTTACTAACTTCGTTCATCCTGCCTGCTCAAGGAGAAAAGGCAGTTGTTTTATTCCACTGAGATAATAAGCAGAGAACACAATCATAAGCAGGCATAGATCATAAACTATGCACGCCGCTCAAAACCGGCATCATTTCCTAACTGGTTAACTAGAAACTTTAAGATAAGGATGAAAATTGCAACTAATGATCCGATTGAATCGAACCGCATTAAATAAACCACGACCTAAATACCAAGACGGCGCAGAGAAGAAGAATAAACTCCAAAACCCATTTTCACACCAACTAACCCAGCAGACATTCAATTACTAGCAAGTTCTCAGCAATGATATGCTCATACAAACCCTAGATATGTCAAAATGACGAAGTAATCGCGATTCGTGACTAATCTCCAGCTATATACACCCAAAAGAGAAGGTACAAACAAACAACCTTGAAATGAGAGACGGAAAATGAACAGGGAAGAAATATAAAAAGCGGAGGAGGAAGTGTCGCACCTCCGGCAAATGAAACAGCCTCGCCGACGGCGAAGAATAGCGCCTCCGGTAGAGAGTTTCGTCAACTTTTTTGGGGGCGATAGATTAGAAAAAAAAAAAAAAAAAAAAAAACAACCTCGCCAGCAGATTTTGTCCGCTGGATTTTTTTAAAATCAACTTCTTTACTTTCCCGTATTTATTGGAGAAATCATCAGATCGCCCTTTTATTTTTATATTGTTTCTTTTTAACCCAAAGTATTTTCTCCTTCAATATTCCAAAAAATTACAGATTGATAATGAAAAATATAATCACCATTTGCCACAGAAATGGGAACGAAATCAGAAGGAAAAAAAATACATTAGTTGCTTTGGAAGGGAAAAGGAATTTTGATGCCTAAATATTCAGCGTCTTCTCTAAAACAGAAAGGGAACCTAAATTTACATTATTATATAAAAATGTTACATATAATCAAAACTTAGCATTTCAACAAGATCCAAAGTTGGGTCGTTTAACTGCGAAGGATTGGAACAAGGACTCCGCCGTGCAGCAGCATCAAACAACATCGTCATCGTCACCATTATCATCACTATCATAATAGCTTTCCTTTGATTCGATACGGTGTGTGTATAACTTCTTCAGTCGCAGTTCAACGTGTGTTTTCTCTGCGGCGAGAGTAGCGAGTTCTGTCGTTGTATCTCGGTCGATCTTGAGCTCTCTGCGGCTGCGGCTCAACTCGCCTCTGCCTCTCTGGTGATCGTTGGACTATCTCTCCATTAACAAACAGCTCAGCTGCAAGCCAACAACAAACGATTAAGCATAATACAAATCATTACTTACAAGATCAACAGTGTATGTTCTTGAGAAATGTTTAAAAAGTTGATGTCAATCTGTTAGCAATCAAAACTAAGCACTCAAGAGACTAATTGAAGCATGAAACAAACAAGGGTTGCAATATATGTTTCATCTTAACCGGACTGCAATTAGATATAAATATATACCTATCTGCAAAAATTGGCTAAGAGAAAGTATTTGATGTCAGTCCATTAGCATTCAAAGCTAATCATAGCTCAAAGACTCATTAGCTTCGCCAAGATGGACTGATAATCAAAAAAAAATTCCGTGTTTCTTCTAAACCAGCTCGCAGTTAGATTATATTATAAACTATCTGCACATATTAGCTAAGAAGAAAAATAGCTCTATGTCAGTCCATTAGCATTCAAAGCTAATCATAGCCAAAAGACTCATTAGCTTTGCCAAGATGGACTAATCAAAAACAGTTCTTTCAAGTTTCAAGAGAGACGCAATAACATCTCCAAAAGTGCAATGTCAATGGTGCTAGCAAAGACTTCATTTTTCGGAAGCTAAAGCAAAGATTACGATATGATTAAGAGGCAGAACAGTTACCTCCATAATCTTTGTTCTCAGGATCCACATAGGAATCAGGAAGCACAAACAGAACACCTGGCAAACCTGTCGTAAACAAAGCAACACTTGAGTACACTCTTTATTGATATCAGACAACAGTAGCTAACATAAGAGACAAGTGTAAGTAAAGACCTTCAAGCTTAGTCGATGTCTCTTCATCAATCTCACACCCAAACCCTAAATACCTCTCGCACGAAACGTTGTAGATCCGCTTCTTCGCCTCTTCCTCACTAACAAAAACGAAACAAACACAAAGGGAAATATCCAATTAGTTCAAACCCATCACCATATCAGCAGAGCAAGAAGAACAGACACATTCCTTTAGCTTAAATCTCGTCTGCTTTTGTAATTCAATCAGACTTTGTGCCCTAGATTTTCATTCATTTCCTAAGTTTCCAGAAACAAAACATGTTAATGTAATCTGAATATTACCTTCCAACGACTTTGGCTAAGGTTTGGATGTAACAATCAATCATCTGCTGCTTCGTCGCGCCTTCGCCGCCAGGTTTATCCATAACAATCAGCCAGTGCTCGTAATCGCACCCCGGAAACAAAGGAGCCATCTCCGTCGGAGGCCGGTCACTGAAGTTAGAGCCGGAGTTAAGCGGCGAGTAAGCGGAGCCTGACCGGTTAGCTCGGCATCGGATTGAGACGAACCGGGTTGAGCTACCTAACCGAGTTACAACGGCGTCGTTACCGGAATTAACTCCGCCGCAGTGAACAGAGGAAGGAATCCGAGGAGGTGCCACTAAGGTAGCACTGAACAAGAGAGAGCGCGTGAGGTGGCGCGTGCCAGACATAGGCAAGGCCATTGTTGGCTACTTGAGGAAGAGCGACGAAGGAAATGGAGGTTTACAGTAAGATAGGGTTTTTGCAGATAATTTATTATTTTGCTTTCCTTATATATTTAGCAAGTAATATATGGGCTTCATATGAATTTGGGCTTTAAGCCCGTTAATCGAAAACAAATAAGACTTCTATTTATAAACACATCTAAAAAAATAATGAACAATATTCATCGTCGGAAATAACAAACAAACTCGCTTCAACCTCTGTAACAACAAAGAAGAAATCAAAAAAGATTTTTTTTATTACAAATAAGCACCAAAACTCAAAAGAAAATCATATTTGCAAGCTCTTTACACAACGAACCAAGTTCATGTCTCTTACTAACAGCATTATTTTGTTTTTCCTTCTTTTTGAGTTTGAATTTTCTTTTTACTTTTTTTTTTGTCTTTCTCCTTTTTGCTATTTACCTCCGTTTAGGCAACTGAAACGATTTCTTGAGAAACTGATTAGCAACACGGTCGTTTCTATGACAAAGAACCCTCAAGATAGTGTTCGGATCCGAACGGTTCCACCTTCCTGTGGTCGGAGGCATCGGTAGCTTCTGTCCGGATCCAACCATCCCGATTCCGCTTGTTTCGCACGTCACGATGCTAAAATCTTCCATAAGTTGTTCCGTAGGTTGGCTCATTAGCTGAATCACTCCTTCCACGGTCTCTGCGTCTCTGTCCACAACATCCTCCGGTATCAACCCTTCGCCGCAAGTGCAAAAAACCCTTTTCAAGTTCTCGAAATCTTCTTCGATCAGACTGTGATCCGCTCTGTAAAACACTCGCGAGTAGCCACCAGCGAGCAAGACCATCAAGAACGCTTCGAAAGACGACTTCATGACTTCCCTCATCGCTAGTGCTTGAGCTCGATCCGCGAGAATCGCTGACATTAACGTTAAGTTCTGTTTCATGATCCGTAAAGCCGGCCTGATCCTCGAGTTCGCGACCTCTCCGATGTAAAGACTCTCGTAGAAAACAGAGTTCGAGTCGAGGAAGATCAGTCGGTAAGCCGCGACTTCGGAAACGTGCTGGCAAGCGGATTCGATTCCGGCGTAGGTGAAGTCGAAGTAAGAAGAGGAGTTGTTGTTTCGGTGGCGGTAGCGTTTTCGGGTTGCGGGAAGTACCTTCGGGTTTAAAGCGAGTGTTTTGTTCAGTGAGTGGATATGAGAGCTTAGGAAATGCAATGTGTTGAGACGAATGTACAGACGCTGCGTCCCGCGGCTCGTGGACGGTCGCGGATGGTGGGCGTCGGAAATCGCGGGTGCGGTGTGGCTGAAATTTTCTCCGGAGGCGGCACACGGCGTGGCTCTCTTCCATAGTTTAACGAATCTTGAATCTCTGTTGCATCTTGTAAGAGGAGGTAACGTAGGGATGTAACTTTGTCTAGATCCTGACAAAAACCAAGAGAATTTTAGAGAATGAGGTTTTGTTTTTTTACGCGAATGTAAAGAAAAAAAAACGGATATTATGCTTACCACAAGATGCGACGAAGGTAGTGTATTCTTGAAAAATTTGTTCTAATCCTTCAGCAAGATCATGAACCAAATCCTCTGTAATACCGATAGGGATTTCGAAAAACTCATCGATTATATCCTTCGCTAGCTTCATCAATTCTCCTGCAGATTGTGCATAAGGTTCCGATTTGGATTTCGGGTTCCATGTCTACAAATAAAGAATTCACCAAGTTAAAAAATGGACATGAAAGGTAATAACGTTTCTTGAGTTACAAGTAAAAAAATCTCTAAAACTTACTTCAGTTTCTTTTGCTCTAAACAAACACTCTTGAAGACTTTTCAGCTTCTCTTCGATCCATTGTCTTATAAGCCGCAGTATTATCGAGTCGACTTCATAAGGAACCATCTCTCGAACAAGCCCTTTTCCACCGTCATCGAATTCTTCAGAATCTTCAGCCACCATCTGCACCAAAACTTTCTCGAGCTTCCCTGCCGTTTGCAAAACCTCAACGGTATCTCTCGAGATAAACGATCTCCCTGCCAAATACTGCATCAAGATCGAACCGTAGCATTGGTGAAGCGACACCGAGGCAACACCAGCAGCAACTGAGTGCCATCTCTTGAGTATCGGACTGAAACACTCACGCTCTCTTAACGCTAACTCCTCTGTTTCCTTAGCTAGCTGTAACAGTGTTGCAGCTGCTTCTTCTCCTTCCTCTGTAGCTGCAATCTTAGCTTTTGTGTTCTCTATCACCTACAAAACAATTATTTCATAACCTTGAGAAAACATAGATAAAAGATAAAAATTTGTTTTCTAAGTTGAATGTTATACAGTACCTTAGAAAATGCGTTTTTAATAGACGCTCTTATGTAATAGTCGACGCGATCTCCTGAATAATCAATCAATTTCACATCGCCTTTTTCTTGTCCTTTCCCTTGAGAAATTGTCACATCCTCTCCCAAGATTCTTGATGATGATAATGCCAATGGGAGAAGATTCTCTATCAACCCCACATTTCCTCTTTGGAAATAATCATGGTAGCTCAACAACCTAAACCAAACGCAACCACATTTAGATATTCAGACATTTTAAAACTTTGTGTGTATATAGCAAGAACTGAAATACCTTTTCTCGGTCCATCCTTGCATAGAGGCCAATGTCGAGGTCAATAGTTTTACATAAAGAGCTTCACGGTCAAGTTTCTTGGCGTCATTAGCAACTTCAGCCAGCATAGCATGGGATGCACCGAGCAAGTCGGGTTCCATTTGTGACGTCACGACGTACTGATGAAACAAAACCCAAGTGAAACATAGATTGTGCACCGGTCTTGTGATCCCTAGTGTTGACCAAGTCTTCTTCATTAGCTCCAGAAGCTCATCGATCTCGTCAAGCACCAATGTCTCGTCTCTAACATCGAATATCGACTGCAGCAACGCTACATAAAGATGAACGTTGAGAGGGTAACCATCAGCCCAGTGGCAAACATCGGTCGGGTTTCCGTTTGTGCTGCGCCAAGATAAAGACACGACAACGTTGCAGAGTGTTCTCATTGTGTCTGAGTTTTTGCTTGTGTCAATGGGTTTGTTCTCGCTTTGTCTAACGACCTCCCTTAAACGCATAGCGTAGTTGTTGGTTTTGTCTAGAGGAATCGATGGGTGAAGGAGAAGGCCAGCTTCAAGGACTTTGAGTTGTCTTCTTTGCCAGAGCTGGTACTCATTCACATCGCCAAACTCTGATTGTTTCAAGTGCCGGAGAAGCTCTAACGGCAAGATTATCGTCTCTGCTCGTCTACCCGTCTGGAGAATAAAGAAAGCAAACAACGTAAGAAGGCATTTTAACGTATTGAAAAAGCAAGAAGCAAAATGATCGACTTACTTGGCCAACAAGCGTTCTCAATAGGGTTTTTCGAAGCCGGCCATCACTCTGTTCTGTAACCCTCATTTGTTGCCTCATGATCTCCGCCGAAGTTAACGGTCTTCTAGGCCGAGAAGGCTGGACCGTCAAGAACCCGGCTCCAGGGCTAATATGCCCTGAGCCACTACCAGGGGACAGAGAACTTGCCCCGGCACCTCCGGCGGAACCTATTGTTGACATTCGCCTAGTCGGAGACCGTTTAAGCATCTTCAACCCTAGAGCTCGTTTCACCCGGCTTGTCGGGGTTGTCACCACCTCTTTCCTCCCTGAAAACCCAAACCCAGACCCAGAACCAGACCCAACACCAGGTGAGCCGCCTGGTGCTGTTCCTCCTCCTCCTTCCCCATGATGGTCATTGTTGTTGTGCGTAGAGTAGAACGTGAGAGCAGTCCTACCTCCAAAACCGGGTGATGACCGACAAGCCGTGAAGAAGATCTCATAAGCGGTCTCACGGATATCCTCCCGGTCTAGCCCGTCAAGCTTCCCGAATGGCCAAAGAAGGTCGGTATTAGGACAAACCACCGCGGAACCACTTCCCATGTTGGAAATAGTTACCGAGAAGGACTCCCGCCGGTGATAATGGGCCATGGCGGAGGAGGAGAGGGTTGAGGGAAGATTTGAACGGGATTTATGAAATTAGATTGTCCAACGAGAGAGGAAAGAGGGAGAGAGATGATGACATTTCTTGTTTAATAATAAGGCAAACACTTAAGAAACGAAAAAAAACAAAAACAAAACAAGAGGAAGGAGACGAGTTGGAAAAAGGTAATCGACAGCAAAAATTTCTGAGTTCAGAGGAATGAGAGAGGATGTGAGTAAAATTAGGAATACACACAAAATATAACCATATTTAGGAAATCTTCTATTTCTAGTGAATTCTTCTCCATCCAAATCTCATCTGTAAATCATATATTTGTTAAGTAGAGAGATACTTGACACTTGACAGCTTGTTATACACAGATTTTTCTATAAACTTTTGCTCTTATATGTTATTTTTCTATAAAAAGTTGCTCCTATATGTTAAATTTATATTTTACCCCAAAAAATCAAAAAAAAAACAAATCTTATATCTCTAACATAACATCGAAAATCTTATGACACATTTTTAACCGTTATATTCTTATATAGGGTCTGAAAGGAATCTAACAAGATCAAGTAAAAATTTAGCATCAGGCCAATTTAAAATTTCTTTTACCGTGTTTTCAGCATTATCATTTGATTTGGTCATGAATATCTATACTCTTGCTATGAAAAAATAAAAATGGTTGAACTACATATACGAAAGGTTGTGTGAAACATTAAAGTTGGCCTTTGTGGAGCCAATTACTGTATGTGGCAAATCCAAAACGGTATACAGAACAAAGGTTGTTCAATTGTCCACTTTTACACCCATAGATTTGTATACTACAGTTAAACGGTGTGATGGAGATGGACTAATGAATCTCTAGGAGACTAACACGAGTTCTTCCATGGATCATCATCGGTGGAGCAAAAGAAACATGCCGTTGTGAATCTCTGACATTGTTCTTTGTCGAGTTCTTCCAGGATCAAACAAGGTAAGTTGTGGCGATCCTGTTTCTTGAACCCTAGAAGCTGTGGGAGAGAAGAGGATTTAGCGAAAGGAAAGGAAGAATCAGTTTGGATTTTAGAATCTGATGAAGCATCAAGGAAAAGAGAAACACCCGCAAGTGGGCTAGAAAACATGATTGCTCTTCTTCTATTTATTCGGCGTATGTGTACCCCACGCGAAGAAGAAGAAGAAACGACCTGTGTAACCCTAAGGATCTCGTATCCAGGTTACAGAAGGAGGAGGAACATCGATCCAAAGTTGCAGACTTACTTCCCTCCGAACAGTTATGTACGCAATCTCGAAGTGGTTTCAGCTACAGTTAAACGATCCTGTTCTGTTTCTAACAAACACCTTTCTTCATTGCATACCAAGAAGGAATATTCGCATAAACAGAAGAGATGCAAAAGCAAGAAGTATTCAAAAGAATAGATGCAACAAAGAAAAGATGAATAATGATAATCTGGAGTAGTTATTGTTAAAAACAAACACTAGGATAGAAAGAAAGAAAAACAATTCCAAAAGCGACAAATATAAATAAGCACGCAAACTTAAAGAAACTAACAACTTCATAGTACGACTCAGCATCCAAAGAGTGCCTGAAAACAACTTATTGAAATAAACTAACAAAAGAGATAATCCAACATAGGTCGACGACGAAGACCTCCTAGGTCAAACCGCATCCTTCAGGCGGAAAGTGGAGGTTTCAAGGTCAGGGAATCAAAAACCACATTTGAAGCAGTCTTTCATTCCTCAAATCACTGTTGTTGAGCTTGCCTACCGCTTCCATAACCTCCGCCATAACCAGCTTGCCCGTTCCCTTGGTGATTCCCATAGCCTCCGGAGCCATCCGCCGCATCAGCATAGCCACCGCCGTGGCTGTTAGGGATACTCCCAGACCGACCACCAACAGCTCCGTAACCAGACGGAGTCCCGTAAGAGGAATCATTTCCACCATAGCCATAACCTTGGCTTCCGTAACCAGCAGATGCACCTCCTTGACCCATCACTGCTGAACCAGGACCAGAACCACCCCAAGGAGCAGCGTTTCCATACCCAACATTACCGTAACCCGACGGTGCTTGACCTCCCCACGAACTTCTTGGACCGCTTCCAAAGCCAGCTCCAGGGACACCAGGATTCCCATACGGCGCAGCAGCTGGGTTTCCATACCCTCCGAAACCTCCGTAACCTACACCGTTGCTGCCATAACCATAACCACCAGAGTTATACCCAGAAGCACCATAAGGAGCATAGCCGCTTCCAGCGTTTTGAGGCGGCATGTATCTATTGGACTCCACACGGCCCTCATAGCCACTTCCACCGGAACCACCGTACCCCTGAAAGCTTCCAGAGCCGCCGCCGCCGCGACCACCGCCGCTCGCTACTCCGGGGTTAGCATCTTTCGGGAGGGCCCTTTTAACTTCTACTTGTTTACCATTCAAATCGTGGAAAGTCTTGTGCAAGACAAGGTCGACGGAGTCTTCCGAGTCGAACGACACGAACCCAAACCCTCGAGGGCGTTGCGTTGTCTGGTCAATCATAATGACCGCATCGCTCACAGGTCCGTAGGTTTCAAAATAGGCCCTGAACTCGTCTGATGTTAGTGCCGGAGGCAAACCTCCCACGAATATCTTCTTGGTCCTGACGTTAGCGCCGCTATCAAAATTCCTAGAAGCATTAAAATTTCCTGATCTCCCTGCAGGATTCTGCTCGTCCCTAGACATTGCTCTCTTCACATCGACCTAATAAATAATTCACAGAAGCTAAAACCCATCAAAACATGAAATTAAAAGCATAGATTTTTACATCCAAAATTAACCAGGGGAGAGTGGCAATTAACCGACAAACAAACACTAGAACTCAAAAAAAATCTCATGGCGATAAGATTCAATTAACTATTAAAACCAGAGACACGAGCAAATTTAAGAAATTTTCTTACATCTCTATTGTCGATATGGTGCTTCTCCTGAAGAACCCTATCAATCACAGCGGGATCCGAGAATGCCACGAATCCGAATCCCCTGGGACGACCTGTGGCCTTCTCCCGCATCACCGTCACCTGCAAAACCTCGCCGTAATTGCTGAAGTACTCTTTCAGAAGATTCTCGTCGGTATCCCATGAAATCCCGCCGATAAACAGCTTTCCCTGATCTGATTCCATTGCTGCGCTTTCTCTCTCCACCCTTGTTATACCCAAAAAGCCCTAGATTCAAACACCGACAAATCCCCCCGGTGAAGAAGAGGAAAGGAGCTGTAAAAATTTCAGTGTCCCGAGACAATTAGGGTTTGGGTTTGTGAAATCGGGTTAGAGAGAGAGAGAGAGAGAGAGAAAAAAAAAAAAACAGACTTGGAAAATAGCGGCCAATCGGGTTAAAGAGAGTGAAAGAGATCGACTTAACAAAAAAAAAAGTACATTTTTCAATATCAGCTTCTTTTATTATTTAGCAATTTTCCCAAATTGCTTAAATTGGGCCATAAGGCCCATATAACTCACAAGAGAAAACATTGAATTTAGATTGCAAAAAGCAATAAAAATGTTTTATCTTTTAAACCATTTATCCTTTTTTTTTAATTCACTTCACAAAAGTGGGACTTTGTCATCTGATTAACCATACAGTAAATATAATACCTTATTAGGAGGATTCATCTCATATGATTAAAAAAATCTCATAGGATTCATCTCATAGAGCAGAGCAGAGCCAAACAGCCACACAAAAACACAGAAACCCAGATGAAAAATAATTTTACAAGTAAATAATTTTATACAAAATTCTCGAATAAATCTTAAAAATCTAAAATCATCGTATATAAATTAAAGTAATTGACAAAGTACCAAGATAATGCATAGCCAAAATAAAAGAACTACCAATTAAAGAGTGAATATAAAACAATCCATTTAACATCAAATTTTCTTCGGATAAAAAAAATCACTTTATAAAGTATATTTATTTGAAATTTTTGGTTTTGATAGGTAAATAATTTCAATAGGATATTTGGTTATGCATAGAAGAAACAAATAAATGCTTTTATTTAGTACATTTCTTTAGCGCATATTGTTGAATAGGAAATAACTAGAAAAAGTTGTGAAAATATGGTTTGAAATATTAAACTGCAATAATTGTTTTTGTCTCTTCTTCTTAAATAAAATGATAAAGAATAAACGCCGGCATAAACTCCGTGAGCCGACCGTCACTTTCATCTTTTTCGAAATCCCAACGTTCCTATTTCTGTTCAAACACATCAACGAGGCAAAATAAATAAATAAACAAAAATCATCTCTCTTCCTCTGCTTATTCTTCTTTCCTCTCAATAATCGAAACCGAAACAGAAGAAACATCACCACCAATGGGATGTTTTATGGGTTGTTTCGGTCTCTCTTCCAACAAAAAACGCAGAAATTCCATCAGGAAGATCCTGCCTCGAGATCAAGTAAGCTTTTTTAAATTTTCCCCCAATAGACCAAACAACACTCTTTCTTGTTTCTCTCTCTCTCACTCTCTCTTAGAATCCTAACATATTTATTATTGCAGAGAATCTGTAGCTATGAGCCTCTACTTTCTTCAGATCCGACAGATTTCAGTACTGTTGCAGATAACCCTGAAAAGATCTCGAAAACGAACCTCAGGTCAGTGTTTCTGCCGTTTACAATGTCTTTAAGGATTTGGGTTTACTTCAAAAATGTTACTTTTTGCTCTGAGATTATCTATCTGATAATCGGTTATGAAAGCCAAACTGAAACCCGGTTTTGAGAGTCTCTTATAGAAACATTTGCAGAGATGATAAGTTAACAATGGCTGTTTTTCTGGTACTATGTCAGATGTGAGGTGGAGGAGGCGGAGAAGAACGGGACTAAGAAGACGAGGAAGAGAGTCAGATTTAACTTGAATGTGCAAACCTATGAACCAATCCTACCAACAAGATATCAGAACTGTTGCAGTGATGATGAAGAAGAGGAGGAGAAAGGAGAAATAAGCAAGGGATCTTCGGTAATCGATAAGAAAGCAGAGGACCTGAGCAGTAGATCTGTGTATCCTTCAAACCATAGATACCAGAACTGCGTGGATAGTTTCGAAGATGAAGATGAATTGGGATATGGAGAGAGTGATTTGGAGGATGAAGACTATTATACAGATGAAGAAAACGACTATGAAGATGATGCTGATGATGAGGATGAAGAAGATGGGGCTTACGGGGACCAGGACGTGACTCCTCTTTTGAATCCAGTGGAGAATATTGCGCAGTGGAAAGCGGTTAAAGCAAAGCCTGTAAGAGTTAAACAGGTAATGAAGGAGAATGTTGAAGTGGATACAGATGATCAAGCAAAACCGCTACTGAAGGAGATTGTCGTCAATACAAGCCTTTCCACTTGGTTGGCCTCACCAAAGAGTTTCCATGGGATTGGTTCGTCCAAGAGATCTCCATTTATGGTTATCACCAACATGTGAAGGAGAAGGAAAGAAAGAAACAAAAAAAGTGTGTTTTGTTGTTTGTTTTTGTAGCATTTCTGATTCTTTCTGTGTGTAAGGATATGGAGGTTTGTATCGGTTTACCCTTTTCCGGTTTACTTTTCCCACTGGTTGATTGTTTCTGCAACAAAAATCTCGATAAAGTTGTGATCTTTCAATTTTTTTGCATCTGATTATGATTTGGTAAAGAAAAACGACTACTGGAAGAAGAAGAGAGGGAAAAAATGATTAAAAATTGCTGCATATACAATTTAAAAAAGTGTGTATGTTGCAGAAACACATACAGATATTACTATCAAAACCTGTCAAATCAAACAGCACTCAAAGATCATCGGTTTGAAGATCTCTATTGAACAATACAACAGTAAATTAAATCTATAATCTATATACTCACTCCTGTCACTGAGACGTGACCATCTGATATATAGCTTATGAGAGTCTAACATCCCTCCGTTTGGACTGGCTTCTTTGTCAGAAGTCGTGAGCACAAAATCAGACAGCTACGTGATTGTGATATGTCCAATCGCTTAAGTTGGTTTCGCCTGTCCTCACACACACACAAAAACTGATTGCTGAAAAGAAGCGAGATATAAGGACAAGGGTCATTGTTAACTCCATGTTAATGGTGGTTGATTTGTGGACTACATAATTGTGCAGATGCAGGAATCTGAATCATCTTCATCTGTATCGCTTACTTCGCTGCAAGCATCAAAACGGAAGCAGAAGTAAATATATTTAGTTGTTTACAATTGCCAAGTGAACAAATAACAACGTAAGAGAGAGTAAGTTCTCGAGCAAAAGATAACTAACTACTCAATAGGACCTATAACAAAGGAACTACTTATACGGAATATCAAAAAAGAACAACAACGAGAATTCTACAGGCTTTTGCAATGGTTTTCGCTAATGTTTGTGAAATGCTCAAGTGAAAAATATGTACTAAGTACATACATTAACTTCAGGGTTCTTTGCTAAATTCAGATTCCACAATCCATAACTGAAGTTACAAAACCATTAACATCAAACCTAAGTATTTCTCATAGACTCATCAACAAAAACACTAAAAGGCTAAAAGCTAAAGACGCTTCAGGTCGATACTGACAAATCATGAGAATCGGTTCAGCAACCACACGAATTAATCTAAACAAAAAGGGTACCAGTCAGAGATCAAGAAGACCACTCTAAAATAAAAATAAAATATCAGCCACATCAATACTAGCTTAAGGTCAATGACATTGATTCCCCAAATGCGAATCCATTAACATCAACAAACGAGAATAGAATCACAATACAGTTCAAAATTAAGTGAAAAAACAAGTTGAAGGAGACAAAACAATGTACAGAGATTATTATGTTCCTTCTAGGATCATATTACCTTGGTTCATAAACTAAAACCTCAGCAAGATTGTCCCCTTTGTTGTCATTCCACTGCACAGTCCTCTTTATCTTGTCGGTACTTCTCGACATCCCTCCTTTCCTTGGAGGCAATAAACACTGCGACTCACTTTCTTCTTCCTCGGAGATTTGATCCTCGATTTCACTGCTGTCTAGACTAACAATAGCCTTACTCTCACACCCATTAGCTTCTTTAGCCTCTCCACGAGTCGTATCCATAGACAGATGAAAGAAATCTCAAAACACAAGGAGATGACACAATCTATGGAAAGTAGATTCGAAAACAATCTGGAGAAGATAAAGAGATCTTTTTGCTTCCTAATTCATGTCAGATACGATCCACCTGATCAGATCAATCATAAACCCCTGACAATTCACCTCGATTTCGCTCCAAAATTCTGGATCCCACAATTCAAAGCTAGTGATTGATCCTGCTACAAAACAAAATGAAGCTAATGATGAATCTAAACAACCCCCTGATCACCAAAATCTCGAATTCCGAGGAAGCAAAAGTCAACGCCCAATAATCAAACCCGGATCCACAACCAAGATCGAGATCCGAATACGAAATCGGAAACTGAAAAATGCATTACTTACGTATTAACTGACGGCGTTTTCTCTCCGGTGGAAGAAGTGAAAAATCTCAAAACTTTCTAGCGAAATTTTGAAAATTTGGCAAGGGATTAACAAGAACAGCAAATCACGTAATCGTATTCAAAGAATCCGCCAATCCAGAAACCTCAAATTCCCAATTTTTCTGATCCGATAACGAGAAGAGAAAGAAAAAAAAAAAAAAAATTTCAAAAAGGGAAAGTTGAAGGATTGATATCTGAGAGACGCGTTTCTCTCTGCTGAGTTCTGATTGGATGCTGAGAAAATGAAAGAAAAATTTCGTTAGATATAATCAATGGCCAAGATTTTACGTGAGATTTTTTTTGGCAGATCGGATTAAGCTTTTGTTTAGCGCACGGTAGGTAATCTCGTTATGAGTTCATACAGCCCCGTTGACTAAACATTTTTAATTAACAGAACTTGCAATATTTTATTACATTACAACTTGTCCAACTATATAATTTAATATGCTTTAAATTTTTTAGAAAAGAAATTGACATGTTCAAACTAAGCTTATAAAAATATAATTAAATAAATTGTTGACGTCTTAGTAGTTCTTACTATCTAATTAAGACTGTTTATATTTAAAATTAACAAAACCAAAAAAAAGAGTCAATAGTAAATAGTTCAAGGGGTTGGTATCTTGTATTATCATATTGAATTAAAATTTTAAATCTATTATTACAAAATACATAATAAAGTAAGAAAAATTAATTTAATGGTTTATCGGTGTAATTCTTGCTTTCCAATACAGTGTTGCATTTGAAATTTTGATATAATTTATAGTATGAGGCGAAGAAAATTGTTACATCATAGTTAGGTCTATGGATTTATAATAATGCTAAAGAAATGAAGGATATGATCTCACAAAGATATAGTTTCTTTCTTTATAATTTTATTGTCATACTGAAAAGTTGAAACTAAAGAACAATGAGAAAAATAATATAAGTAAGGAGAAGCTGAGAAGACTGAAAAAGTTGGTGAAAAAGAATCTCATAAAATTGAAAAAGAACATCCGAGAACTGAAGATGAAGGAGAAACTCAAAAGATTGAGAATAGAAAAAATATGTGGTTGAAATGAAAATAAAAGAAGTGAGATACTGTTATTGGAGATACTTTCATCCATCAAAAATAAAAAAAATTGTTTATACATTTGTTAAAAAAATTAGTGATAATAATTCAACGAGTGGGCGTTAAAAGATATAATCTTGGATTTCTTTTTAAACTTTCTTAAAAAGAGCGAGTGAGAGAGCGATATCGATATACATATAGACATAATCGTATATGATGATACATATATACATACATGACATTATATCAAAGTGATTAAATTTTTTAACAACAATAATATTACTAATTTTAATATTATTTAAACATAAGAAGAAGTATGTTATAAGAAATACAAATAGCTCTTTGTACACAATTAGTACTAATATATGTTAGAGAAGTCAAAATTTCGTGTAAAACTGACGCTTACCAATATATTTATAATTTATCTAATAGTCTATTTATATTTGAAATTAATTTGGATTATATTTCAAATACTGCTTTTTAGTGATAGAAGAAAAAGAAAATTATTACTCGAAAAAAAAACAATAGGGATGTTGACTTTTTAGGATTTATCAAAACACATTTTAGCTCAAGTAATTAAAACCAAGAATATATTACCATCTCAAATTTACTTTATTGATTACTCAAGATGAAATCTATTTACCAAAACTTAGAATCTTAACTATTGAGTATTTCTCATTGGAGAAGTGTAAAGAGGTGGAACTTAACTATGTGAGTTTTACTCTGGCGTAAAAGTATTATTTGTTATCTGTTATCTCATAATGAATTTTTGATTGTTGTTTGCTATTTGTTTTTGGTTTCGTTGTGAGGATCTGATAATAAATTTACTCTTTGGCTTTGATGATTCGATTTGTTGATTGAAAAAGCAAAATATTAATTTGATTTTGATTTTTTATTCTCATTTCTTGATGCCCAGTAATTTTGATTGCTGCTTGCTACTTGTGTTGTGTTTGTTTTCAGCTTGACGAGCGTGAAGATCCTGTTCTTTTAGCAAACTTACAGTATTTTAATTACGTTACAATTTGCCAAATTATATAATTTAATCTGCTTTGAAATTTTCAGAAAACTGACAAATTCAAACTAAGCTCATAAGAATATAATAAAATGAATTGTTAACGTCTTATTATCTAATTATTGTGACTAATACCTGTATTTGTTTTTTGTCACAAACTAATACCTGTATTTGTGTTTAAATTAACAAACAAAAAACAGTTATAATAGCTCAACGGGTTGTTATCTTACGAGCAGTATTATCAAAGTGATTTAAATTTTTAACAATAATGGTCATCGTTCATACCAAACAGAGGATAAGTTTATTATTGTTAAAAAAATAAGAAAAAACAATTATAAAATATATAGGTATATAGATATATATGTTAGTGAGGTCAAAAGATTAAGATTCGGGTAAAACCAACGTTTAACTATACATTTGTGATTTATTTTATATTTGAAATTAGTTTATATTACATTTCAGTTATTGTTTGTTAATGGTCAGGTCTACAGAACAAAAGGAAAATTATTTAGGTTTTTTTAAGAGGGTTCTTGACTTTTGAGGTTTTATAAAAACACATTTCACCTCAAGTGATCAAAACCAATGGAAATCGAGTTACCATTTCAAAATTACGTTGGTTTGATTATTCAAGATGCTGTCTATTGAATGTTCAAAAGAAAAAAAAAATGCTGTCTATTTACCAAAACTTAGAATCTTAGCTTTTGGAATGTAACTCTTTGTTTGGATTCCATTTTCTAATCCCAAGCAAAACCACCAGATTCCTTCTTTGTCATTGCGTAACAGTGCGAATCTAATACAAGCCCTCTTAATGGGCCTATAAATCGATTGGGCTGACAGGTAGGTCTTTATTAATGGCTTCCACATCACACGTATTAGCTACTTTGTATGTTTGCTTAGAAACCAGATAAAAATGATTGCAATTTGCAAATATATAACTTACATTTTACGAAACCTAACAAACAAACAAAACCCACTCAGACACACACACACAATATATATATATATGCATAAAATCACACATATCACTAAAGAAAAAACAAATGACAAACAAAAAGTTATAAATCACAGCTCTTCTGCCCTCAAGTTTCTTCCTATATAGCTCTTTCAAGAATGGCATATCTCGAACGATCATCACCAACATTGAAAGAAACACTCCTCAAGATATACCGGTAAGCCACTCTCTCTTTGACTCTCCCGTCTGATTTCATCCCGGTTTACTTATTATTTACATACCTAATCAACAATCTTATGTTTAAAAAAAAAAAAAAAAACAATCTTTTCCGGTTTAGCTTTAGTTGAGATTATTTTGTTTAATTGTGCCGATAAGGTCCTCTTAATATGTGTGTTTCATTGTCCTCAAATCATGGCAGTGCCGAAAAACCTGTTGAGATCGATCAACATTTCTACGAGTTTGGTTCGATTCAATATCATATCAAGGTGTATATTTATTATTGGTCTGGTTAACTTTTTAAATAATTTTCTTGATTGTATAGTTAGAGAACTATTATAATATAAAATATATATGATTCGGATATGCAGTGCTCTATTTCGGATTCACATATTGTGTATGTATCAACGTCGACGTTGCTTGAGACACAAGGGATAGTGACTGTAAAGGAGACTTCAGGTCACACTTATGAGATGATTAAGAAAATTGCAGTTGGTGTGATTGATATTGTTGATCCACCAAAATTAGGGTTTCAATTGACCCTTAAACTTTACCTTGGTAAGATCCCACGTGGCAAAGGTAATAAATCATTTTGCTAAATTTAAATATTCAAAACTAGCTTTAATATTAACGTAAAATGTTTTAGTTTTGCATTTTTAACGGTTCATGTAACTGAAGTATAAAGCTTCCATCACTCTAATAAAACTCTTTCATCTGCAGAAGCGATTAAAATCATAACAAGAATTTCTGAAATACAAGCGTTGATATTAAGTAGCCAATTAAAAGAGATGCTGAAAATGTTGAATTTTCAAGATGACGACTCACAAGCGATGAACAACAGCATCAGGCCCATCAGGATTGTTTATCACCCAAGTGAACCTTTCTACGTCTTTAAACAGGTTTAGTTTTCCCCATTTTTTCTTCTTCTTTTTACTATGTGTATATATATATTCGAGTTACATACATCCAATATAAATCATACACAGAGACCGACGTCTCGAATGTTTTTTTTTAGCCGGAGAAGATAACGGCGGTGTTTCCAATGAATTTTAAAGACAATGCGGATGTGGTCATCGCCGTGTCATTCTTCCAGGTACAGTTACAAAGTTCACTTGAGCATTGAGAAAGTATGGTTACGATGATCACTGCTTCAATGATAATGTCAACTGAAAAATTAAAATGAAAATGAGTAACCTCGTTAATTATAATTGTATTTTAAAAGCTAAAAGTTGTAAAAACTGTTTGATCAACCACTATTATTTTATTTTTTTATAAAAAGAGTAAAAAGTCGTTTGGTATTGAAAGTTTAAGTCACAAGTCACAAGCTCAAGCCCTTACGATATATTCGATAAAAAAAAAAAAAAAAATAGGAACTAGTGGAAGTGGGAAGCCGAAAGGAAATGGGAAAGGCACCACAATGTAATTGGTCGCCAATACCTCCTTTCCAACTTAGAGGAGAACCGGTCCAAGACTTGACCACCAATTCTGGTTTTGTCTCTTTTGGTACATTTTATTTCCTTTAATCTGTTTATTAATTTCAACATCTTTAATTAGTATTATAGATACGAGTTTCACTCTTGTGTCTTAATTATTGCAGATATTACTTCACGGCACGTTGAAGGAAAGAGACTAGACAAAACGGTTTGGAACTTACTTAACTTCTACGCATACGTTAAGTACCATATTAAGGTAAAATAGTGACGACTTTTTCAGAAGAAAAAAGGATAAGATATTTTCTATTATTGTAATTGAGATTCTCAACCTTTTAATATTGGTAAAATAGTGTTCGAGAGGGTACATACAGAGAAGGATGAGAAAAAGAATGGACAGTTTGGTTAAGGTATTTAAATTATATTACACACGATCGAATTACAACAAATAATCGACATTTGATAGACACGATAACTTATTTTGTAAGTTGTAATTGTATAAGCAGCTGCTAGTTAACACAAGCCTAGAAGAAGAAGCTGCTCAAAAGGGTATATCCTCTTCTTTTTTCTAATCATTTTTGCCTCTTATAGTAGGTTTTTGGCTTTTTGTATTAAATAATATATATTTTTGTAATTTTTTTCTTTGTCTCTAAATAATAGAAAATGAACGATGCAAAAACGTAAAGAAGCGTATGAAGGTACCTACAAGCCAATTGATGATGAAAGAGAGATGCAAGGAGATGACAAGGAGAGTGAAGACAAGTAAATTCCGGATCAAAATAAACGGCTGTGCTCGATTTAGATTCAGTCAACGGTGGATATCTCTCCCCAGATTCTCTGCGAAACCCTCAAATAAATCATACACAAAATTGGACTAATTAAGTAATCTCTTATAAACTTCGAAAGTCTGTCAAACATACATATACGCATGCATATTCAGTTATGCACCTTTATATATATACTGTATTACTGTGTATTGATATATAATACGATATGAGTATACATACAGTAAAATCTCTATAAATTAATAATGTTGGGACTTCAAAAATGTATTAATTTATAAAGTTATTAATTAATCGATAAATTAATAATTATTTCAGTTCAAATTCAAAATATTTATCAAAAAACAAAAAAAATATTTCCAATAATGTAAAATTTATTTAGAAAATATCATATCAGTGAATTTGAATAATAAGCCAAACAATTTTTATAAACTTGAAACAATAATATAATTATATTTTACTATATTATATTATTTATATATGCTTAAATGTATAATTATCAATTTATCTAATTATTGAGACTATATTTTTATATAGGAGTTTCAAAAAAATTATTATCTTATTATTTTATCGAAATTTGCTAATTTTTACACTGGCCCGATTTAGAACCAGCAAAAATTATTAATTTATAGTGATTATTAATTTATCGAATACTAATTTATAGTGATTATTAATTTATCAAGTATTAATTTATAGAAGTTCTGCTGTACTTCGAGATTCATTGCCAAACTTCACCAAAATTGCAAAATAACAATGATGCTTTAATTAATATCTTATATACATATATATAAATAGTTTAAAAGTATATATATCCATTACATAATTATATTTTTTTCGTAAAACCAACTAAATATATTGATTTTGATTTCAAATCGAGTACGCGTAAACAAGATATACATAACATAATTATAGAAAAAAAAGAAGCAAGTCATTACGTATAAAAACATTAAACATTATATACACATTACAATTTAACAAAAGAGAAGCGAAGTTAAACGATGTTTTATATTCAACTGAAATAAATCATAATTTCTTTGACGATGGACCATGATTATTAAGTTTAGATTCATACGTATTAATTAAGTACAACACTACAACACAAGCAAACGTAACGAAGAGTTTAAACCCAAAAAACAAAACCTAACGAAGAGTGAGGACTGAATGCATGCATTTTACGTAAGAGCTATATATGTACAACATAATTATACACAAATCAATCTTCCGTATTTCTTTTACGTGATAAATTTATTATTTTAGAATAATATATATCGATGGTAATATTATGTCTGGCAACACATTCACTATTTTAACTTTTAAATGTATCCATGACAAAGAAAAATGTAACCAATCAGCAAAATAAAAAATAAAATTAATGGTCCATAAAAGTGGTAATTAAATCAATGTTTTGGTGATTATCTGAGAGGGCTATATTTTTCAAATTTAAATACTTTTGTGAAGTTATAAATTTATGAACTTTTAAAAGCGAATTTCAAAACTTTCTTTTGAGAGAGGGGAATTTTAAGACTTCATATAGTATAAAATACACTTTTGCGTATAGGTCATCATTTTATTACTACCCTATTCTTTTTTATTTATTTATCACATTGTAATACATTTTACAGAGAAAACAAACCACAGCAATAATGTTCAGCCCTATGTTCAAAAAAAAAAAATGTTAAGCCCAATTTGTTTGCCACCGCACACGTATGGACTAAATCAGCAACCGGTTTACGGCCACGTGAATAGGACCACACCTATGGTCACGTTACTCGTCTTTTTGAGTTTTTTCTTTTGTAACCAGTAAACTATCCAGACACGTCTCCTCCATTTTCAAATCGTGCCCAATACCTCTATTTTCTTCCATATAAAGCACCAAAAATTTGTAGATATCATAAGACACCACTTCAATTCTAAGACTTTTATACTCAGGGGGGCATCGTCACCGTTGGCTCCTTAGTCCTTATACCTCGGAGCCAGTAGTTCAAATTAGGTTATTTAATGGATGTTGGGCCATGTGTTATTTAACCCTTAATGCAAAAGTGTGATAAATGTTGTGAATGATATAAAAAAAAGTGTCACCATACATTTTGGAATGGAAGCCCATTTGAGTAATGTGATAAGCAGATAAGGATTGTAAATTCTGGCAAACAAGACTATCGTTTTATATAACATGGGGAGTGTTTCGAACATCTTACAATATTTTAGTATCTTACTCTTAATTTATTCAAAAATATATAAAGCTACAAATAGTCTATGTGATTACTCTTCCAATATTATTCTGGTGAAACATTAGAGGCAACAATAATTTGTTCTAAGATCATTTAACGTTACACATTCACTTATGTTTTCTCGAAAAAAAAGCACGATGTGTTTTTCCACCGACCTCTCCGTGATCAAAAAATGTGGATTCATTTCAGCAAACTGAGAATCGCCACGTGGATGGACCATATCAGATGTGATCATGTTTGCTTGCCCTTTGTTTTCTTTTAATTCGTTCGTTGCACCGTAAATTCACGACACGTGTCCATATTTCAAAAAAATTTCACATCATCCCGTTATGTCGTTTTACTTATAAAAAAGGACCACGAAAACCAAAGTATCACAGTATTCATCTTTTGCAAAAGAAGAAACTGAGAGCATCTTCAATTATTAACACTTACACAAGAGAAAGAGAGTGAGAGAGAGAGGGAGAGAATGGGAGAAGAGTCAGAGGCTTTTGCCACGATGGCGCCGTTAGCTCCGGTGACGGGTGAGCGAAAAGTGCGGAACGATTTGGAGGAAACATTACCAAAACCATGTAAGTATCTGCTTGTCCAAATTTAAGATTTATTGTGTAATTACTACAAACGCAAATACATATATGTAAGTGGTTGTTAACTTAATGAAAATTCACACCGCTGCAATTCATTAACATGACAAATCGTTACAAAGTATTGGTGTTTAATAGATCCCAATTTTCTCTTCCACCAAAAAAAAAAGCTTTACGAAAAAGCTGTTCAATAAAATTTCTATAAAGTAATAATGTTGGGACTTCAAAAATTTATTAATTTATAATGAAATATTTTAGTTCAAATTTAAAATATTTGTCAAAAACAAAAAAAAAATGTTTTTAACAATGTAAAATTTATTCAGAAAATATCTGAATTTGAAAAATAAGTCAAACAATTTTTATAAAGTTAAAACAATAATATAATTATATTTTACTATATTATATTATTTATACATGCTTATATGTATAATTATTAATTTATCTAATTATTGAGACTATATTTTTACATATGAGTTTTTAAAAAATTATTATCTTATTATCTTATCGAAATTTGCTAATTTTTACACTGTTCTGATTTAGAACCGGCAAAAATTATTAATTTATAGTAATTATTAATTTATCAAGTATTACTTTATAGAGATTATATGTGTGAAAAGATAACATATTCAAATTCAAGTAAATAAAATTTATAAAATATTAAATAAAATTTATTCGGATTAAATTATTATTTTTGTCGTCTACAACTCACACACGCATCTTATCGTATTTAAAACTTAACTATGACACGGCAACCACACTAATACAAAGTTAAAACCACTAGACTACGAATGTTAGATGAAGTTGATTTTTTTTTGGTCAACAGATTAAGTTGTTTATTTCTTCTTCCAATACTGAAGTAAATTACTTGTTATCATAAGAAAACTTGCAAAGATTTCCAAAATACCTTTAAAGGCATATTTTCATAAGTTTCATTTGTTTTTGTTTAAGACAAATTATATAATTGCTCTTCCTAATATTGATAAGCACATTTTCCAGATTATAAAGGGTTGAAGGTGTAACCATCATCAATTGAGTTACTGGTCACTATGTTAAAGACTAAGAATTATAGAAATTACTTGAAAATTGTATATATAACTAAACGGTAAAAAAATGAAAAAACAGATTTGGCAAGAGCATTAGTAGCTCCGGATACAGAGCATCCGAATGGAACAGAAGGTCATGACAGCAAAGGCATGAGTGTTATGCAACAACATTGTGCCTTCTTCGACCAAAACGGCGACGGAATTGTCTACCCTTGGGAGACCTATGCAGGTAAAATTATTTATTTCATTAAAATATTCATTTTAAAATGTAACTCTTTCGTGATCATAACAAAACAAAACAAAAAATTTGCAGGATTTCGTGATCTCGGTTTCAACCCAATCTCCTCTATCTTTTGGGGCTTCCTCATAAACTTAGCCTTTAGCTACGTTACACTTCCGGTATGGAAACAAACCATAACCAAGACCCTTCAAATTCATTTTTTTGTATCAGTATCATTTATATGGTTAAATTAACATATTATGTTGTGATTGGTATATAATGTCAATAGAGTTGGATTCCATCACCATTATTGCCGGTTTATATTAACAACATACACAAAGCCAAACATGGGAGTGACTCAAGCACCTATGACACAGAAGGAAGGTAACATTCATTCAGCCAAATATAAAATAATAATACTCAATTATTTCAATTTGAATTTTCGTGATACTCAATTTGTAAAACCGCGATTGTAGGTACGTCCCGGTTAATCTCGAGAACATATTTAGCAAATACGCGCGAACAGTGGTGGATAAGTTAACATGGAAAGAGGTTTGGAACGTAACCGAGGGAAACCGAATGGCAATCGATCCTTTTGGATGGTTAGTATACCAAAACATTATTGGTTCTTTAGTTCATTGTACATTTGTTAACCGGTAAAACCAAACTAAATTGCCCGGTTTTGCTGTGTTGGTAATGGCAGGTTTTCAAATAAAGTTGAATGGTTTCTACTTTATATTCTTGCAAAGGATGAGGAAGGGTTCTTGTCTAAAGAAGCTGTGAGAGGTTGCTTTGATGGAAGCTTATTTGAATATTGTGCTAAAAAGAATAAGGAGATGAAGGCCAATTCTCGCAAACAAGATTAAGAAATTTGTTTACCTTTTGTTTGAATATTGTGTTTACCTTTATGCCTTCCGTTTCAATAAGACTACAAAACATATGTATGTAGAAGAAAAAATGTTGTGTAAAATCTGTTAAATAAAATTTATGCATAAATTTATTCAAATCATTTATACAAATTAACGTCATATATCTTGTCATCTACTCTTCATAAAACTGAAATTGCTAATTATCAATTAGATGAAAAATTGTAGTTCATGATCAAAACCAAATAAAAAATAAAAATTATAATAGTCATGTTCGTTTGGTTGCCGCAAGCGGCTGCGATAGCGGCAGCGGCAAGATAATATTGCCGTAAGTTATTGTTCGTTTTGTAGTTGTAATCGCCGTTGCAGCCGCTGCTGCAACAACAAATTGTTGTTCGTTTTGTAACCGCAGTCGTAGGTTATGGACGTAGCTGCTACCGTAATAATAAATTATTGTTTATTTCAACTACAAGTACCTGCGGCAACGAAATGAACAACAATTAACTATAGGTCGTAGCCACAGCCGCAGATCATAATCGTGCCGTTGATTTTTCTTGGCGTTCAAAATTTTTATACGCAGCGACTTGCGTCTACCGCAGCTTTTTGCCGCATGTACTTACGACAACCAAACGAATAACAATTTTAAATGCTGCCGCAGCCGCAGGGCTAATGAATAAAAAACGAACAGGGCTAATGAATGAAAAAAAATTTGTGGGAATTTCTGATTATCAAAGGCTTTATGGGCCTTAAAGGCTTTTATTAAATTGTCCATAGGTTTGGGTCTAAACCCTAATCCCATCTTCTCCTTCATTTTTCTTCTTCAATCAGACGCCGGCGACACTAATAACATAACCAGAAAACCTAAAGTTCTCCCCCAGAGCTTCGTCTCGAGCCGTCGAAAATGTCGAAGCGAGGTTTGTCTTTCGGTTCTAAGCCTTCCTCTATCGTAGTTTTTGTAGTTTATTATCATTTTCTTGTTTTAAATGTTTCGAAAATCAGACCTTTTATCTCGATTTCTTCACTTAGAACTGCTTGTGGAAATTCAAATGTTTTAATAAGTACAATTGGCCGTAACCATGTGAAACCAATGATTCTGATTCACTCATGAGATCTGATTAGCTCATCAACACAGCTCATTACACACAAGTATTAGATTCTGATGATACTGATCTTCATTTCCTGAAAACAACAACTGGTAATGTTTTTTGAGCTTTGCTCTAATGGTGATTTGGGTTTTGTTTTGTTTTGATTAGGGCGTGGAGGTACGTCAGGTAACAAATTCAGGATGTCACTGGGTCTTCCCGTGGCAGCCACGGTGAACTGTGCAGACAACACAGGAGCTAAGAACCTTTACATCATTTCGGTGAAAGGAATCAAAGGTCGTCTCAATCGGTTACCTTCTGCTTGTGTTGGTGACATGGTTATGGCCACGGTCAAGAAAGGTAAACCGGATCTCAGGAAAAAGGTTCTTCCTGCTGTGATTGTTAGGCAGCGTAAGCCATGGCGGCGAAAGGACGGTGTTTTCATGTACTTTGAAGGTAAATTCACAGTTTCTTGAGTGATACATAATTTATTGCTCCTTTTTTATATATGTGGCAATGAGATTCATACTTGGTTGGTTGATTTTTCGATTGTAGACAATGCGGGAGTGATTGTGAACCCTAAGGGTGAAATGAAAGGTACAAGACACATTCAGTATTTCCATTTTTCAAACACATTTTGGGATCACTTCGATGTGTTTTCTTGATAAGATCTTTGCTGAGACGTATGGGGTTTTGTTGTGTGGTTTTAGGTTCTGCGATTACTGGACCGATCGGGAAAGAGTGTGCGGATCTCTGGCCAAGGATTGCAAGTGCTGCTAACGCCATCGTCTAATCACTTTGCTGTTTTATCTTTTTATTCAACAAAAACTCGAATGTAGTTTGAAATCGAATCTTTGATGTTTTTAAGTAGAGACAAGAATCCTTTGTGAGCTTTCAGACGTGGTTTGTAGGAGATTTGCTTGGTTTTTCCAGTTTCTGGTATTTTCAATCAAAATCTTTTGATCTCACGTGAGGAAAAGCTTTTCATTGGATTCGAAGTTTTGAGAGTTGACTGAATTGCATAAAATTGACTAATTGGCAAAACAGAGTTCATATATAAAACCAGAATATCATAAATGTCAAAAAATTGAAAGTCGGAATTTACATTTCACACCAGGGTCCCTTTGAAAACAAAAACACATCAACCAAACTTCCACATGATTTCAGTAAAGAGACTTTGATATTACTACTTTCTGTTAAAAAAAAAATATTAAATAGAAAGCCAATAAACTAAAAAAAAAAAAAAAGAATTAAAATATTATTAACTCAAGAACCTGCTAAAATTTCGAAGGCTGAGTTTTGCCTATCTTACTTTGTGCAGTCCTCTCTTTAAGCTACTTAAGCCTTCTCTGTACACTTCCCTGAAGACCATGGCTGGAGTCTCTGGCTCTGGCTATGAATGTATGCCAAAGCGACTGCAAAAGATTGCAAAACAGATATCTTCCCCTCGAATTGTACGAAGTAGAGACCGTCTCGCACACTCATGATCCTCAGTCCAGGAATCCCCTGCTTCGGTCCCTGAAATAACACAAAAGAATGAAACAAACCAATCAAATTTCCTCTAATGGCGTATGATTTGAGGAAATGGTAAATGGATGTTGAATGTTGTTACCTCTGTGAAGAGCTCAAAGAGATTGCATTGGCCTTCATTTAGGTCTTTTCGAGCTTGGCCTTTGAAGACGGTTAAGGGACAACCCAAGTCCCACCCAGAGCAGTCACAGCTTCCACCGGATTTCCATCTCTGAACCAAGCTCGAAGGACCACCGTTTCTGTTTCTCGGCCCTCCGTGAATCCCTGAAGGAATCACAACATCTATGCTCGTTGCATGCTTACAACTCTCAGTCTCAGAAGCATGCTTGGTTCGAGCCAGGCGAGTTTTCTTTAGAAACTTCATGCCCCAGCCACCGACTTTTTTCTCTTCTTCTTCTTCTTCTTCAACGGGAAACTCTTCTCTCACAACAACAGCTGAGGTTTCAAGATTTGGTGGAAGGTCGTTATCTAGCAAACTCACGGATTCGAGATCGTGGTCTGGTTCTTGAAATGGCTCCCAAGAGCAAAAATCTGCTACGGAGCTTGTTCTGCTGAATCTTGAGATGCTTCTTTGCCTTGAAGCTCGTGCGGTGCTTCTGAGCGCATCAACGACTTTCTTAGGCAATCCTCTGTTTTTCCTGGCATCGCTGTGGCCTTGTAACTGCGGATTCCCGCCGCTGCTGAACAGAACAAACTGTCTCTCCACGGTTTTTCCATTCGTAGACGAGACGGAAAACAAAGTTGAGACCTTTAGTTTACCAACCAATCGCTGCGGTTCGGTTCCACGGCCTTTCTTCAAATGGATCAAATACGAATACTCTAGAGAGCTCCGGTCGAAACCTGATCCTAGGCTACTAGTGCTTAAGCTAGCTACATACATCTCTCTCTGATCATCCAATGAGAAAACAAAATGAGGCGTCTTGTTGTCTTTCATAGTGAACTGAAGTGTACCTTGAGAAACTGTTGGAGACGGAGACCAAGACTGCTCAGAGGAAGAAGAACTCACCGAGTTCGTGCTCGATAAAGAGACCCTCTTTTTAAACATGTTTCCAGATTCATCACTCTGAAACCGCGAATCCTGGACGTGTCTTTCCTCTGTCTTCCTCACAACATCACATGAAACCAACGCCTTTTCGCCATCATCGTCTCGCCTTGTCCCGCTACTCACATCATCACCATCCACTGCTTCGAGATTGTGTAACAAAGGTTTATCAAGCGAATGCTTAACCCTCTTGCAACCTGTGATTGCGGGACTAATCACTATATTGCCTGAATCATCTACCAAAGGGAGATCAAACACAAGGCGAGCAACATTTTCTTTGGGGATCACTGGTGCATCGAAGTGGTACGAAGAAAAACCCATCTTTGGTCCTACAAGATTCATTGAGAGGCTGCAACTAGCTGACTTAAACGCACTGATATTGATCAAGTCGAGGCATCGACGTAGATACTTCTCGTCTAGTGACACCAAATGCCTTGGGATCTTGTTATCGAAGAAGCTGGTGGCACGAGAGAAGGACCCTTTGGGACCGTTTTTAACAATCTGTAACCACTTCCCGCTGTTTGAAACTAAACTACATTGCTGTCTTCTCTGGCTCAACAAGTTCCCTGACTTCAATAAACAGATTTCCCCAGGCGGATTCTCATCAATGCTCAGCGAATCTTCAAGCTCAGGATCATCCTTCTGAACATCAGGAGTGATACTCCCCATTTGTTTGCTCGCTAACTTAAAACCAAAGCCGAGCAAGACTCAGACTTTCATCCTATTATTCGAATTTTGAAGTACACTTTCCAAATATCTGAAAGAGAATCATGAACAGAATAACAAAAGATTAGTTTACAAGATCATAGCTTTAGCAACTCTTTTGGACAGTAGACATCTTCAATATTATGCAGAATCCCAAAATGTGAAATATGAATCTACTGTTCCAAAACAAAATGCTACGAAGCTAATTTGCTGAAAAGTCAAGGTTTTTAAAATAATACCTAATCTCTTACCTAAAAGCAATAAAAAGCTAAAAAACGAAGAACCCTACACAAATTGACAGATGAAAGAAAAGCTTGAATTTTTAGATGTGCCCATTAATTGATACAGAGGAAAAAAAGGTAAACTTTGATGGAGTTCTCAAGCTCAAGAGAAACATTTGAGGATATTTTGCACCTACTCAAGTTAAATGGAGAAAAGTACAAAGAGCGGAAATTTACTCAGGACCGACCTAGAAGCTAAAATTCTCTGTAATAGGTCCTGTAGCAAAGACAATTCTGAGTTCCTTGACTATGAAATAAAACAACTGCTTATGCTCAATTGGGAAAGAACAACAACAAAAACATCAATTGATCCAATTATCTAATTAGTTTGTAACAAACCAATCTTCAAATCTTGTTCACTCAGTTTTCTTTTTACCTGGATGTGCAGAAGAAAACACTGACTAGATCGAACTCCTGTGGGAAGAACAAATTGAAGCAACAGCAGCAATCTTCTTTCGACAATTCTGAATTACTGCGATCTTCTTTCTTCTGTGTCTCTCAAATTTCTATTTAAGAAAAAGAAGAAGAAACAATTTTCTCCTTACTCTACCCAAATTATGAATGGGAAGAAGAAGAAGAAAGTGGGAAAAAGCGCTAGAGAGTTTTCTGAGGGTTTAGAGAGAGAGAGAGAGATGGGTGTTTCACTAAGCCACGTTAATGTCTGACTAGTACCAATGGAGACGAAGGGAAGAGAAAAGGAACGTCTTTTCTTTTTTGGGTGTGTGTGTGAGACTTGACTACGGCCACTACTAAGGAAGAGGGTGGTTCTTACAAGTACGGGACCCACCTCTTGTGTGTGTTTCTTATTTTCTTTTCTCTTGCGTCAAAGCTCGAAATTAGGGTTTTTAATCAAAAAAAGTGGAGATTGTGGGATTAGAGGCAAGTGAGTGAGCTGGTGGGCACGATTGAAAGAGAGAGAGAATAGGAATCTAAAGAAGAGAAGGTGGTGGTGGTGACTTGTGACGGCTACTCGTTAGCGGAAAAAAAGCGAGTTGAAGTTAAAGAGAAGACAGTGCCCACATTAATTCCCCATTTTCTTCTATCCACTTTTTTTTTTTTAATTTATTTTTCTTCCTTTTATTTCTCACTTTCAAGTTATTCATTTTTTGATCAAAACAAATCGGGCTAGTTGTGACTTTTGACAGTGCTTGGTCCGATCATTCATATAAAAACGTAGACGGGCTTACACGACCATATGGACCATGGTCTTTATCAAGACCGAATCGAGTTAACCCATTGTTTGTTTACTTTGTAGTTAGTTATATTTTATTTTTCTAGATAGTTATCAATGAGGTAAAAAAAGACATAAATGATGTACCAATCATCTTAACGTTTAGCTACGCTTTTGAAAGAAGACATTTATTATATACTAAGCTTGTAGAATATGCATTAACATAGTTTCTTAACTGAAATGTGTGTTAACGATAACATCATCTTTTTAGTCGTCCATAAAATAAGAAGTTTCTAAATGTTATGCATGTGTTACATAGAAACGGTAGGTTTTCGATTAGGTAGCTATTTAGTGTTTTATTAGAAGTGTTCTATAAGAAAACGGACTTCTAATATAGTTAGCCGTGTACAATAATGGGAATACTTAAACTATCATATGGTTTGAATTTTTTTAAAACAAACCCTACAATACATATTTTGCCTTTTTTCTAATATACATGATTGGATTTATTGGAGATTTGGAGGCTTTAGAACGTATATTAATATTCTATTTACAAACATTTTCACACAAAAAATGAGAATCTATGGACCAACCAACAAATTGACAAAACTATTTTGTCTCATTCCGGACCGTGAGCTTGCGGCACATGATTGTCTCGGCCATTTTGTTGCTTCTTCAACTGCATTTTACGCATTATATATAAATTTCAAATTCAAACACGTAAACCTCGATATAATAATATAGTGAGATTTAGTTCCACTATATGTGTTTTATTCTTCTTGAGGGTCGCAAATGTCAGCTCAATTATTCATTTAGAAGATTAGATGCTAGTAAATATATATCTACTGTATATGACATTAAATATTCGTGTAAATTTAATCGACCTACCGTATTACAATTTTGATGCTTTGGTTTGTATAATCTAAAATTTATCTCCACCAAATCCGGTCCATATGTTTGCACTAACCGCATTCATTAACCTTTCTTTAATGTGTAGCATCAACCATTATAATTCGTGAAGCATTTAACCATATAATTCGTGTTTTCTCATGCATGTGATTTAGTCGGCTTAATAGTTTTTTTATAGTTCGTTAGTTTGTCTGGTCTATAATTAGTATTTTGTAATACACGTGTAGATGTCCTCGAAAATAAGTTAGAAAATAGATTCGAAGTTGATAAGATTGTGCCACGATCTAGTTGTATGAGTCTATTTTCTATAGATCGAGATCGGGTATCGATATTCAAAAGACTAAATGATTAGCATCTTGAATTTTATACTTCATTTGCGTCTTAGGATAAGTTTAGTTGTGTTTGTCTCTGAAAACTTTGATTAAACGATAAACTAATGAACGAAAAAGAAAACAATTATAAACGGTATTTTTTTAAAAAAACTATAGAGATTTTCATTAATTTTGATAATGACCTTTCACAGAGTCATAATCGTATTATTCACCTAAAGTCAATATCATTATAGTTTATAACTTTATATCTCTGCCTTTTAGACGTTTGGTTCGAAATTATTGACTTTAATCGTAGATTCTGTTTTAACAGTATTAGGGGAATCATATGTATATATGTATATATTGGTATTTGGAAAGTTTCCTTATTCATGATCTTAGTATTATATATATACTGTAATCGATTCATATCAATAGGAGAGAGATTTTCACATTATCATGGTATTAGAGTCTCTTGACAGCTAACCCTAAAAAAAAAAACCCTTAAAAAAAAAAAGAGCAAAAAAAACAATGAGAGAAACAGGGAAGATAGCAACAACGACAATGAATATGGTGCCTGCGGAAGCGACACACTCTCCGTACTATCTCAGCACTGCAGATGGTCCGAGAAATCTCATCACAACGTTCCAACTTAAGGGGGAGAATTACGAAGAATGGGCAAAGCATGTGTAGAATGCACTGAGAACGAAGTGGAAGCTCGGATTCATTGACGGAACTCTGGAGAAACCTACAACAATGGCGGAAGTGGAACAATGGGAGGTAGTGAATTCAATGTTGGTGGCTTGGATCATGAATACGATCGAGCCAACTGTACGTACCTCAATATCTATGGTCGAAGATGCGAGAATTCTTTGGGAAGACCTGAAGCTACAATTTTCAGTTGGTAATGGAGCACGTATTCATGAGTTGAAAGCTGATATTGCTTGTTGCAAGCAACAAGGTGACTCGGTCATGATTTACTATGGGAGATTGAAGAAGATGTGGGATGAATTGGCTGTTTATAAACCAATTCGATCATGTAGGTGTGGCAAGTTGGCAGCACAACTACAACAAGATCAAGATGAAGACAGAGTTCATGAGTTTTTGACGGGATTGGATACACAATTTGCGACTGTTCGTTCAACCATAAGCAGCATCGAACCTCTTCCGAAGCTTTCTCAAGTGTACCAGCGAATTGTGAGAGAAGAAAGACAACAAACAGTATCAAGAGCTCGAACAGAGAAACCAGAAGCAGTGGGGTTTGCAGCTAATGCAGGAAATTGTTTTAATCGAGAACCAGAGCAGTTAACGTGTTCTCATTGTGGAAAGACAGGACATAACGTGTCTGATTGCTATCAACTCAATGGATTCCCTGAATGGTGGGGAGAAAGAGGTGGTCGTGGTGCTGGAGGGAGAGGAAACACTCGAGGCAGAGGTCGTGGTGGAGGCATGGCAGGAAGCGGAAACTCTGGCAGAGGAAGAGGATATACACCACGATAATACAACACTCGTCCGGCCGGTAGTGCAGCACAAGTCTTGACTAACGGAGCCACAGCGAATGCAGTTCGTCATGAAGGTGGCTATGATAGGCAAGCCTTGTCAGAACTGAGTGATGAACAATGGACAACACTACTCAGCTTCCTCAATACTCCCAAACCAGATCATGCAGCCGAAAAACTGAATGGTAAAGGTGAAATAGTCGATTTTATAATTGACACCGGAGCGTCCCACCACATGACATCCAAACTGAACTTGTTACATAATGTTATTGATATTGTGCCATATTCTATTGGATTGCCTGATGGAGATTGTGCTATAGCTGTTAAGCAAGGTGATATATGCTTAGGGGGTGATGTGTGGCTGACTCATGTTCTTTATGCACCAAGTTTAAAGTGTTCCCTAATATCTGTTGCCAAACTACTTAAGGGAATTAAGGGATCATCGATCACATTCACCGCTGATGTGTGTGTTTTGCAGGACCATACCAAGATGACTCTGATTGGCGCGGGTGAAGAATGCGGTGGGGTCTATGTTTTCAGAGGAGTGATAGGAGGAACTGCTAATAAAGTAACGACTACTAAAGGAGCAGAAGACTTGTGGCATCGTCGACTTGGTCATCTATCAAGTAGAGTTTTGGGTTATTTATCGAATTCTATTAGTGATATTAAATCAGCCGAGAATGACGTGGTCTGTGACATTTGTTTCCGAGCTAAGCAAACTCGAGATTGTTTTCATGAAAGTGATAATAAAGCTGAAGGGATTTTTGATTTGATTCATTGTGATGTTTGGGGAGGATATCGCACACCTTCTTCTTGTGGTGCAAGTTATTTTTTGACTATTGTCGATGATTTTTCACGTGCGGTTTGGATATTCTTGTTGGTTGCGAAGAGCGAAGTTGCGAATACTTTGCAAAAAAATTTTGCGATGGTGCAAAGACAGTTTGACAAAGAGGTCAAGGTGGTACGAAGCGACAATGGTACGGAGTTTACGTGTCTGAAGAGTTATTTTAATCAGAGAGGAATCATACATCAAACATCATGCGTTGGAACACCGCAGCAGAATGGTCGAGTGGAGAGGAAGCATTGGCACATTCTGAATGTAGCTCAAGCTTTGATGTTTCAAGCTCATATTCCTATCAAGTTTTGGGGCGAGTGTGTTTTGGCGGCCAGTCATCTTATCAATCGCACACCGACGCCTCTGTTGAAAGGGAAAACGCCATATGAAGTACTGTTTGGTATAGCACCTTCGTTTGATTCCTTACGAGTGTTTGGCTGTCTTGGGTATGCACACAAGAGCAATCTTCGAGACAAAAATAAGTTTGCAGAGCGGAGTCGAAAGTGTGTTTTCTTGGGATATCCTTTTGGCAAGAAAGGATGGTTATTATATGATCTTGAGAACAAAACATTTTTTGTCTCACGTGATGTTGTGTTTCAAGAGAATGTGTTTCCTTTTGCTTCTGATGAAAGTGCAGCTTCTCCTCCTGTGTTGTCTCCCCAAGCACACATATTTGATGATAGTGATCGTTTTCTGGTTCCAACTGATGGTGTAAGTACGGAATGCACCCCACAAAATTTAGGCACCGTTCAGAAAGTTGTGGAGGAACCGGTGCAGATTGAAACTAGTCCTCCTACACTTGTTGAGACAGAGATCGTAGCAGAGCAACTAGGCAGAGGAAGACGTGAAAAACAACAAAGCGTTAAACTTAAAGATTATCATGTCTATTCGGCACACGCTTCTACTGACCCCCCGTATCTCTCAGCCCCGTCTTTAGAGTTGTCTTTAGGTACTGTTCTCTACCCTATTGCAAACTATGTCAGCTGTGAAAAATTTTCGGAGGCACACAAAGTTTTTCTTGCAGCTGTCATCGCTGAATCAGAACCACAAAGTTTTGCCGAAGCAGTTCAACTCGAGGTATGGAACAATGCTATGACAGATGAGATTGGTGCGATGGAGCTGAATCAGACCTACGTTATTACTGATCTTTCTCCAGGAAAGAAAGCAATCGGATGTCAATGGATTAATAAAGTTAAATTTCACTCCGACGGTACCCTAGAACGATACAAGACGAGACTAGTTTCCCTTGGCAATAGACAAACCGAGGGTGTGGATTATGATGAAACCTTTGCTTCGATCGTGAAGATGAATACTGTACGCATGCTCTTGAAGATAGCAGCAACAAAGAATTGGATTGTTCACCAAATGGATGTCCATAACGCCTTTCTCAATGGTGATTTAGAAGAAGAAGTTTATATGAAATTGCCTCCGCGATTTTATGCATCTGAAAATAACAAGGTTCTCAAATTGAAGAAAGCTATTTACGGATTGAAACAAGCACCCCGATGCTGGTTTTCAAAACTCTCGGCAACACTTCAAGGGTATGGTTTTGTACAATCTCGGTCTGATTATTCATTGTTCACATTGACTAAAGGCAACACCCATACATATGTGATTGTATATGTCGATGATCTATTGATTGGTGGAGACGATGCTGATGCTGTTGAAAGATTTAAGAGCTAGTTGGGACAATGCTTCCGTATGAAGGATTTGGGTCCTCTGAAATACTTTTTAGGAATTGAAGTAGCTCGTTCCACGCAAGGTATTTATCTTTCTCAAAGGAAATATGTATTGGATCTTTTGAATGATTGTGGTCTTTTAGGGGGACGACCTGTGGCCACTCCGGTTGAACAACATCATCAACTCTCCAACGTTGGTGACGATTACTACACAGATCCAGAGGGTTATCGACGACTTGTAGGGCGCTTGGTTTACTTGACGATTACAAGACCAGAATTATCCTATATTGTTCATGTCTTTGCACAATTTATGCAAAAGCCTCAGACGAAGCATTGGCATGGTGTTCTTCGTGTTCTCCGTTATCTTAAAGGATGTCCAGGTCAAGGGATTTTGCTCTCTACCAACTCCGATCTTCGATTGTCTGCTTATTGTGATTCAGATTGGGCGGCGATCCGTTGACTCGACGATCTTTGACTGGATTTGTGGTGATGTTAGGAGATTCTCCGATTAATTGGAGAACACAAAAGCAACGTGTTGTGTCATGATCATCGGCAGAAGCGGAATATAGAGCTATGGCAGATACTACTTGTGAGCTAAAGTGGGATCGTGAATTGCTGTCATGCTTTGGCGTCAAGCATGTTGGACCAATGCGTCTCTCATGTGACAATCAATCAGCACTATACATCGCAGCAAATCCTGTTTTCCACGAGCGTACTAAACATGTGGAATCGGATTGTCACTTTATTAGAGATGAGATTAGGAATGGATCTCTTCAGACTTTTAAAGTTCATACTTCAGAGAACCTTGCCGATATTTTTACTAAAGCTCTTGGTTCTCAGGCGTTTGCATATCTTCGTCACAAGTTGGGCATTTGTGATCTTCATGCACCAATTTGAGGGGGAGTATTAAGGAAATCATATGTATATATTGGAATTTGGGAAGTTTCCTTATTCATGATCTTAGTATTGTATATATACTGTAATCGATTCATATCAATAGGAGAGAGATTTTCACATTATCAAACAGTTTTCTTTAAAAGTCAATCTTCTTCACATATGAGTTATCAATTTTCAGCAATGGATCAAATGGAAAATAGCCAAAGAAAATATACAAAATTGTTTCAATACGAAGTGACTACAATTTTTTTTTTTCAGTTTGGTAACCCCATGGAGAAAACTATATATGGGAATTATGGTACGATCGTCATTTATTACGCATATATCAACGTCGTTGTCTTGTTAATACTGTAGTTGTACTTTATTAAATGGTATCTGTAAAGGAGGCCCTAAGTAAATAAGATCTTTAACACTTTGTTGGCCCAATCGAACTTTCAATAGAAAAAGCCCAATAATTTCATCCTTTTTTGTTATTTTAAAATATTTACCATATAATATAATTAATTCTTCTTACCGGGTCATGTGACAATTGAACCGTCTTATTATTTTCTTAAATATGCGTCGATAGCAGCGTATGACATCTGAGTATACAAATACGTAGAACTAGGTGATATGCGGGTATAATTTTTTTGATATACATAGTTAATTATAATATTTAAATATTGAATAGTTTTTTAAATATTAGTATGTTTGTATTTATATTATTTTAATATTTCACAAATTTTTTTCTGAAACTAATGTATTTTAATTTTTTTTATTTTTATAATGCTTGTAATAATATAAAAGTTATGTTAAGTAATAATTAAATTCTTATAATTTTTTTGAATAATTTTATAACATGCTTTATTTCTCCTTACATAATCTACTATATGTTTTTTTGCGTCTTACACAATATAAATTTGCAAATACATATATAATATATTTTAAGTATATATTTTTCTTGATTTATTACAATTTAAACTGAAAACATTTTTACCATTTTTACTTATTCGTAAGAGCGGATAGATGGTTGACACGCATGTGTGAACATACAAACCACTTCACTACACTTAAAATAGATAAAGATTTTTTTAAAAAAAAATATAAATTGTATAATAATTAAAATAAAAATTAGATTGTAATCAATCTTAACAAAACACATGCACAAAAAAGTTCGTTTGTGACTTCAACTAATGTACAATTAATATTTATGTTTGTACACATATTTGCAAAAAAAATTGAAATATAGCTCATGCGTGTTAAAAAGTTTTTAAGTGACTTTGTAAAACAAAGTACGAGAGATTTATTTTTATATACTTCTATTTTTTATTTCTTATTCATATTGTTTCATCTTATTATAATTTATTCTTTCGTTCGGTTATTTTTTATTTCACTTATGATCTCAAAATTTTGATATACAATGAAAATAAATTTATGAATATGATATAAATTTTTATTTTTATTTAAAATATGATAAGAGATAAGATGAGATGGTAACATAAGTTATGTACATTTTAGAAAACAACAAAAAGATGATAAAAGTTATAGAAAAATATATGGTCCTATTAATATTATAAAATAATAATTAGTATATATTTTATTCATTTAGTAAATATTGGGTTGAAAAGAAAAATTATTTAAAATTAGTATTTTTTTAAAAAAAAATTCAATAAAAGTTAAATATTTTTTTTATTATTTTTAAAATTTTATTCTTTAAATTATTTTTATCATGATTGTATTTTATTTAAAATTTTATTATTTAATAATTTGTTTATTTAAAACTTATTTAGATGTTATTAATATATTTTGTAAATTAATAACTTTTTGAAATAAAAATATATCATACTTCAAGCATTATTAATAAATAGAAATTTTACTATTCTATTTGGATAATTTAGTATTATTTTTTCGTTTTTATATGAAATTATATTATATATATATGAAAAAAATCGTAATTATATTTTATGAAATTATGAATATATGTACAAAATTGAAATGATAATAACTTTTATTTTCTGTTAATTTAAATTTGTTAATTTTAGTGTTATAAATATAATCTAGTTTATTTATGTTTTAGTTACATAATTTCTATAATTTTAATTCTACTAATCAAAACATTTCATTTATTTTAAGAAGTTTGACATGTCACATTTACATATCATCAATTAAAAGCACTAACTTTGGTTGTAGTGTTGACAAATCAGCTATTTTCAATAATGTTACTTTTGTAGTTCAAAAAAAAAAAAACGTTGAATGTAAAAGGAGCAAAATAAAAACTCAATTGTTTTATAGTGATTAACCGATAGAAAAATACAACTTAAAATTAAATACAAGACATCGCGTGTATCAGTAATAATATATCTACAAAATTTTCAAAAGTCTATGTAGCCATAGTAAACCTTTCTTCACTACTGTTTTATTCATTCAAACCTGCAATTTATTATTATTATATTTTTAGTAGATTTTTATTTTTTTAAAGCAGAGCCTGGGGTATTGCAAGAATAAATATACTAACAAGTAATAACTCTATAAAAGTACTAATTATATAAGTCTATATAAGATTTGTGGTGTGGGACTTGAAACTCAAATCCAGGACTGAATTGGGTAGTTGCACTTGAAGGAATTGGGTCCACTAATGTGTGCAAAAATGTCTGAAGAATCTACCAACTGTTCCTCATCCTTCACTCTCATCTGTAAACCGAACCGATTTAATTAGATTTAGCTAAAATCAACACTCCATCAAAAACACAAATTCATAGAAATCGAGCATCTTACATCGTCTTCGTCTTCATCATCATGATGGCTTGAAGAACCTTGTTTCTTTAGTTCACCAAACTCATCATTCTTTGCAAATCTTCCTCTAACTCTTGGACGACTATCTGCCAATGTTTTCCTACACGCGTACTATATAGCAAACACCAAAAACAGTTGTAATTAATAACAATAACCAAGGGTTTATTCCGGTTTGATCTATTAAAACCCGAACCTTTATTTTCTTGCTGAAATTTCTTTCGTTCCTCTTCTTCATGTACCTATGGATCTTCTCTTTCCTTTGCTCGGGGGAGAGTTTCACAACTTTGTTTGACGTTGAATCTTCTAAACCGGTTATTTCGACCGGCCCTAATGTTGGATGAGTCTGAGGTACAACCAAGTGGTTCTGGTTCTCGACGCCACTAAGTACCTTATATATTAACAAAAAATATTCCGGTTAGTAAATACTGAACCAGAAATGTTCATTCACAACCAAACAAAAAGCTCTCTCAGCTGGAGATAACTTTAGCTGCACCAAACCGGTTCCTTTGATAAATCAGTTAGCATTTGCCATACCAAATAAAAAACCAGAAATATCAGCTCCATACCGAAATTTTTAGAAGATAATGTATAATTATAATTAGTAACAAAGATTTGAATTTTACCTGGAGATCTCCTGGATTAAAGATATGTTTGATAGAATTCGGACTGAACAACCCACCATTATCAGCTTGAAAATCCATCAACTGATCACGTGGTTTGTTGAATTCTGGTCCCAAATGAATATTGCCGGGAAACAAACCGGAATTATTTTCGGAAGATAATAAACCGGAGCTCATGTTCACCATATACGTCGGTAAACCGGAAGTACGGAACAAAGAGCAAGAAGGGGAAATAGGTCTTGAGCCAAGATTGTAACTTGGGACGGAAGAAAAACAATCCTCTTCGTAGGCTCCTAGTGGTAGAGGAGGAGGAGCAACAGAGGAAACCGCCGGTAGAGCCAGAGGGTCTCCAGAGTAAGGAATGTTAGGAAGCTGATGAACAATTTGGACTCCTGATGAGAAATCAAATTGGTTTTGATCTGTCGTCGTAAGGAGATGATCTATAACTGGATATTGCAAAGAAGATGATGAAAAGTCTATTGAAGCGGCTATGTCGTTTTCGAAATCTTCTTGTGAATCGAAGATTATGGACAGATCCGCGTTATTGTTATCGTCTTCATCATCTTGAAATTTGTTGGTGTTACTGTTATCAGTTGTTGTGGTTGTGTTAGTGTTGGAATTACCACTGTGATTGTCTTGGAAGCTTCCAGATTTCTCAAGAATGTTTGAAGCAGAGGTGACTTCAGAGGATTGATTGAAGCTTTCTTGAAACAGTTGTGAATCACAGAAATCGAAGATTTGAGCACTAAGAGGGCTCGTGATATCATCCTGATGAAATAGCACAAACAATCATTAGATATAAAGATTACAACGGCCGAGCAGAGAAAGTAAATGATGAAGAAAGAAGTTACGTTAAAGCCAAGCATCAAAAGGAGAGAACAGAGTTCTTGGCTTGAGTCAGTCACAAGAAACACGAACTGTGTGAAATCCTTGATAACTTACTAGATTGGTTCTTCAGACAGATTTATACTCGAGTAATTTTGTTCTCTTGTGCTTAATTTTCTAGAGAGAATCTATAAGGACATGGCTTTATTCTTTTTATGGACATCAAAACACTCCCAAGATTTTTGTGTCTTGATCAAATCCAATCTTTTTGTTGGGGTTTGTTATTAATAGTAGTCTATAACATCACAAATGTTGGTAAAGAGAGATTAAATGCATCTGTTCTTTCATGTGACATGTTAAGAAAGTGTTCCAACTTCCACGTAGCTAAAAGAAAAAGAAAAAGAAGAGTGGAGTTTCTAAATAAGGGAAGTTTTCTGATTCTGGTATTTCTTTTGAGTATTGAGAAAATTATTTAGCATTGCCTGGTATGAACCAACATCTAGATTTTTTCCCCACAAAGAAAAAGTGAAGGGCACTTCACAAGATGTAAAAACATTTAAGAAACCTTCATTATGATTACACATCAAATACTCCTAGTGAAATTCACCGAACTTGATAAATTCGAGGGTGAGAATTTAGTCTAGCATTTTACTTTTAAAAATAAATTGTATACTCGAATATAATACAAATACTTGAAATGGACTGTTGTTTGTAGAACATTGTTCTATATAATGTGACGGCTTTCAATTGGCTTAGAAGTAACAATCGTTTGCATGCGAATAAGAATGATAATGGTAATGTTTCAAAGTCGTATCTTTAAAAAAATTTGAAAGATAAATTGAAGTGTGTAGAGAATAACAAAGAAAGAAAAGAAAGTACAAAGAATGAAGAAGTTAGAAAAGAGATAAAATGGAATATAAGGAGAAGAAAAGGACGTTACACCGAAAAAGAAAACTGATTAATGAAAACTCTAGGGTTGCCTTGCCCTATAAGAGACTAAATAAATTAAATTTACTCAGTTTATAAGATTAAACTTTAATTTGTATGATCTCTACATAGTATTCAGACAAAAATAATAAACTAAAATCTGAATTCAATGCTTGAAACCAAATTCTAAGAGCAAACAATAATTTTTAACCCATGATAAGTAAATGAAAAAATGGTAATTAAGGAGAAGAGAATTACGATGGAAAGCTGATCGTGAGACGAGATCATGTCTTGCAACATGTTTGTGTTCTTTATCTCCAATGTTGATGATGCGTAGATTTTATGGGAAAAGGAGAGAAAATTTCCCAGATATTGTGGATTATATCAAGAAAATTCGGGGCTTCACGGATGCTTTGTGAAAAAATGTTGGAATGAGTGGTGTATGAACACGAAAACCCATCGAAGAAATTCAAATAAGAGATACAACAACAACAAAAAAACTGAAAAACAAAGAGATAATTAATTAAATTTAAAACAGATCAAAGGTTCTTCTGTTTGGACAGAAGAGAAGAAATGAGAATTTCTTACAGTTTTCTGGAAAAAAAATGGTGGAGGTTATGGGAGTTTCACGTAACCATCTTACATATATATACTTTTGGTTTATGTGTATGTATATATTTGTATATATCTACATGTGTATATATTATATATAATCTGATGCATGTCTGTATCATACGTAAATATTTATTTTCGTGTTATAAGGCGTCGTAGTATATGCCATAGTGGCACTTTACGTTCTGTGCGCTTGCCTCGATTCTCCCACTTTTCATGACATGGCAATGCCACATGGATGTTATGGTGTTGACTTGGCAAAAGGGTCCTCACGTAGGAGGAAAATGTTTCGATCGGTCAATGAGTTTGACCCAGTTCTTGTTTGACTGGAAATTGTGCTAATTTAAGACCTATATTCATGGAATTAGTTTTCTATTTTTCTTTTAAGAAAATTGGATACTATGTTCTATCTTGTATTTCCTTTACTAATTTTATTGACTTGGCTCGTGATTTTGCGCAAAGCCGCAAAGGAGTGGAAAAGAATTCGACCAGTTTACTAGAATAACGGAAAGGTATTAAATATAAATTATTCCATGGGATGGAATTTTTTTAATTTAAATGTGTTGCCAAATAGTATGCATTTAGAGAATTTGACCCCAAAAGAAAAGTCTTCGGAGAACAATCATTTATTTGCCGTAAGAAAATTTATTTAGAAATATCAGATAAAATTCGATAACAATGTTTAACAAACTTCGAGATTTAGTTTTTTTTTTTTTTGAACATTATTCATATACAAAAATGCTGTGATTGTGACATTTTAAGCATAGGGATAGAGTCAATGCTTACCACCTTTAAGAGATAAGTCATTCCCTCCCTACTATCCTTCCAGATTTCACTTTTGAACACTTTTATTATCTAATAGCGAAAATATTCGAAGATAAATATTTAGAGGCTACATTGTCAATCTAATTATCGGTACGAAAGTACGAATTGTGTTAGATCTATCATTCAACTGAATGAGCTAGAGTACGAGTTGTGTTATCGTTCAAAACTATGAACTAGGAGGATTTTATTTCACATTTAATCTTCAAATTTGTAAACAACTAAACATGTATCCGCAAATTTTTTTTAATGATTCCTCAATTTTATTTACAACTAAAACTGTATTGCCGATTATAATATAATATTGTTTTGTTATGTCTTTAAAGTATTTTTATAGTTACTTAGTATTACATATACTATTTCTAAACTATGTATATTTTGCATTTCACTTAAACATTATTACCATGAAAATAAATAAATATATATAATGAAAATAATTAAATATATATATATATATATATATCTTATTTTGTTATTTGTTCTCATCACGAGACATCCATATCGCCTGTCAGTATCTTATTTTTGGTCACAAATGTCTATCAAGCATTTGAAAATTACTCCCATGAGAATAAACTAATCTCCTCTCTCAACGTTTCTCAAAAAAAAAAAAATAGTAGTATATCATTCTTGTTTATATAAGGTTTAGAGCGTATAGTACACTACATTACATTGCATACACGTACTAGCGCGCTTAGGACATTTTTTTTTATTATAAGGAGTAACTGGCTATACAAATTAGAATTTGGGATTAAGAGAATATTGTAACAGTTATGATGTTTAACAAAAACAAGAAATGCAGTGAAAAGTAAACAAGAAATGCAGTGAAAAGTAAAAAGTGGAACTGCTTAAGATCAAAGCTGATTTGATGAACTGAAATTGATACTTTGGAGATATGACCATCTTCGTGATCTAAAGTTTAAACGTAATATATGCACACGCATTATCCGAATAGAAAGCGACCACCACTTTCACAATATAAAACCAACACCTAAAAATAAGAGAGAGAGAGAAAAAATTATATATATATATATGTTGTATATATGCTATATTTGATCACATATTTATTTGAATGTAAATTTGATTATGTTTTGAATTCGAAATTTTCTTCCCCAATGCATTATATGTTTAATATTGATTAGATAGGTAACCTATGATCAATCATTGACTCTAGATATATAAAGTTGACTAAATGTTAATGAGCTCATCTCAAAACGTACTACGTCCGTATTTTTTGTTTCCCCTGACAAATTGCATTTTTTACTTAAAATGTTACATAATCATGAATGTGATACAACAAAAAACGTTAATCTACTTTGCTAAACAATTTGCATAGCAAATCATGTGTCAATGCATAGATTTTAATCTCTTATATTACAAAAATCCCGAATTGTATTGTTGATGAATAATTTGGATTTCATCAGGGTTTGAATATCAGAACATAATGTGTTAAATATGTTTTCTTCATCTATATGTATCATGTATTTAAAATTTTGTTGTTGTTATTGTTGTATGATAGCTCGCTTTCATCTTTGGATCCAAAGAATATAACTTTTATGCAAATAGAAAGGACAGACACCCATCGTGCTTCAGATGGTACCCTCATCGTCCTACTTTAGATCACTATATTTAGATTAATTCTTTTTATTTTGGTTGGGTATATCTTTTTTTTTTTTATATTATTGCTTTACTTTTTACTTCAGTTCATGGAGGTCGCATTTGCAACGTGAGTGAGTGCATAGTTGCATACCAATATACCAACCGATCAATCAACGATATATCTTCATGTAAATGAAATATATTCACATGCATATGATATGCTAGATATTTATATAACGTATATATGCATACAAAAACCTATATATTATTATGCATGTCATTGTCTAATATATGCCTTATGACACACACAAAAGTTCTAGTGATCTATTCTATTCCCACAACGCTCTAATTATTTCTGTCTATGGATCCCAAAGAACTAAATCTTCTATTTTATTTGTTTGTGGATTTTATGTTACTGTACTGGCCGGTTCACTTTTAAGAAAAAAAAATCGAAAGATTTGTCAACGTATCATGTAATGTAACTCACTATAGCTCTCGTATTTTTGCATTGTTCGCATGTACGTAGTAGTATATGTATACTACAAGATCTATAGCTATAAAATATAACCTATAGATCTTGTAGTAGGCTAACAAAAATAGACAAGCATATTATACGGTATAAATAGCTATTAATAATTTTAGAAACATTTTAACATGAATATTATTTAATTTCCGAAACCAAGAGGTCCAAGAGTAATACGTTTATCCATCCAAAAACTTTGCTATATCCTCCTTATGAATCATAAACGGATACGAACACATTTTTTTTACACTCTAGGTTAGGTTGTGATGAAACATTTTTATATAAGTCTTTTTCGAATAAATGATTTATTGGGAATTGGACATGCCAAAAAAGAAGATATATTTATCAAGTTAAAAAAAAAAAAAACGAAGATATAAAATTATAAATTATTGAAAATCAAGCGGGTCCAATCTTTGTATATTAAACCTTTCTATCTGGATTATTGTATTGATTCGAATTTGTTGAAAACTTTAAAAGCCCAAGTACGTGAGCTAAAGCCTAAATATAATATATGGGGTCCTTAGTGGCCCAATGTTTCCGCAAAATTGAATCCATCCCTAATTTCCACTGAGAGTGTTGATCCTCATCTCTCTCTTCAGCAACCTTCCGGCTTCCGCGATTTTGCTTCGTAGCGCCGGACCGGAGAAGATAAACCCTAGCTCCGCCACTCAGAGGGAGTTCCAGGCCAACCTAACTACTCCTGCTGCTTCGTATTAGTCGTTCTACAAAATGAACTGTGCAAGTAAGTAAATCCTTTTTTTTTTTCTATTAGCCTCTCTCTTTCTTCTC